GGTCGAGCATGTCGAGCAACGGCAGTCCTACTCCCCCTCAGCTGCTTTCCCATCCCAACTCCCTCACCTCTTCGATGGGCTTCTTGTCCATCTTATAGCGTTTGTGTTTCAGTTGCTGCAGGGCCGAAGGATCAGAACACTCTCCCCGGATCCTCCTCTTCCTCCTTCTCCTCGCCAATTCCTTTCTTCGATCCTTTTCTTTCCTTCCTTCCTTCCTTTTCTCTCGCTCCTCGTCCTCTCCTCACCATGTTTCCATTGTCAGTCAGAGCAACTCCAAACCTCGCCGTCCTCGCCGGGTACACACAGTCGAACATGTCGACTCCGAGCGCCACACACACGACCTGCGGGCCATTACCTTCCCCTCCTGCGAGCATGCGCAAGGCTGGACCAAGTCGATGGGATAACCTACACCCATACAGTATCTGATGTGGAGAAGATTCAGTCAGCTGAGAAAAGGACCGACCCAAAGAGGTTGTTCACCTTGGCTTGTTCGGAGGGAGTAATTTCGTGCAGCATAGAACGACCTAGAGGGTATCACAGAGATAAGGTGAATTCCAAAGCATCGCACTTAATGAATTCATCTCAACTTGTCTGTACAAGCATGTCCTGCCTTCACACACAATGAAAACTTCCTTGCTCAATTCCCTCCCTCCAAGTCTCCTGCCATCTCACCTCCTCTCCTCCCTTCTGCCCCACCTCCTCATGAATTACCTTCCAGAACTCATCTTTGGCTTCACCGCCGGACAACCCGCCGATCGCGTAACCTGATGCATCAACATAAAACGTCAAAGTGAACTCACTGCAGAGGTCGAGGTTTGAGTCGAACAACGAAAAATCATCATCGCCATCATCCTTCATGATTCATCACCAACTCTGACAATCATCATACACTCCATACAGATCGTGACATGCAGCGACACGTGCTGTGCAGCGAAGCGATACATCGCCATCCATGGTCTCACCCGGCAAATTTCTTTTGATCAGCTCGTGACAGCAGGTGGCACGGAGGTCAAGATCGAGGCCTCCCTAGCAGCAAACTCGTAAAAGGAGGGAGAAGACACTGGAACAAGCTGAAGGCAAAGAGACTGAGACTGAGACTGAGACTGAGACTGAGACTGAGACTGAGACTGAGACTGAGACTGAGACTGAGACTGAGACTGAGACTGAGACTGAGACTGAGACTGAGACTGAGACTGAGACTGAGACTGAGACTGAGACTGAGGAAGGCATCTGCAGCCATTACAGCACGCATGTCACCTGCACTATCCCAAAGAGATTTTGCTTGTCAGGCCTGGAGAGGAGGAGAAGGTCAGGCAGTGTCAGAGCACTAGGAGGGTCTGACTTCTTGTGGGCCGCGATGCAGCGATCGATCCATCTCAGAGTGCGGTGCATGGCCTCTTGTACTCGCTCAGGATCTTGGGAGCAGCACTCGTCATCTCCATCATCCTTCCCAGCTGTCTCCCACCTGGGGTCGTGCTGCTCACCACGTCGTCCAGCGCCATGATGATGTCAGCTCCAATCTCGTTCTGCAACTGCGAGGCGTAAGATGCAAGGGACGTGTCGACAAGATTACCTGGATCGATTTCTCCGGCGTCAGCAGCATTTGACTGCCGTCGGAGGGAGACTGGAAAGTCACGCCTGGATTCCCATCACCTCAACTCCCCTCCTATCTCCTCTCTACTCCTCTTAATTCCCCACCCGTCTGACTTGCTCCTGGCTCCTCCCACCTCCTCAGTACCCCTCTCATCGCTCCCATTCCACCGACTCCCATCCTCCTCCAACTCCTCGTCCTCTTGCTGTGCAGAAACCCGCACCTTCCTCGGTGATGTTCGCCAGCTTCAACAAGGAAACCATCTGAAACCCCCCGCTGTCTGTCAGGATCGATCGCCTCCATCCCATGAAGTCATGGAGGCCTCCCAGCTCATCTAGCAGCTCTGTGGGAGGGCGAGGAAGCAGTCAAGACCATGGCGCATCGGTCAGACAGCGGGCATCAACATATATCACAACAACGGATATCCTTGCAAGAGGTATGGTAGAGAAGGAGATAGCATCATATCAGTGCATTTCATATCATATCACACCGCTCAAAGTGCCATCACCTGTTCCAGGACGAAGGGCCAAGTGATATGTGTTGCCTAGGATGATGGGAACATCTAAAGCCTCAAGCTCGTCCACCGTCAGCCCTTTCACCTTCAAACTCTCATCTGTCCACGTTCGTCAACAGGGCTACTTGCTTACCGCTGCCATGGTCCCCACGGGCATGAAGATCGGAGTTTCCTGATGCAACAACCTCATTCAGGGGGGATCTCTCAGCTCGCAAATTTCCACCAGCTCGCAATGGGGAAGGCGAAGCTTGCAGAGTCGTGCGTTGGTTCGGTCGCATTTCTTTATGAGCTCATGACCCAATGCCGGTGTCTCAGACATTTGCGCGAGGGTTATCCTGAGATGGAAAACAACTAGAAGGAGGAGAAACGTCGGATCGTTGAAGATTATCTTCGTTGAACGAGCAACAGGACGAAAAATTGTGACTTGATAGGAACCTCTAGTTCTATCAAGCCCCAACACCGACGCTGATATCAATTGTTCTTCTCTCCCCCTCTTTTCCTGATTCTCCTGCTCTCCTGCTCTCCTCTCAAGTCACTTTCTTCCTGCTTCGTGCCGATCGGCGTTGCTCATCGCCGTTTTGGATCGCATGCTTGATCGCATGATACGGCCGCTATGCTTTGTGAAGGGAGGCGACGCCGAGACTGCCAGAAAGTAAGTTGGAGTTTAGTTCAAGGTAGTTTTAGTTTCGTTTCAACACACACACAACAAAACCATATAAAGCCATTTCACAACTTTCGTAGTTTTCGGCTGTTCTAAAACATACGGTTCAAATATCCAAATATTGTCTTATTTTTGAAAATAATAAACTAATTTTGTCAATAATTTTGAAATATAGCTGTGTGATTGCCCTTGGCGAAAATTTGAAGAAATAGTCGCAATGCTGTCGACAATCCGGTTGTTTCTGGTGGTTATGGTGGCGATAATGGCGATGAAGGTGCCTAACAAACATTCTTCTCTTGCCTTTTTTCTTTGTTGTCTTCAGTTCGTCGTTGACGAAGTGTGAGATGCTTCTCAATATCAATCTCTGAGAGAAGAAACATCTGTGAATGTGCTGACACGTGGTTTTCCGATGATGACGTTGCCGTGTGTATTGATCGCCTATGAATTCTTGTCGCAGGTCGAAACTGCTTTTTGTTTCGTTAATCCGCAAGGCAAAATTATGGCTGTTCGGCATCGTCGATCAACTTGCCCTTCCTCGAACCGCCTCAAGATGCAGGCTGATGAATCATCTGAAGGTTTTGTCCGGCACTTGCTCACAGATCTTAGGGGTGACGTCGTTGCAGAAACGGCTGCAGAGACCCCTTCCAACCGAGCAGCCAGACGACAGGCAGTGAGATACTCCAAGAAGAATTCCGATGGTTCTGCCAAGGTCACGAACCAGGCTCTCGGAGGGGTGAGATAGGGTTGAAAAGTTGCCCTCGGTATTTATCTTCTCTGCAGGTACGAATGAACAAACCTATGAAGGAGGTTGGCGCATACACAAAGAGAGATTGAGATATGATCATGGTTCTGACAACCTGGCAGCGGGTCGCTCCTGAGCTCATTGAGGTTGGACAAGTTGCGGACATCCCTGAAGAGGTGGTTGTAGACTGAGGATCGCGGTCAAGCTCACCTTCCCTGCTCCCTGCAGGAGTTCGGTCGCAAGGCTGTGGAGGTATCGGTAGCTGAAGGTGTTCCAAAGAAGGTCAGCGAGCTTTTCTGTTGCTGCATTGCCTCATGGCTCTGTCCAGCCCATGATGTTGATGCGATATGGAAACCGCATCATGGCGTCTGATCCCGTTTGCACGCGGTGAGTCGTGTCGGTGCGTTCTTCGCACTCTATTGACAATGCGTCAGCTGCAAATTTCCTCTTCTTCGTGCGCCAGTCAGCAAGGAAGAGATCTCTTGCCAGACTTGTGGCGCTGTGTACAGGTGAAAGTGGTGTGGGTGTAACTTCCACACCTGACGCCCTGGCAGCCTGCCAACCGGAGAGGTGGCGCCTGAGCAGAAAGGAACTTTCCTCAGCGGTGGCTTTCTCTCATGATGATGCTTTCGAGGTTGATATTTTCTGCAGTGTTGTTCTCAAGGACCCCTCTCACTAGACTTGGTGTTTATGCGACCTTGGTGAGTTTTCCTCGTCCATACAAAGGTAGATTCGCTGACGATCGTCATAGGTGAAGAACGGCAAGGTGTTTATCGGTCTTGCACCTCAGAAAGCAGAGGAGTGAAGCGTGCAGAACGAAAGCTCGTATCTTTGCTCTTCGAGTCCCTGAAGGAGAGAATTCTAACTGTATGGTGCGCTTGTACATAGTATTTGTATGAGAAATCTTCAGCATTCCCTCAAATCATAAAGACAGCCTATCACGTATTTGTTTTACTTCCCTGTGTACTCTGGAAGCCAACAACAAAGGTAATCTAATCAGTGTACTCGAAGGGCTCAGGAGGGGGGGGCTCCTCCTCCTCCTTCGGTGGGAGCGCTGTTGCAGGTATCGTCACCTCCACAATCTCCGCCTTCTCGTCCGGCTTCAGATCCCTCAGCATTACAATACCCCAGAGCTTCTTTGACACCGGCTCGTATCTGTCAACGTTGTCAGCGACTTGACCGCATCGCAATCTAAACCAGCCCACCTGCAATCTGCAGGCATCGTGATGTACTTTCTTTGAGCGGGAAGCACCCTGCAAAGATGCCATTCGTAAAGCGTGCATTGACGAGTGCAAAAAATACCTTGCAGGATTAGAGAGAGTGGTCGTGTTCGGCTCTTTCTTCTTCTCACCTCCTTGCTTGTCCTCATCCATTGATTTGTTGGCATCTTTGTTCTCTGTATCATCCTTGCCAGGCTCTTCCTTCACGACATCCATCTTGTCAGCCCCTTCTTCTTCTTTCTTTCCATCTTCGTCCTTCTTCCCCTTCTTTCTAGCCTCTGTCTTCGCTGTTGTGGACAAAATGGCAGTAGCAACCTGAGGGAAACAGTGAAAAAAATGGATTTGCATGAGAACTGAATACTTTTGACGGCGCAGTGCTTGTCTTGACTTCTGTCATAGGAGGATAATCAAATGTAGAAGGTTTCGTATGCGAGATAAAATCGAAAACTGGCATCTTCAGATCTTTGTTCAATCCAATAAGGCAGGTAGGCGAGTAAGTGAGTGAGATGAAATGTGCCAAAGGGAACCAATACCAATATTGGCAGAATACCGCCATTCCAACGATTCCACTCATTCTCTTGTTCCCCAGTCTCGTTGTCAACGAAACAGTGACATTTCTACCACCCGCATCAAGAATTGACATGGCAATGATTGCTCCATATTTCGCCATGACATCCTCATGCTTGTCCTTGATCATCTTTTCCAACGAGTTTCTGAAATCCTTTACCTTAGGTTGCCTGACTTCAGTCTCCTGAATCAATACCATTGCTAGTGCAAGCATAGCTCCCTGACGGACAAAATCAGTTGAGTCCTTCGTCATGGGCTCAAGAAGTTCGATCGCTTCTTGCATTCCTGTTCCAGCACATGCAATACCACAAGCAAGCGCGGATCCGTAGCGCACATGCGGATTGTAAGATTCAGCCAGCAACGAGACAACTCTAGGACACTGTTCGGGCGTATTTGTCAGGACAAATCCAAGGCAAGTAACCGCGGCTCTTCGCACGTCATCCGACACATCAGACACTGCCACGTGAAGCAAGCGTCTGATAGCGCTGTTGTTTCCAGTTCCAGAGTAGGCACAGGCTATAGTGTACATTCCACCATATCTCAAAATGGGATCCTTGTCTCTGGTAAGCTGCTCTATCATGGTATCTGCTCCCTCTTCACGTCCATACATGATCAGGGCCATACCGATTGCCAGTCCACGAATAATTTTTTCATGTTGAGTATCCTGGGCATACGCGAGCATTTCTTCACATGCCTTTTCAGAAGCTGTGCCCAACATGACCAATCCCATCGCAAGTCCAGCAGCCTCACCAGCAACGGCATTGTCTTGAAAGAGAACGTCCTTCAAATCTTCATAAAGTTCATCATTCGCGCTTGCCATTCCAGCAAGGCCCAATCCCAAACAAGCGCCATGCTGCACGGTCTCATTATTCTTAATCTTCTTCAATTCATTACTGAGATACTTGAGAATTCCTTCACCATGTCCAGCATGGATCAATCCGAGAGCATAAAGAGCACCTCCTTCTGAATAGGGCTGGCTTGACATGCCTGTCTCTGGTGGAAGGAACGCTTTCATTACGTTTCGGCTACTATTGATGCATCCCTTGTGAATCATTCCCACGCATGCCGTTGCACTGAATTTAGCCCAATTTGAAGCACGTTTCAGCCATTCCAAATTCTCTGGCTGGCTGATGAAGGTATCTACTGTAGTTCCACAGTGCATTACAGCGTTTGCGAAGACAGTTGCTTGATGAGTGATCGAATTACGCACTTCAAGCGCTGATTTGATGTTGTTCAAAATTAGCATGTCCGTCTTGTTGTTGCGGAACAAGAACTCCAGGTGGATTCCAATCGTAGTCTCACCACTCAGAATCTTCCTCAAGTTCTTGACTCTGGTTTCAAGCTTCTTCTCCGCTTCGGTCAATTCTCGTGGAGGCTCCGCGTCTTTCATCTCGGTATCACCTTCGGCCTTCTCTTCTCCACCCTCTGCCGTCGATGGAGGTTCAGCACTTTGTCTCTCACTCGCCGGTACTGGCAACCCGCTCCTGACAGCCAAGAGGAAGTGTTGCATGTCACTGCCGCACAAGTCGAAGGCAATCTGATATGCCATCAGCTCGCTTTCTTCATCATCCCTCTTGATCAACTCGCCAAGTTGCGCTGCGACAGCCTTGTCATCTTCGAGCAACATAAGGCAAAGGCAGATGTTTTGATAATCTGGTGTTTCCAACGTGCGATAAATTTGCACTAGCACTGTAAGCACAGTGTTTCTGAATGTTCGACTTTGGACCAAGGTCTGGCACGCTTCAAGAGTATAAGCCAGAGTACCTGCACGATCCCCACTGACATTGATGCATGCTTCCAGTTTATCCAATCTCCTTGATTCAAGTGCAATCCCGACAGCTTGCTTAATGTTGCCTTCAGAAAAGCATCGATCAAACATGCTCTCAACAATCGCTTCAAGTCTGCCATCGATAGGTTCTGCATCAGACCCACCCTCTGACTTTTCAATCCTCTCAGAAATGTATTTGTCGATAACCTTCGACAAAATGGTGAACACATACTGCGACGGCTTTCCACTAGCAATCTGATCTGTGAACAATGTTCCAGCACCCAAAGCGTAGGAAAGAGATTCGGAAAACTGTTCGAGGTGATAGTGGACCTTGCTAGCAATCAAGGCAGCAAGCTCCCTATGACTGAACTTATCATCTTCGTAAAGTTCTTCGATTTGTTCGATGTGATCCGCGATCTCTGCCCAGTTGTAGTCAACGATCTTGTCCTGTATAATTGGTCAGAAATGTACAATAGCGTCTGAGAGGTTCAACAAGCATGTTCATAATACAAAATGGATCAATTTATGTTTGAATGTGTACAACCAAACCATAAACCACCACCAATCCTAAGAAGCAGAAGGAAAAGAACTTCTCACCATCTGCTCCAGAGCATACTGCTTCAGCTTGTGCTCATTCTCCGCAAGAAGGGAGAGAAGAGGCCTGCATGAAGCCAGGAGGGGACCGGAGGAGACTGCAGGGAAGCCCATCGCTTCCTCTGCTGCCGCCGCCGCCATCCAGCAGGACAAGTGTCCACAGTGTTTCCCACCGGTGCTTTTGATTTTCAAAAGGGGGGTCCTCGAACATGGGGTGGTCTTGACCCTTTATGTACGAGAAGGGAAAATTTCCTGGAGAAACTAGGGGGTGGTACAAAGCAAGATCACCGGTGTATGTCCGGGTCAAATGAGGGGTGCATGAATATCCTGTACGGGTTCATTTTCCTGATAAAGTAGGGGTGAAAATAATTCAAATCACTACCCCCCGAAAGAACGTCAACGAATCCGGTGATCTGTATCCCTACAGCCTGGGGAGGGGTACTCGCTGAATTCTTCGGTGAAATTAGGGGGTGATTGACTCTGAACAGGTGGGGTCCGAGGATTCGGAGGGAAGGTGGGGTGGGGGTGCTATGGGTGTAAGGATCTCTTCGGCCATGCTGATCAGCAGGGCCGAAGCTGCGGCCCTCGGGCCGATGGCAATGGCAGCAGCTTGCTGCCTTATCGTCGCTTCTCTGCCATGTTGTGTAGAAAGCTTCTCTTTCGGCTCCCTCACAGCTGCTACCAAGTTCTCTACTCAGCCCTCCATGGCATTCGGCAGCATTGGTGGCAGGCAAAGTGGAGCCCGCTGGATGATGTCTGGAGCAGCTAGCAGGCCGTTGGGGAAACTGAGGCTGATCCAGCACAAGGCAGAGGCGTTTTGGTTCTACAGATATCTCTCCATTGTATACGACAAGATCGTGAATCCAGGGCATTGGACAGAGGATATGCGGGAAGACGCCCTCAAGCCCGCACAGCTGACCTCTCCTGACCTCGACGTTGTTGATGTCGGAGGGGGAACGGGATTCTGCACCTTAGGGATCGTTAAAGCAGGAGTCCGCCCTGAGAAGATCGTTTTGATGGATCAATCTCCCCACCAGCTGGAAAAAGCAAGAGCGAAGAAGGGTCTTGAAGGCGTTACCATCATGGAAGGAGATGCTGAAGATCTTCCGTTCGAGACTGACTCAAAAGACCGCTATGTCTCCGCAGGAAGCATTGAGTACTGGCCTGATCCCCAACGAGGAATCTGCGAGGCGTATCGTGTCGTCAAGCCTGGTGGGATCGCCTGCTGCATCGGTCCTGTCCATCCTACCTTCCCACTTTCACGAATCTTTGCGGATTTATGGATGCTGTTTCCCACCGAGGAAGAATACATCGAATGGTTCACGAAGGCGGGTTTCGAGGATGTCAAGATTACTCGCATCGGTCCCTGGTGGTATCATGGCGTCAGAAGGTCATTCCAATACAACAACCTTTCTGGTGTTCGTGTTTTAACGAGTTGTATGTATAGGCACGGTCTCATCATGGGATGCTCTGTGACGGGTAGAAAACCGGAGGCTGGATTACCGAAGCTGCAGCTTGGTCCCAAGGAAGAGAAGCAAGCAACCAAGAAAGACAGCTCGGCCTTGAATATTCTGCGTAAATGTGTAAGGAGAAGGGGGACAAAAATCCCTGACTTTATCTAACAGGTCTCATTCTGGGAACTCTGGGAGGATTTTATTACTTCTTGGTGCCTGTTTACATGTTCCTCAAGCACCTGCTCATTTCCCCCATTGCCTTGTTCTGGAAGGATGCTCACAAGAAACTCATGTGAAAGGGAAGATAAATTTTGGTCAAAGAAACATTATCCTTGAAGACGATATTTTTCATGGCTTTGCATTGTATGCTTGTTCTCCGACCTCTGACTTGACAGTTCACTTGTAATTTTCCATATGAGAAGCAATCTTTGTAGCCATGTCCTGCACAAGCACATTCTGACCGAAGTATTCAGTCATTTCTCCCCGCGGATTCATCAAGTAGAACATGACCGAGCTGCATAAGACAAGTCATACACAAAAAAAGCGAAGGGGAGTGTTTAAAACTCACTGATCAATGAGATAATCTGTCGGCTTCGATCCAACGTAGGCCTTGCTGTAGTAGACTCGAAACTTTTGACAGACTTCTGAAATTTGATCTGGCGATCCAGTCAATCCAATGATGCGAGGATCCCAATCCAATAGATAGTCCTTAAGCTGTTGTGGCCCATCTCGCTCAGGGTCAATGGTGATGAACACCGGCTGTAACGCTTGGTCCTTTCCGCCCTTCTCTGCATGCGAACTTCAATATCGTACGTCAGAAACCCCATTTGGACATATTACCAAGAATCTTCATGACTTCACGAAGTTTCATCAATTCATTGGGACAGATATCGGGACAGTACGTGAAACCAAAGTATATGAACACCCATTTGCCAAGTAAGTCCTTGCTACCTAGAAGCTTTGAAGAGTGTCAAGGTAAGAATAACATGGAACGGGTGCAAACTTTTTTACCTTTCCATTCTGGTCTATCAGCATGTAGTCTCCACCCAGCTTTGGGGCGCCGTATGATGGACCTTCTGTAGCGACCTGCTCTTTCTTTTTTCTACGCTCGTATGCCCGGATGTTAATGAAGGCACCGATAGCTGATCCAATCACGGCAAGTGCAGCAAAAGCTTTTATGTTGACATTGCGATCCTCATTCTCGTCACTGTGATCTTCATTCTTCTTGCCTTCCGATGTCAAGTATTTCTTACAACGTGTTATCTTGAGCGATACATCCTGACACCTTGTATACACCAAAGGATTGTTGAGCTTGGTGCGGGTAACCGCACTTCTCGCGACAAACTTAGCTGCGTGCAAAACGCGATAAATCATGTTCGTGTGGGATTTAATGGGGCACAAACTGGCAATGGGAGAATCTCACAAGATTCGTTGTGTGCGTTCAACGTCAAATAGTGTTGTGGAGCTGGAAACTTGCAAGGAACGACTGAGGAGTTTCACTCTTTGGACCTCTGCTCTCAGAACCAAGTTGATCCTCCGAGCTTCGCAAGAAGAGGTGCAAGAGGTCTGTCTTGAGCTCCAAGAGCCTGTTTCCCAACTCTCCTTCTCTTTCCGTTGTTTCTCCCCCCTCCTCAATCGCGTATGCCCAAAACGCCGGCAACGCCCATTGCGGCTGACAGGCTTGTATTACATTCCCTTCTGTGTCGGGCTGCAAGCGAATTCTTGAGAGGGGTGCTCAAGCCATGAGAATCATTGAGTCAAGTCCTAATTTAAAGCGAATATGTCCCTACCCTGTCCGTGCACACTACTGCAGCTCTCAGACTCCAGTCTTAGCAGTGGGGTTTTACTAGCTAGCCTCAAGGCTTGAACCGGGCGCGGCCGGGCCCCGGCCAGCGGCTGCAGGATCAATGCAGGGTCAGGCCAGGGTTTGAGGGGAGGGAAGAGAGATGAAAGAGAGAGGCGGAGAGAGATTCTTGAGATGGTGAATCTGAATGGTATTGATCATGTTGGTTCGATGTTATGATGGAAGAGAAGCAATGACAGAGGAGGTTGTGCAGTAGAACCAGTGAAGTGAGAAAAACTTTGAGTAGAGAACAACTATGTCTGGATGGCACATACTATGTTAGCAACCCCAGCATTGATTCTTGATGCTCTTAGTGAACCAGACAAGATGTCAGACCGAGAAGAAAGAAAGAGATCAGATAGAGATCCCTCCGACGACGACGACGAGCGGGAGGAGAGAAGTGGACACCGGGGTGATGGGGAAAGGGGCAGGTCCGAACGACACAGCACAGAAGGTAAGGCTGGAACATCAAGTCCTTACATCTCCCTACCTGCAAGTTTGCTGGGCTGGTAAGTGACTGCCGGGGCTGCAGGCAAGAGGAAGAAGCGCGAGAGAAGCGAATCCAGCAGCTCCAGCAGCTCCAGCAGCAGCTCCAGCAGGTTCCGATGCTGCACGATCTCACCTTTGGACTCACTCAACTCTGGGCAGTGACAGTGACAGTGGATCAGAAAGCAGCTCGTCGAGTGAGGACAAATCTCACTCTCGCAAGAAGCACAAGGTTGCGATGTGGATGCTTGCGGCCTGCCTTGTGATACATCAGCAGAAGGCAGACAAGAGGAAAAAAGACAAGAAGAAGAAGAAAGACAAGAAGAAGAAGAAGGACAAGAAGAAGAAGAAGGACAAGAAAGTAATGACGTGGAGAGATTGGATCGCTGTTTTTTGATCGCTCCTACCCAGGAAAAGAGAAAATCGAATCTTAACGACCAGTGTGGACAGTGAGCGCGAGTATCATGCTAAAATCTGAGGGTCTGATGTTCTTTAGATATGGTTTCATTCGAGTCTCAGAAAAGTTTGTGAAACAGGTAATCAGGAATATACCTGTCCATTTCACAAACCACTGTTCTCAGGAGGAATTCCGAGCATGGTTATGTGAGCACAAAGGAATAGATTACGGGATGCTGGCACGTGCGTGCATGTCTGCAGATGTGCTGGTTTCCGTTGATCATTTGACCAGCGAAAGAATTGGATGACATGTGGGCAACGTTTGTTGAAGACTTCAATACAGCGACTTTACCTCACGTGATAACTTTCTTTTAGTTGATTTCGGCATGAGCTTCTAATTTGTTGGTGAAGGTGAAATATTACAATCTCCGTGCGTGGGAAGTGCAATCTGCCAGCAAAAAGAGCAAAGATGACCGAAAGAAGAAGGACAAGAAAAAGAAAAAGAATGAGAAGGATACGGTCATGGAGAGAGATGAAGATATCAGGTGAAATTGCATTGAAAACCGGTTTACCACCAAGGCTGAATGGATGTTCATCAGAGCCAAAGAGATTGCGGCTGAACGTCAAGCAAGGGTGCTGACGCTGCGTGATTGCTTACATTTCGGTTGAGAGCTTCCGATTTAACAGGCTACCAAACAATATGGTGATGAGTTGGCGGCACTCTCCTACCAGTATGATTCCTTGTGTATGCTCCGACGTTCTAAGATCCTTGTAGGCATCAAGCCAAAGAGAAGGAGGCCATGGCCAAAATCTTGGAGATGGCAATGCAAGCTAGGTGAATTTATGACGGCTGATGAATGCCTTGATGGCGCTGAGAGACTACATTTAAACAGGCAGAACAAGTGATCAGCTGCTCACAGAGTTGTACACGTGACTATAGCTTGATGCGTTGGAGACTCTGCCGCGCCCTTTAAACGTGAATTGGCGGCCGGGCTCTTGATCTAGCTAGCAGGCTAAACTTGAAATTAATCTGATTAACGGTTATATCATGTTCCGCCACCGCCGCTGGCAATTATTGAATGCGGGGCCCTACCGTACCCGGGCACTTGAGATTCGGCGGGATGACCCACTGCGCGGCGGCGCACGGCCGGCCCCAGGGGGACTGACACGGTACCCGGTCCCGGCCCGGCCCCGGGGCCCTTGGCCCTAGGGGGGGGGGGGTGGGGGCCACGATGGCATACAACTTGAAATACCGGAGTAAAGGACCGGGTACCGTACTATACCCTTTTATTGGGAGTTCCACCAGGGCCCGGCCCAGAGGGGGGCCCGGCCCTAGGCCCGGCCGCCCGCGGGAGGGCCCGGATGAGGTGGGATGAGGGGCATCAGTTGCTCCGTTGTGCGTTGCTACGAGAGGAAGGAGATTGTGAGAGCAGGAATGGAAAGACAGAGAGAGAGAGAAGGGCCATGAGAGGAAGACAGGAAGGAGGGAAGGAGGGAAGGAGATAAAGGCGACCAAGATGGCAACAACAGGCACAGGAGGAGTTCAGATGACACTGAGAGGTAGAGCGTCGTCACGTCGGAGTCAGCAGAACATCGAGAGCGGTGAAAACAACCGAGTGAACCTGGTCTATTAGTTGTGAAATGAGATCAGTGTTGTGAAATGAGATCAGTGTTGTGGGAGGCAAGCATGAACATATTTTCCGAGAGCTCAGCCTGGATACGGGACCAAACGTGATCATTGCGGATAGACTGCTCGCAGCACTGAAAGCGTAGGCTGGATCGAGGAATGCAGCACAACCCTGCCAATCGACCGAAGGGGCAGCTAGAGAGGTCGAGGAGGTCGAGCACCAGCCTGTCTGGGCATGTGTATGAGCCTCACAACCTGAGGAGGAAGGAGCTGAGGGAAGTAAGGTCCTCGTGGAAAGATCCTCCAAAGATGTGGAAAGATCATATCAGGATGCAGTCAGCGGCAAAAGATTGGCTGACGTCGCAGACCGAGATAAGGCAGAAGCTGAAGAACCTGCTGCCTGCTCCGAAGATGAAGCCCAAGACGAGGGAGGACGTTGGTTCCCGAGACATGAACTACGACAGCATCAGGAGGATCCGGGTGAAAGAGATCACCCTTAAGCGCATCCGGCAGGCTGATTACAGACACGATGGGACTGTCAGCTTGGATGCTCTTGCAAAGGCGTTCGACATTCCAATGCCAAAGAGAACTCGAGCTGCGACGTCGATGGGCATCTTGGAGAGAAATCACCAGAAGATGAACAAGATGGAAGGGATGGAGGATGAGGAGTCGGAGATTGAAAGCGTGTCCACTCGAGACCAGGATCACGAGCCAGACTCTCACGAGGATCAGCTGACGTGGGAGGAGCTGCAAGATGTGTTCCAGGCGTTCGATCTGGACAGAAGCGGAAGGATCAAGATCGAAGACTTCCTCAAGTTTGTCTACAGCAAGCCGGCAAGACCTGACAGCCTACAGACCTCAAGGATCTCAACGAGCTCAACAGGACCCAAGTCAGCTCGACCCTCTTCGTCATCTCACAGCATCTTTGATCCGTAAGTCCTCATCGACTTCCGTCTCGTTCTTCTGTGTCTCACCTGAGTGCGCAGGACGTGGGAGAGGGCGTTGTATCAGCTGTTTGTGAGGAATGCTTTCATGCGGAAACGGCTCGACTTCTCTGGTTTCATCGCATGCATTAAGACAAGTGGCATCTTCGACACTCACTTTGGACTGAGCATAACGAGGAGCGTGCCAGGACAAGTGCGGCTGCGGCACCTGAGGGAGGAATTCGAGGAGAGGATATCATCACGTGTGCAACAAGAGTCAGCGGTGAATCCAGAGGACCATTTCCTCACCTTCGACAAGGAGTCGGCGATAGTTTCCAACGACACCAAGGAGGAGGAGCGAGTGTTCATCACTGACGCCCGACGAGGGGACGCTGCTGATAGTGAGGAGGAACCGGGGAACACTTCAGTCCACCTCTTCCTGCCGTCGGAGAGCTCGCTGGCCTTCCAGGCCTCCCCGGACATCGACAGCATTGCTCGCACCACCATCACCTTCCATGAGTTTCTCACCGCCATCCACAACCTCCTGTCCAAGTCGGAGAAGATCGACCCTTCGCTGATCCAGCTGCGACGATGGTCATGCACTTGTACCTGCGATGAGGAAACCTGACGACTGTCAACAGGAGCAGAGACGTCGACATGCAGAGAACGATGGGATCGCACCCGCCTTCCTTCATATGGTGATTTGCTGGCTAGCTGACTGCAGTTGTTGACGTGTTGTGCCACAGCAATCAGTCGAGCAGCTCTAGATCGCTAGGTACAAGATCAATTGTGATGGTGGTGACATGCACTGACTGTGAAGTTTTCCAGCAAGGACTCGTGGAAACTTGTTGAGGCCGGCAGGCTCATCGAGATCGAGTTCTTACACGGGGAAGTTTGAGGGAACACAACATTCCTTAATGAATCGGCCATACACTTCTTATACATAGACACATTCATTACGTTGATTTTGAAGAACAGAACATGGAATAAACAAAATCATGAAGGTTGACAGTCAAATATTCGACATGGGACAGAGCTAAGGGGCAAGGGAGATGAAAACAAAGGCAATTGAGGATAAGATAACAAGAGCCTTGAGGATCATGAGAGGGAGGACAGTCGAGCCTGTGTCCACGAGCGAAGGGATCTGCTGTGCAGAGGATCGGAGTGGCCTAATCGAAGGAGAGGAGGTATCCATCCCTGCATCGTACCCAGACGCCCGTCCTGACCTTGCGCGGTTGTCCCTTGATCAGGGGAAGGGATTCAGTGACGCTCTCAGGATAAGAGCTCATCTATGAAGGAGCATGAGACAACAGGGGTCAGCAGCACAGGGAGGACCTGGGACTTGGATCGTTGATTCCTGTTTTTCCTTGTCACCACCCTGTTGTACCGCGGCAGGATGCCGGTGGAGCCTCTCTCGCTGGGTTGCTTAAGCTTGTCCCCATCGTCTTCTTCCGCTTCCTTCCCCTTCGAGCTAAACTTGTCGCGCGCCCGCGAACGATATGCGAGCATGGCGGCAGCGGATCCAGCTAGCAGGCAATCAAAAGTCACCTCAACCTGCTCCTTCCGCTCCAACCCTCCTTGTCCTCGTCCTCGTCCTCGTCCTTCCGTCCCTCTCTCCCCCCTTCGTCCTCCTCCTTCGTCCTCTTCTCACCGAGGAGATAGTTCGAAGTGTCACGTCGGTGTACGATCTCTTCCAGCTCTCGGGCCAGATAGGGTCGCGATTGCAGAAGGGCGGTGAGGGCGCCTGCTCGGGACGCAAGTCAACCTGTCAATGCTGCGGGGGAAGACACTGACGAGGAAAACCTTTGGTGATCTCGGCTACAGAACAAGTGTCGGACTTGACTAGACATGTTGCGCTCCTGGGTTTGCCCAGCACAAGACTGCTCGACGAAGGTCGGTACGTGAGAACGAGTAGAATGAGGAAGGGAAAAGGAAACCTCATCTCTCCCATTACAGCTCCGCTAGGCAGTACAGCAACCTGAGGTGATGCCCATCAACGAGGAGCACAGCTGGACAGTGGCAGCTGATACCTCCTTCCTGTACGCCTCAGCCCCGGACCCGAAGGAGACGAGCACACTGAGCTGAAGGGGAAAATGAGGAAGGAGGAAGACAGTTTATCCACTTCTCAGCCACCTGTCCCTCAACAACGATGAACATCGAGTCTCCTTCGTCTCCCTGCTTGCCGTCAGCCAAGTTTTACTGGCCTGTTGTCCACACCTGATGAACAAGAACTGCGCCGCAGTTGAAGGTCTTGAACACGCAGTTCGGTTTGCCATCCTGCCAAAGGTCAACGATGGGTTATAGAGGTCTCGGTGGGAGAGCACACCTTGCCAAATCCTTCGATCAGCGTACGCTGCTCTTCCTCGCTCAACATCTGTCTTGGGCATCACGAAAATCTCGTTGATCTCTCATCGTTCTATCTGTATAAGAACACCTTAAGGAAGGTGTTCTTCGATTTGTGCATGATTTGCATGAGCTTCTCCTGTTTCACATGTCGGAGACCAAACGACAGGAATGATGAGGGATATTTCAACCTTAACAATCTCGGAAGGAGCCATTGACTGATTCTGATAGAAACTTTTGAACACAAGGAAGAATTCTGTTGGCAAGAAAGAGCCATGAAAGGAGCCGAAGAAGGAAAAACCAATTAGTTTGTCCAAAAACAAGCAACGGGATCGAGTCAATATTTAGAGCATTCACACCTGAAAAAGTGTAGCCAGACTCGTAAGTTCTCTTTAGATTCAATTCCTTTGTGATTCCTTGAACCTGATCTGCAAGCAATTGACTGTCAGAGGAGAATTCTATTGCCAGTCATGCCAGACCGTCCGAAACATCCAATCCAAGGTCGGAGAGGGCAGAAATCAGCTTGTTCTCTGCCAACATCTTCCTCCAACATCAGAAACATCCAATCTCGCCAGTTTGACTGACCAGATGCTCCTCGTCGCTGCTTGCAAGTTCCATCGTTGATGCATGAGCGGCTGGAACTGCGAAGCGGTCGAAGACTTTCTGGCAATCTGTGAAGACTTTCCCGTTCTTCAATCTCGCCTGCCACCAGACAGATTGACTGTATGCACTTGCTGCCGAGGTACGACCCTTACCTTCTTCCATGCGGTCTTGTCGATCCCCGTGCACCCTGTGTCTCCCTTCTGCCAAATCTCGCCGGTGATGCTCAGACTTTTTGCGAGATAGCTGAAGTAGTTGTCGTTGGAGAGCCTTTGCTTGTCTGCGATGATGCTCATGATGAAATCGATCCAACTCTGCCTTGTCGAAACCTCGATAACAGAATCATCCCATCGAACAGAAAAGGTGTGACCTTTGATACCTGGGGATGGCCAAACACGTACGTCCTCTTGCCAACAAATGCAGATTCCAAGTTGTAGAAAGTGATCTCGAACGTCCACAGTCCTAATTTCTCCCCCGTTGAAAAATCTTGAACTTCAACCTGAAAAACACTCAAAGACCACTAAAACCAGTTGCGCTCGGACTGGAGAAGGACTCAGAGGGCACTAGGCGGAAGCTCACCTTGTCTCCACTCATTACTTCTGTTGACGCCTGGATGTATCCCACGCGCTTCATCCTCGGCGCATGACGACTCATCGAGGGGTCTTTAGGATCCAATTGGCTCTTGCTAGCATAGCGGAATTCAGCAACGTTGGGACAAACTTCGCAGAGCCTGTGGTGCCAGTCCTGGAAGGAGTAACCGAGGAGGGGGGGCTCCTCTTGGCAGTAGCGAACGGGGAGGGCAGGGAGGCCATTCGCATCCTCCTCCTCGTTGTCGAGCTTTCTGGAAATCTTCTCTTTGACCAGAGAGGCTTTGGACGGCCTCCTCACCTTCTTGCCAAGAGGACTTCCGGATCCATACGTGGATGGATCATGCAGCTTGTATAACTGACCCTGTAGAGCTGATCGCATACTTATTTGAAGGGCATCTCGGCCTCCTCATGCCTGTTTAAACATGGAAAGGCTACCCCGGCTGGCTCCATTCTCCTGTGATCTTCCAGTTTGCAACAAGATATCTCCATCTGTTTTCAGCTCATCCTAGTAGACCTACTCGAAGAAATCAGCCGCTGGAATACAGGAAAAGGAAATGGGAAAACGCATCGGAAACGAAACGTGAATGAAAAGTAAGTAAATATGAGCAACAGAGCAGGAAACAGGGAGTGAACAATGGATGGGCTTGTCCTCCTATGTGCCTCTGCCATGGATACGACGATGTGCTCATGATTTTGTATGCATCATGAAGTGCCTCGTAGCATGATCGCAAGTCAGCGCAGACTGTCCCAGAAATGCATCTGATATCTGGCTGCATAGAGCGAAGGGGACGGCATGTTCCTAACAGGGGTGGGTAGTGGGTAGCTGCTGGTATGGTATTTTTCCTTGTCATATAGGGGTAGTACACGGAACAAACTCCTGGGTATTGTAGGGTAGGGTAGGGTATGAAATTCTCAGTATTGGCAGCAGGGGTGTTGGGGGTCACTGATCGTCGGTTGATGGACTCTGAGGGGTAGGGTTGTACCACCCGGGACTGCCTGTAGAACTGGGAACCGGGGGTGATTTGAGGGATGACAGTGGGGTAGGGGTATATTAGACTGTATGCTCCGGGGTACTATCAGGGGGGTGGGTGGGGCCCGTGGGTAGTGGGGAACAGAAGTGATCACTCAACAACTTGACAGTTACGGCCCCAACCCCCCTCATCCCCGCTCCGGGCCCGGCGCCGGTTGCGCTCAGCGTGGCGCTACACTAAAGATTTTCGCATTTAGGTTACGAGCCTCTATTTGTTGGGATTACTAAGGGTGGGGGTACTAGAAGGTACCCTTCATCGTCATACTTTTCAGGTTTTCTGGGTGGGTAGGGGTCTCAACCATGGAGGGTGCTGTGTGCGAATTGCGGTATGAGGGCTTTGGAGCGAAGAGCCGCCATGCCGGCGGTGGCGGCAGGAGCGGAAGGTGAAGGCGGCAGAGGTGAAGATGCTGAACGAGTTTACATGTTATCTGCCATAAGCACATTGTCATGTGCTCCTTGAGATGAGTTGCGTGCTCCGGCGGTAACTCGTCAATTCACTTCTTGCCATGCCGGTCTCGATCAGGGGTGAAATCGACAGAGCACCTCGTTGATTATTGGATGATGGCGATGTCTTGTGTCTATGTCGAGGCTTTGATCAATTATATCACTCTTATCTTTTTCATGACTCCAGGACTGTGGCGAAATGGAAGAATGAAGTATCTTCTTCTGAGCTGCACTGCTGCCGTCTTCGTTCTCTACGTCACCATCAAGGTTGCAAATGATGCTCTCCATTAGCGAATGTTTCTCGTTGACATGAAATTAATCACGACCAGACAACATCTCCAACACAGTCGTCCTTAGCTGCGGTGTCTACCATCGGACAAGATATGGAGGACACGCCATACCATACTTGGCAGGTAATGTCTAGCGGCAACGTCGTAACAGCGTCGATTGATGGTTTCGATTGCTAGGATCTCTCGGTTGCTTCATCACTTCCACCACCTTACCTGGTTGGCTCTGTCCCGCCCCAACACCCGAGCAATGTTGTCAGGGATGTTGATGGCACTTTGCTGCCCACGGCGTCCCACGAAGCTGCGGCTCAAGTCATGTCTGTTGTCAAGGACAAACTGAAGACGCTGAAGATCGAGGATCGGTGGCACTTCAGGCGTCAGCTGGACCATCTGGAGCATCTGAGACAGAATCTTGTGAAGTTGACGAGTAGGGAGTCGAGCCTGCAAGATACAATCCACGGCTTGAGGGAGAAGGATCGTCAACTGAAGCTCGAGATGGAGAAGGTTCGGCAAGAGCGCATGTCTCCTGGCCCCCCTGGTCCTCGAGGCCTTCCAGGTCAACCCGGACCTCCGGGTGCCGCGGGCGAGAGCATCGTAGGCCCTCCGGGCAAGCAGGGGCCGCAGGGTCCAGAAGGTGACCCTGGCGTACCTGGAAACCCTGGTGGGCACTTGTATCTGCCGCATGACGGAAGGGATGACAGGATGCTGGCAGGTCCTGCGGGTCCCCGTGGAGCTCGAGGACCCAGAGGACCAAGAGGGCTTCCAGGAGATCGGGGGTTGCCAGGGAAGCCTGGGTTCACCGGCGTCGACGGTGACGAGGTAATCGACTCTCCAGTGTCGCTCGTCGTTGGATCCAAGTCTTCTTTGCACACATTCGTGACTGAACGTTCAGGGTCGTCCTGGACCTCGTGGAGCGATGGGTCCACCTGGCCTCAGGGGGCCATCAGGTAGGAATCAGTTGGCGTCTGGATGTCGCGCTGACCTTGTTTGGCTTGCAGGGTTCCCGGGTCTTCCTGGACTGAGAGGTCGGCAAGGATTCCCAGGGACCGATGGAGTTGAAGGGCAGGTAAGTCAATCGTGTTTGCAATGCCTGGCCCAGCATGGCCGCAGCTGATATGCCCGCGTGTAGGTTGGCCCTCCGGGTCCGCCGGGTCCACAAGGCATTCGGGGCATCCAGGTCAAAGAACTGTCGTCATGAGACGCTTGCTGAGACGTCTTGTAGGGTTGGCCGGGACCCACGGGACCTCGGGGCAACCAGGGATTGCCCGGAAGAACTGGAGCTAGGGTAAGAGCACAACGATCCTGGTGGCTTCGTCGAGACCTGATAGGCTTTCTCGTGCTAGGGTGCAGCAGGTCCACCTGGACCAGATGGAATGCCGGGAGCGCCGGGACCTAATGGACCTGTGAGTTTGACTGCACTAGTGCTGTTCGTGTCCCCCGAGCTCCCATGACTTGGCTGATGCAGAACGGAGCCGAGGGTGCTGTTGGACAGCTCGGACCTGCGGGCATTCCTGGCCCTCAGGGAGTCAACGGAGCCCAAGGTGACGATTAGGATGGATATGATTGGCTCGAAGTGAATTGTTCTGGGCCTGCAGGAATTGTTGGGATCCCCGGGACTGCCGTCATCGGTCCGCCCGGAGATAACGGCGAAAACGGTCTTTAATGATTCAGCCGTTGATGGGGCTCATTGATTCCTATGGCAGGCGTGCCGGGTGACTCCGGAGAGAACGGAGCTGCAGGAGCTCCAGGATCCGACGGCTCGCCTGGCGCAGCGGGTGAGAGCATCGGAGGGTTGTGGACCGGAAAAGCCTCACTAACTTCCTTCGCGTGCAGGCAGCAACGGCGCGCCAGGGGAGAACGGAAATCCTGGAGTTCCTGGCATCCAGGTGGACGTGGGTGGGTAGCATGCACGACTGCTGAATGTGGTGCAGGGAGTCGACGGAAGAGACGCGTCTCTCAGGGCTGCCTCGTGCAAGGTGAGGGTGGAGGACTTTCTCCTTCAGTCTGACGATGAGCAGATTGGAGACCTGTACCCTTCTCCTCACTTCTGGGGGACCGACACGGTGATAGGCAACCTGCCTTGCCCGGCGCTTCTGACAGACTCGCAGGAGCGCTTCGGAGGATGGTGCTACACCCCCCGACAGGAGGCCCGGACCTTTGAGGAGGCCGAGCACGTCTGTCGGGCCTGGGGGGGGCATGTGTTCAGGTAGGCCGCGAGGAGGCGACCTGCCGTCGTTGACCGTCTCCCCCCCAGCTACCAGTCGGTGGACGAGATGGAGATGGCGGTGCGGCTGTTCGGCCACACTCATTTCTGGGTGGGTCTCAGGAGGATGTCCGACTCGGGTGAGATGGTCCCGTCGGAGGCGCAACAGCCCAGCTGACGTCGGGCAGGTGGTCTCAACGGGATGTACCGCTTCACCGACAGCACCGACAACACGTACGCCAACACAAGGTGGCAGTCCGGCCAGCCGTCGAATGCAGGCGGCAACCAGTGGTGCACGGAGATGGTGTGGCAGGCGCAGATGCAGGTGAGGAGGAGGTGGAGGGGAGAAGGGAGGAAGGAAAGGTGACACCATGAGCAGACGGTCCGCTGTGACTCAAGGTTGCCTTTCATTTGCAAGAGAGAGTCGAACGCACCATAGGCCTTGTACGATAAAGAACATCAAGCCCAGTGCTCTGCCTCGTCTGTCCCGCTCCCGAGAAATCTCCTCCCTCCCTCCCTCCCTCCCTCCCTCCCTCCCCTCTTTTCTTGCGACCACGTCACATTCTGCTCTGCATGACCTCCAAGTAGAGGTCCTCAATCTTCTTCCTGCCCCACTCGTTCTCTTTCTTCCGGAGGAACTTGAGGCTCGAGGACAGGGAGGGATCGTTCCCGAAGCAGCGGATGCCAGTCCCTGCGTCAGGGTGAGGATCGAACGTCCCCGCGCTCTCCTACTCACTCTGAAACATCTCGTCATACCCGATGTCTGTCGCTAGCCACGTCACCATATCCTTCAAGGTCACGCCCTCCAGCTGGGATCGGTCGACCCGCCGAGGACGTCTCGAGGAGTCTGGCAAGGGATGAGAACGAGGGTAGGAAAGATGTCCACCTAGATCTCACCTGCGTTGCCGGGTCTCCTTTCCACCCTCTCCCTCCTCTCTGCCGGGGGCTCTCTGTCTCTCCTGCTCGGCTTGTCCATCGGCATCTGGGAGGAGGAGCGAGCTTCTCTCGGAGCTCTCTCTCGTCCAAGGGAAGCCACCTCTCTCATGTCGCTCCCTGCTGCAGGTCTCCTCCTCTCCTCCCCTGGTCCCATCGGGGCAGGTCTTCTCCTCTCCTCCCCTGGTTCCATCGGGGCAGGTCTTCTCCTCTCCTCCACTCGGCCAATCGGGGCACGTGTGTCCTCCCTTGGCTGTGCCGTTGGCCGCTCAGCCGACCCAGCGCTAGCGTCCGCTCGTTCAGCATCGACGAGCTCGCGAATTTTCTTCTCAGGCTTCTCCCGCTTTGCTGCACAGACCCAGTTAGCAATTGATGAGGCAGGATCAGCACGTTGCGCCTACGCTTGATCTTATTCTCTTGTATAATCTCCTCCTCCAGCGTCTCTGCATCGAATACGAAGATTTCCAAGAAAGAATCCTGGAAACAAGAACAACAACATCATCATCATTTCCGCAGCATCCTGCACGTGGCAGATGTTCTCACCGGTTGGATGTACTGCTCGCTATCCTTGGATGTAAGAAACACAGGAATCTTGACGTCGCCTCCGATGTTGTTCGGGTCGCCGGGAGCGAAGAGTTGGTCGTCTGAGTTCAAGATCAGAAGCGCGTCCGACGCCGACTGCTGCTCGTTCGTTAGTACTACAGGCTCTGCGTAACTTCTATACATCACCTGAGCTCGCAAGGCCTTCGCTACGAACGATTCTCCTCCTCTGCGCATGATCATGATCTTTCGGCTGTTCTTGCCGCGTCCCTCCGTTGTTTCCTTGTCCTCCTCGAAGGCAGCAAATCCAGAAATGCTGGTCCAGCGGGGACCGAAGGAGGCGCGGACGCAAGCGAGCTCGACTGTGTCGTCCACTGTCAACGAGCCGATACCGTCTAACGCATGAGCTTTGGGCAAGCTCAGCAGCTTCTGGTCCTCCTCCTCTCCCGTCATGACGGAGTTGTCCTCTGTTGCGATCGGTTGCTCGCTGGCTCCTCCGCTGCTGAGGGAGAGGAGCTCTGCTCTGATCTCCTCGTTCTTCTTGTTGGCTCTGATCCCCCACTGCTTCGCAAGGTCCTGAAGCTCCTTCCTCGAGAGCAATTCCAGGTCCTCCACACTCCAATGGACCTGCCCTCCTCCTTCCTCACCTTCGCCAGTGCCATGGCTGTGCTGGAGGGGGCTGCAAAGGGGAGATCGACGACTGCCTGGTAAGGCAAAGAAGCTGGGGAGGGCTCCAGCACGAGGAGAGCAGCGTCGATACCTTGTTAGAGGTGATGGAGGAGCAGGAGGTGCGAAGAAAGCAAAGAGCGAGGAGGAAGAGAGTGAAGGGGAGGAGCAGGACTTTGAAGAGGAGGAAGAGGAGAGTGAAGGAGAGGAGGAGGAGAGTGAAGGAGAGGGTGGGGACAAAGAAGGAGAAGGGGGGGACAAAGAAGGAGAAGGGGGGGACAAAGAGGAGGAGAAGGCTGAGGGCGCCATGAGGCTCAGGAGCGCCGCTACCGCCAGGCGTCGCATCGTTGATAAAATTCCCCGACTAATGGGAGCTCATGATGGAGGGGTGGGGGTGGTTAATTAGTACGGAGTAAAATGGGACTAGTGGGGTACTGAGAAGGGGGTAGGGGCCGAAAAAATGCAAGGTGTGCTGGGGCTGTGTTTGTTAGTAGCCATGGCAGGGGGGATGATGACGGTTGGAGCGACGATGGGAGAAGAGAGCTTGCAGGGAAAGACGATGAGAGGAGATGGGAGGATGCAGCCTTGTGCTGGGTTCGTGGGATATCTGCCATGCAAGGTGGCAAGGTGCCAGGGTCAACGACGACGATGTTGCCTGATAGGAAGGATAGACAAGAATCATAGGAGAGCGAGCTTGAGATCTTCTCAGGTTATGCTGAGAATGACAGGGAGCGATGAATGGATGTTCACGTCGGCCAAGGGCTACGATGCTTCCAAGAAGAACGCTATAGACATACCTGTGCTGGTCAAAGTGTTCGGAGAAGAAATCTTTCCGGGAGAGGAGAAGTGGATCTCAGCCAGCAAACCCTCCGATGAGCTTCTCCTGCGCGAAACTCTCGCCAAGAATGCGAGCATGGCATACGTGTCCGGCGCAAACAGCAGAGAGCCGACGGGTGGCAACGTCGGCTTTCTGTCCGGGTCAACGGCCATTCTGGTCAAAGTTGTGGCTGCAGAGGAGACGAGGAGTCTGGTGAGAGCGTTTGGTCGGCTGCAGCTCCTTGCTCTCGTACATGACAAGCCGTACATCGTGGCGTCGGCGGTTCCGAAACGAGATGCTGTGATGACGGCAAGGAGTGTTGAGATCCTGAAGAGCTTGCAGGTGATGAAATACATGTCGACATTTCTTTCAACATGTCCTTCAACATGTCCTTCAACATGCCTTTCAACATGTCTTTCAACATGTCTTTCAACATGTCTTTCAACATGTCTTTCAACAAGTCTTTCTACATGTCTTCCTACATGTCTTTCCACACCCACGACGTCTCTCAACATCTTTCCATTTTCACATGGGGGCTGCAACGGTAAATCTCAGTCCGCAGGAGAAGATGACCAAGCTGTACGAAGAGTACAAGCAGGTGCAGGCGGCGATAGTGAAGAAAAGATTCGAGAAGAAGATGGAAGAGGTCAGGGATAGCGCCTTCCTCGCGGATATTCCCTTCGACGAGCACATGAAACTCGTCAACTCCACGGCCAGAGAACGTTCCACGGGCAGAAAAACTGCAGGTTCGTCATGTCATAAGGTGGCAGAAATTTCATGAATGTGCTGTTCTGTTGTGCTGCCGTCTTGTTGTGCTTGCTGCTGCGATGTATTCTGGTTGTGTCTTCAAGTTCAGACTGTCAGGCTTCTTGTTGATGTCGACCTCTTTGTTGGCTCTGATGGAATCGCAGAGGGCATTCTTCAATCTGTTGATCAAAGAAGCCTCGGGGAACAACTTGACGAGCTTCTTGCAAGGTTGATGGTGTTGAAGTCCTTCGTTCTCTTTCTTCTGTCCTCCCCCCCTCCCTCCTTTTCCTCTCGTCTAGACTGATCCAATCTCTCGCAGTCTCTCCTCCCTCCCCGTGTCCTGGGAGGATACGAGGGACGTGCAAGATCGAGCTCTGCTGCAAGCAGAGATGACTTCGTTCCTAGTCCTGCGGTTGTCGTGTCGGATGATTTCAGTCAGCTGACGGAACGGCAGAACGTTTGACATGGACTCTAGAGAGAGAAAAGCTCTTTTGGAGGTGACTTGATCTGCCCTCACGATCGATGACGATGGGGAGAAGAGGGGGAACAGGAGGGGAACAGGAAGAGGAGGAAGAGGAGGCGGTAGCAGTTTGTTGTTGTTGTTGCTGCTGCTGCTGCTGATGATGATGATGATGATGATGATGATGATGATAATGATGATGATGGTGAAATCGTTGTTTGTTTTGAATCAGAGCTCGGATTGTTTGAAAAGGACCATCAAAGCCATCGAGCGGCTAGAAAATGTACTTCTACTCCTGCTCCTGCTCCTGCTCCTGCTCCTGCTCCTGCTCCTGCTCCTCTTGCATCGCTTTCATTCCCTTCCACTTTCGTTGCTGAGAAGTTTCCAGGACTTACCAAGACTACGTGCAATCTTGGCGCTTTCGGGGATATGATGAGGACAAATCATCTTGTTATTGTACATACCGCACTGATTTTGCCTCTCCTCGCCCTTCCAGCCATCCTTCCCTTCCCTCCTCCCCTCTTGCACTCCCCTCTCACCCGCTCTGCTATCATCTCACTCCTCCTCCTCCTCCTCCTCCTCCTCCTCCTCCTCCTCCTCCTCCTCCTCGACCTGTCTCACGTTGTCCGTGCCCTGCTCACCGGAAGATGCTTTCATACGTGATGATCCGATCTCCGATCCTCATGGCGGACTCAAACCGAACCTTCTCCTGCTCCTTCCGCAGCCGCATCAGCTGCCTCCTCAGCCCTCCCTGCAGCAGCCTTGCCGCCTTCGCCTTGACCTGCAGCGTCTCCTCTGCTATCCTCCTCCTCACGCTCTCGTGGTATGCGTCTCGCTCGAGGAAGCACCGGACTTTTCCTTGCAGGATCATGATGGCTGGCGCGATTCTGCGGGCCTCTTGCTGGAGGAGCAGGCGGCGGCAGGCGGACTGGAGGGTGACGATGGAGGAGAGGAGGCGGCGGAAGGTGAGGGAGGAGAAGGACTCCATGAACTCGCTCCTCCTCGCCTCCATCCTCACGGCCGCCTGCAGCTTCGCTGCCGCCCTCTTCCTCACCGTCGGGGCGTTGCGCGTTATCCTCGCGTGATTCATCTTGCTCCTCCTGATATTCACCAGCGACAAAGCGCCCCTGCTCGCCTCCTCCCCGTCGTGCTGCTCCAGCCATCGCTGCGTCCTCATAACCGTCGTCCTACTCTTTGCGGTCTTGACCTCCTCCTCCCTCCTCCTCTTCTTCTCCCTCCAGCCCTTCACGGTGCTGTGGAACCATCGCTGGATCTTGATCGCTGCGCTCAGCCGCATTGCCTCGGCCCTCTTCTCCTGCACCAGCTCCGACAGCCTCAGCAGGAGCGTGACGTTGGCTCCTCCTCGCACCATCGTTCGCATCCTCTCCTCTACGATCTCTGCTTCTGCAAGGCAGCGCATCACCTGCCCGCTCTTCACCGTCAGCTGCTGCCCCCCCTGCTCCTGCTCCAGCTCCGCCAGCAGCCATTTCAGCCTCCTCTCCTTCGCCTCTTCCGCCTCCCGCTGGATCTGCAGCCTCCTCCTCTTCAGGGCATTGTAACGGATAGCTGCTGATGAAGGCCGTACTTGCTCCTGCTCCTGCTCCTGCTCCTGCTCCTGCTCCTGCTCCTGCTCCTGCTCCTGCTCCTGCTCTTGCTCCTGCTCCTGCTCCTGCTCCTGCTCCTGCTCCTGCTCCTCATGCACTTCCTTCTGCTGAAGGAGCCTGTTTTCCTCATCCAGAGGTTCTTGACCTTCACGAGAGTGCTTGTCTCCCCGCCGCCCATCCGTTTCCTCTCCTCCCTCCTGCCTCTCCCAACGACGCACACGCTTCCCCTCTGCGGGTGCAGGAAGACTGATCTTGCGACGAGGATGGGAGAAGCAGGGAGAGTTGCCCCTCGGCCCTTGCGGCATGAAGGTGACGGTCTGGCTGAGAGCTCTGGTCCTTTCCAGCTTCGCTACCTCCTCCTCCAGCATCGAGCTCTGGATCCTCTCCTGCAGCCTTTCCGCCATGCTCAGCTCGCAGTGTAGAACTCGCGACTCCTGGCCCTCCAGCAGCGCTCTCGCCATCTTCCCTTGCTCGCGTTCTCGGTGCGAGCAGCGGTCGACCTCTGCCTCCTGCTCCCGCAGCCTCCTCACGATGGTGCTGTCCCTGGGCACGTGGAGGAAGGGGAGCTGCTGCTTCATCAAGCTCCTCTTGACGACTCGGACCTGGTGGGGCAGCGAAGCGTGTGGGATGGCGGGAAGGAGGCAGGAGACTTTCGCCTCCTCCACCCTCCCGCTCCTCTCCACCGTCTGCATCAGAGTCTCCCCGACCGCCTCCGACCCCAGCAGGCTTCGAGCTCTCTCCCGGATTTGCGGGACTTCCGTCATCCACATCCCCCGCTGCTTCCCTGCCTGGACCCGCAGCTGCTCCTTCCCTACCGAATGCCCGACGACTCGGGAGAAGAGCCGGTCGAACGGCTGCTTCCTCCTCTCACACCACAGCCGAGCAGAGAGGAAGTGAAGGCGGATCAGCCGACACCGCAGGCAGGCCTGGAGAGTGATCGAGGCAGCAAAACGTAGCGCGTACCTGCTCCTCCTCTCTGTTCTCCTCGCAGCTGCTTGAAGGACCCTCATCACAGCGTGGGGGTTCATGAACGACCACTTGAGCAGCAGCGGAGGACTTATCCTCCTCCTCGCGCACGCTTGCAGTCGCTCTACCGGCCAGACCTTGGCAGCAAGCTCATGCCTTCCTCTCACCTGCATCGAGAAGTCGAGCCTGTTCACCGTCCTCCTCAGCTTCGCCTGTAGCACACAGGTCCCCGCTCGTCGAGCCCTGTGCTCAGTCGAAGCTACACCCATCCTTAGCGCTGCCTGCAGCCGGCAAAGGAGCCTCGTCCTCCTCACTCGCCTCCACAAGAATCTGCTCAGGAAACGAATCCCGTCCTCTCCAATCCTGTTCAGCGCGAAGTTGCAGCTGGCCTGCAGGCGGACGGCAGCACGGACGATGGTCAGCCATTGCAGACGGAATTTCGTCCGGACGAAACAGACGGAGAGAAATTTCACAGAAATCCGCAGCTTCTCCTTCCTGTCGATGGCGAGTCGCCTCCTGACCGCAGCCTGGAGGACGGTAGCACACGAGGATGCGACAGCCTCGACCATCCCCTTCACTGCAGCCTCCACCCAACCATCGCAGTACCTCCTGCTTGCGCTACCCCGTCGTACCATTGCTTGGAGGGAGGATACTGCAGACCGAGTCCGCTGGTAGTCACTCTTTGACTGTCTTGCCCGGGCCAAGGACACGAGTAGAGCAGAACTTTCAATCGTCTCCGCATGTCTCCTGCGGCTGATTGTTCTCAACGCACTGATACCTATGATCTCAACGGACCGCTCGACGACTATCATCCTCCGCGTAAGGATTTGAACCAGCGCTCTTGAGCAAGCTCTTGTCAACGATTTTGCGCTCGTTTGCCTTTCGACGAAGCTCCTTCTTCTCACCACCGAGTTCACAACAGCCTTCAACTTCACAACATTCCTGGAAGCCATCTCTGCTCGCAGGCTTGCCTGCAGCGTGCTTGCCGACTCGTTCCTGATCTTGTCTCGCTCTTCCAACAGGAGAGGGAGTTGAACGATGCTCCTTGTCGCACAAGACACAGCTATCCTCTGCAGCACGCATATTTGTCTGGCCATCAGGATGTAGCGTTGCCGGCACATTCTTCCAACCCAGAAGCTCTGCAGCACACTCGACGCTTTCTGTCTCAAGTAGTGATCTCTGATTAATCTCGCCTTCACGTATTGCAAGATTCTTGCCTTCTCTGGTGAGCAGCCTATCGGCGAATGAAGGAAACCATCCTCATCTTCGTACTGTCCCATCGACCATGGAGTCGACCTTGGAAACTTTAAGACAAGATGAAGATTTCCTGTCCCTTCACTCATGCTTGCGGTGGCAGGTGTCAACCAGAATTGAAAGCAGTGTCCTGTGCAGTAGCTCTTGATCCTCCCGCTGTTTATCCACTGCACTACGACTACCTCCCCCTCGTTGGCTTGCAGAACAACCCCAGGCCCCTCCTCTCCTCGAGTTCGAAAGTTCATGCCATTGAGCGCAGAGCGACCCTGAGAACTCAATCTCACTGTCATTCCTTCCAAGGCAGGAAAGTCTAGTCCAACTGCACACTCCTCATATGGGGAACCAAATGCCTTCCTGCGCTGTATTGCTGTCACAACGAAGTCTACCTCAGACGTGTCAAGCTCCCAGCTGAAAACAAGACCCCAAGGATTGCTGACTGCACAGCCTAGCCGCCAACGACAAAAGGAGTCGAACCCCAGAGAAGATTGTCTCTTGCTCCTGATCTTCTCCTCATGTCCTGCATACCACTCCCTGATTCTAATCCGCTCTTGGACCAGGTACATCCAACCCATGAAGTATCTCGCAGTTGACGAGCCTTTCATACGATGAACTATTCTATTGCATAATTCTCGCACGCGTATCAGCTCGTGAGTCTTGTCGATCCATGCTTCGAATGCTGAGATGACTGGTTTCCTTTTCACAAACTTCTGAAGGCGAACAAGCTTGGTCATCATATCTACCATGGCCGTATCCTGACCTTGACCTTGACTGAGCCATCTCTGATTTGATTGTCGTGTTCCCCTCTCATGCTCAGTGAATTGCGATGGATGCCTGCGGTCTTCTGCGCTTGTGTTTAACATCACAAACTTTGACCTTCCATCGAGACACAACATTTCAACGTTGATGTCTTGCCGCTCAATGCTATCAACAACACGAGAAATCTCTTCCATGCTCATCCCAGACCTATGAAAGTGAAGTCATGTTTCTTCCCTCCACCTCATCCTCTCAGATTACACGTTATGTCCTGCTATGGAGACCAAGGCGTCGCCCTTGAATATTCTCCCCGACCTCCATGCCGCTCCATGCTCGACCACCTGCGGGCAACCTTCATCTTCATCCCCATCATCAACCAGCTCACGTGAGTGACTCGAGGAAGCGCCTCCTCCTTGCCGCGCGCCATGGCCACCCCGAGCGCGGCCACCATGCCCGCCATGCCGCCAGCCCGGCCGTTGATGCGGACCAAAAAAAAATCACAGGTGAAGGGAATGAGGGGGATGAGTGGTCTGTGAATGTCAACTTGGAGGATATATCATGACTTCTCATCACAGGGTAGGGGTGGTCAAGACCTCTTTGAGGAGGGGTACTCTAGTGGTCATTCGAGGAGGTTGGGGTGATGGTCAAATGGACTCTGAAAATTTTAGAACCACATTCAAGAAGGGGGGTAGGGGTCATGATGTACGGGTGAATTTGACTCGAATTTGATGGTGTTTGGTGGAAACGTTTGAGGATATTTTGATTTGGAGGGGGTGGGGTACAATTACTCGTAAAAAAAAGAACGTCACTCCGTCAAACAACAAGTGGCGACATGGTGCAAGGGGTCGAAGGATGGCGGCAGAAGAGAGGAGAGAGAGTGAAGAGGGAGCAGAAGAAGATACGAAGAGAGTGAGAGAAGACTGAAGGGTGTTTGTAGGATAGAGTCGAAGTGAGAGCATCAGTCATGTCTCTATTTTGTCGCCTTGGCGAGTGATTTGATCTTTCGTCTTTTTGTCATTCGCCTCTAGGGGAGGAGGAAGCTATATTCCTACACAAGTATGGCTTTCGTGGCAAGCACAGCAGCGAATGGTGCACGGAAGATGCTCAAAGCCCAAGTCGGGTGAGCATTGCGACCAACCCCGTAGTGCCAATCTCACCTTGCGTGAAATAGCCTGGGAATTTCCAAGATTGACAATACAAATCCTCTGATCTCACAGTTTCAAATCGTCAAATCAGGTGAACAGATCAAACAGCTGCCTTATGTGTGACGCCTATCAATGAATCCACCAGACACCTTTTATTATGGTGCTGGAGAGCAAAGACGAAAGGTTTGGACCTGACTCGCTCTCTTTGTTTTTCTGAAATCGTTGAACAGATTGTGTTGCTCAAAGATCGTCTTGCTATCGCTCTAGAAGGCGACGATGTGATGTTGGATTACATCCCCCTACATGAGGTGAGGTTGGGGTTACCTTGTCTCTCGGAGCTGACAAGAACTCGAAGATCGAGGTTGTGCAAAACGGTCATCATGACATCCAAGCGCTTTTCAACGAGATCGATACCGACGGGAATGGATGTCTGTCGTTGCAAGAGGTGGAGGATTCTTCACGCTGCCTCTTTCTTGACCTATGGCCATTCCCGAAGTTGAACCTAGCGATGTCGAGGTTTGGGATCAGTTCCAGGAGGATCGCAGCCATTTACGAGGTCAGACAATCTACAGGCTGTCTTCTGAAAATTCTGAGATTCTTGCTTGACAGGAAGCTGACATGAACAAGGACGGTCAGGAAGTTCGAATCTGCCAGACGAAGCGTTGAAATGTTTGTTTGCAGGAAGCATTCAGTTCGAAGAGTTTCAGAGATCGATTCTGCCAGCAATCCTGATGGAGAGCAAGGTTCGCAACTGTTAGCTCTACTTGATTTATGCCAATGAGCTTGGAAAATCAGGAGATTCTGCATGTCAGGACGATTGCTGATGGGTACAACTCAGGCACTTGTTTATACCTTATGTGGTGGAAGGGAAGTGAAGCATACTACAGGAAGAACATATTCATTTCGAATCTTCAGTCTTGATAAGTTGTCGGAGGATTACAAGATCAAGGTGATGTACTGTGTGATTTATGTACTATTCTCTTCATTCTTCTCATTATTGCAACCCTCTCGCCAATGATGCTGCCTTGCCGATGCTTCTGAAGGACTTTTCTTCTGCAGTTTGTCGAGGAGTGGATCTCAACCATGGAGCATCAGATTACTGTGTAAGATTTGACATGTGGAGTTAGTAGACTTCTCAACCTGCTTGTATAGTGCAACCAAAACGTGGAAGAGAAACAACTTCTGGACGACTCTAAGGGTAAGCAGTGAAGGTTTCTGCATCCTGGTAGATGATGACTATTGCATGGTAATGTAGAAAAACCTATCAAGAGTCTACGATTCAAACATAACACAAACATTCTTCGCTCTTCTCATTGCATTGAACTTCTGTGCTACAGCAGCAGAGCTGCAGGTAAAGAGAGGAAGGTGCGCGCTACATTGCAGATGCAAATGAATGTGAAGGTGACGCCGGAGGAGGGATCGAGTACATCGCACATGTTTGAGATGCTCGACGTGGTGATATGACTGTCATCATGACTTATGCAAAACTTTCTGACTGGCGGGTGTGAACAGGGTTTCACGCTCGTGTTTGCGTTCGAGCTGCTGGTCAATATGTGTGCCCATTGGTTTTTTGAATTCTGGAGAGACAAGTAGGAGAACCAAGCAGGAGGGTCGAAGTGACTCACATTCCTGTTTCCAGTTGGAACGTGTTCGACTTTATTGTAGTCTCAGTCACCATCGTCTCGCTCGGACCAGGTCTTCATGGTCGTCACGTTGCAGGCTGCCTTGTGACGACTAGGCGCAGTGAGTTTGCCCTTCATCAAGACTCTTCGATTGCTCCGAGCGTTTCGAGTGATGAGGATCTTTGCGAGGTGAGTGAAGATGGGGGAGAGCAGGAGAGGGAGAGCAGGAGAGGGGACAAGAGAGGACGATAGGCGAGGAAGAGAAGGAGAAGAAAATGGAGAAAGCAAGGAGGAGGAGGAGGAGGAGGAGAAAAAGGAGGATGAATGGACAGCGAAGAGGAGGAGGAGGAGGAGGAATAGAAGGCAAAGGGGAGGAGGAGGAGGTGAGGCTGATGATTTGATTCTTCAGGCTGAAATCTTTAAGGATGTTGATCAATGCTCTCACGGCCTCCATCTTGTAACGACAACACAGGAGGGTCAGCCATGGTCAAGATTGACTTTGACACGTCAGGCCTGTTCTCAACGCGATGCTGATCGTCTTTCTCGTCATGGCCATCTATGCGGTCAGTTGTCTCTCTGACTGCCCTGTCCCTCCGCTGAAACTCTTGCAAGGTGCTGGGAGTGAGCTTCTTCCGCAAGCGAGACGAGAATCACTTCAAAACCTTCGCCCAGGTCCTGCGATCGTCTCGCGTCTTAGGGGAGCCTCGCCTTTAATTGTTCTTCGCAGGGAATCTTCACCATGTTTCAAGTGAGTGATCAAGAGATGCTGGGGAACGAGTGAGAAAGGCAGAGAGAGAGTAAGGAAGGAGGAAGGAGACATGCAGGCAGGCAGGCAGGCGGAGGGAGAGGAAAGAAGGCAGGATAGAGGTAGAGAGGAGGAGGGGAGATGTAAATCAGTTGTCAGGTGTCAACGTTCGATGACTGGGCAAGCATCTCCCGCGATCTCTTCAACGCGGATGGCTCGATGACTCCAGGATCGGCTCTGTTCTTCGTCTCCTTCCTCATCATCGTCTCCTTTACCCTTCTCCCCGTCGTCATCGCCGTCCTCCTAGACAACTTCACCACGGCGACAAGGAGGGAGAAGGACAAGAACGAGCGGGAGAAGCTGGAGCGAGAAAGGGGGGAGGGGACAACAACATCCATCGACCCGCTCCTTCAGACCTTCATCAACGTCAAGTCCGATGAGGAGATGAAGAAACGCTGCTCCGACCTCTTCGACCGCCTCGACGTCGACCGATCCGGCGCGCTGAGCTGGCAGGAGCTCTATGAGGGGCTTAAGAAGATGGAGTTCAAGCCCAGGATCAATTTCTCCCAGGACGAGTACAACGCCATCACCCTCCAGCACTCTCTGTGCGATGCTGATGGCGAGCTGGACAAAGACGCGTTCGAGAGGACTTTGCGGATCCAGATGTTGAGCTTCGCCGAGAGAAACCTGGCCAACTCTCTCCCAGCTGTCATGAGGGACGACCAGCACTTCGGCTTCGTCATGTTCGCGCTGAAGCTCGCGGTGGGAGACATCACGAAGAGAACGCTTGGGGTTGACGTCAGCAAGAGGACGAGGGAAGAGGAGCAGCAGCAAAGCTCGAGCATATCGCACGTGGAAGACTCAAAGACGTCAAGGGGAGGAGATGAATCCAAGGTTTCAAAGTCGATCGAAACTCTATGCTGACCTGACGGCATGCAGGAAATGATGATGCAATTCATGGCTGCTGTGAACAAGCATAATACTGCTATCATGGAAAGGTTGCTCTCTCCTGCTTTCACAGCTATATGATCCTGATCCTGATCCTGATCCTGATCCTGATCCTGATCCTGATCCTGATCCTGATCCTGATCCTGATCATGAAGAGGATGGTTACATGTACTGATTGTTGTTGATCGAGTCTATTCGGTTTGAGAACGATGGTGATGAAAATTGCAATTCGAGGAGGAGGATTAGGGGAGGAAGGGAGGAGGGGAACATATCAAAGGCAATAGTAATGAAGTTGCCTCGATGATTGCAGATTGGAAGCGCTTGAAAACAAGATCGACAATCTGTCGTCGAAACATACAAAGGAGGAAGCAAAGAAGACGAGGAGAACCATGCCGAGAGAAGTTGACACCGAGAGACGAAAACTCAACAAGCCGGAAGGACGACGTTCGAGCACCAACGTGAGCAGCAATATGTTGCTGCTTCATGCCATCCTGATAAGACAGAGATGAAGAGGAGAGGATCTATGTTATGCTGATATGATAGCAATCTTAATGCTGAAGGTCTTGATGGTCATTTTCCAGGGTTTTCACAATCTCTTCCAAATTCACCCTGCAGCACAGAATGAGGTAAGAAGATGAGAAGAAACGATTCAACATCGATCATGATTGCGATTCAGCGGCAAGAAGACAACTTCATGAATTCGATACGACGAACTCATTCTGATCCGCAAGAAGACAACTTCATGAATTCGATACGACCAACTCATTCTGATCCGAAGGACGAACCCATAGACATGTGAACTTCTGTCTTTGCCTCATCTTTTCATGCTACAATCATCCGCAATGCTCAGCAAATTGCCATCAACATCCCTTCAATCATCATCATCGGCTCTTAATCCTACTCCTCCTACTCCTCCTCCTACTCCTCCTCCTACTCCTCCTCCTCCTCCTCCTCCTCCTCCTCCTCCTCCTCCTCCTCCTCCTCATACTCCTACTCTTCCTCCTCCTATTCCTACTCCTACTCTTGCTTATTCTCATCCTCCTACTCCTACTCCTACTCCCTTGTGGTATCAACAACTCAGATCATGTTCAGGAACGCCTGGTTGTCAGAGATTGATCGCGTCTTGCCCGCTGGCAAACATTCAAGTTTGAAGACTTCCTCGCGCACAAGAAATGTCTCGAACTCAGAGTTTGTAAGAAACTTGTCATTGTTACTTATTGCTTCTCCTTTCTATCCTCCTCTCCTCTCTCCTCCTTCTCCTCTCCTCCCCTGCCCCCCTACCTCCCCTCCCCTCCCCTCCACTTCCCCTTCTCACCCGTCTCCTCCTCTTTCTTTCTCACCTGTTCCCTCCCCTCCCCTCCTCTCCTCTCTCCTCCCCTCCTCTGCTTCGTGCTCATAGCAGATGACGCACTTAAGGTGGTCGTGGATAATCCGCAGGGCGGCAGCGTCAACTTGCGCAAGGTGACAAGAAGAAAAGGAGTAGAGGAGGGGAGGGAGGAGAGGAGCGGTGCGGTGGGGAGAGGAGAGGAGGTGACGATAGCAAGAGGGGAGACGAGAAGCAGAGCAGAAGGGGAAAGAAGGAGAGGATAGCAGAAGAGAGAGAGGAGAGGAGTAGAGGTGGAGGCGGGTTGCTGAGACGGCTGGTGCGATTGCAGACACACGCGTCCATCATGTGACATAAGGAGGAGAGAAACTTTCTAGAAATGATCGGAGACGGAGAAGTCGACAAGAGATTGAGAGAAAGAAATGTGAGAACAGGTTGAAAAAGCTAATATGATGTCAAAGTATTGAAGAAGTCCATTGAAAACTATTCATGTACATTCGTACCAACATCCCTCCCTCCCTCCCTCCCTCCCTCCTCCAGGTTCCCGTCACTGACTCAAGTCGACTCGTCTGCTCGGCTTATCGTAGTTTACTTGTATCCTCGACTCTATCACATCCCCCCTCCTCCTCCCTTCTCGCCGCCTCGTCCCGTCGGATCACGCAAGGCAGACGCTCCCCGTCGACGCTGCCGCCGTGGAGGCGCTGGAGGCGCTCGATGTAGGCGATGGCGGCGCGGAGGCGGGCGAGCTGGAGGGCCTTGAGGGAGCAGACAGGAGGAGGGGACGAGGACAAGGACAAAGAGGAGCAGAGAGAGGCAGAGGAACAAGAGGAGCAGGGAGAGGCAGAGGAGCAGGAGCAGGACAAGTGCGACGAGGGCGACGCAGGCGGGTCGCTGTCCGAGAGGCGCCGGGGAGGAGAGCTCATGGCGTCCGGAGATGCAGAGGAACAAGAGGGGCAGGGAGCGCGGGACGAGCAGGAGCAGGACCGGGAGGATCGCGGACGAGCAGAGCACATGGTGTCGGGCTGAGCGGCGGACAGCGAGGGTGACGCAAGGAGACGACGAGGGGGCTATGAAGGGACCTGAGATCCGAAAAGCCTCCATATCAGATCCGTCAGCCCCGAGACCTCACATATCTCGCAAGCAGACTCCATAAGAGCTTCTTTTCTGCTCCATGCCTGCTGCCTGCTGAGATCGAGAAGGATCTTGAGTCGTCGAGAAGCCGGGGGAAAGCAGGGTCACGGACTCCAAGTTTAGTCTTCTTGGGACGAAGCAGGCGCATGTGCGTCTCCTCGCCGAATCTCTGGGATAGCCCCGGGTGAACATCTAAAGGTGTCACTACGGGGTGCTGTGACCGGTATCGTGACGTATTGGGGGCTCGAGGTATCGTGATCGGGCGTCCGCCTTCTTCGGAACATCATTTTACGTATCTTGAGCAGGGTCACGGACTCCAAGTCTTGTCGCCTTCTTCGGAACATTGCCTCCTCACTTGTCTGGGGGGATTGCTCTCTCGTACTCGCTCCATCGAGATCCTCCATCCTCGGGCTGCCCAGGTGCTACCATACTCACCTCGTCAACCTTCGCCAGGGGAGGGAGGGTGGAATGTCGCTCCCTCAAGCAGGTTGCATTCATCCCACGTCCCTCCATCTCGTTTCGGTAGTCGGTCAGAAGATTGTTTCATTTCGAATATCATGCTCATCTTGTCAAAGCTGCACTACTCAGTACAGGAGGTCGACGTCTCACAGTTCGATCCTCTTCTGCAATCATGTCACTTGTCGCGTCTTCCCCCTTCTCGCCATCATCACCGTCAGACCTCCTGCTCCAGCGAGGAAGGCTCCTTCCTCTCCTCCGACCTTGACTTCCACCTTCTCACCCTCCTGCCAGCTGCGACACCTTCATGAGACACGGGGAGATGTCGAACTCTCACCTGTACGACGATACAAGCTCGTCATCAGCATCCAGGTCTTGCAAGCTCTGCATCGGGCGTGAGAATCGCAGCGATGGGTCTGAAAACCCGATCCCACTTGTAGGAAGCTGAGAAGCTCTTTGTATCCTTCCGGAACGACCTTGTTTGTCTTCTGCGCTTGTACGTCAGCAGCGACGGTTTGCAACTTGTCCTCCTTCAGACCTGCTCCTTCTGTGCTACCCTGATGATTTCCGCAGCGATCCTTACTGCGACAAGTCAAAGTGAAAATGACCATGATGATCTTCATCTCTCATGTTTTCATGTCTTGTCCTGCCGTCTCTTCTACCTGAGATGTCTTTGAGCAGAGACAGGCGAGGAAACAGACTCCCGTAAGAGATTTCATCTGTTGATGGCACGAGCATCAGATCTGTTATCTTACTTGATCTTGGACGTACCGATCGATGCCATGCGAGCTAAAGTTTCAGCAGCGACCTGAGCCAAGATGCGAGAAACAAAATACAAAGTGCAACAAAGTAAAGATGAAAGAAGAAGACGAAGTGATAACAAGATCTGCAATCACCTGCAACATGCTGGGAGTAATGCTCGAGATGCCAGCAGCTGCAAGAACCTTCACTCCCACATCAACGACCTTGCGTGACTTCACCGAAAGTCGCCAGCGAGATTCCTGGATAGACAAACAGAGAGGTCGCCTGCCGACATTGTTGAGACCAGTTCAGCATCATCATCGAACAAGTCTGAGAGTCATCAACACATGATGTCAAGGTGGTCTGAAGATGAGAAGATAGTTCCACACGTGTCATGACACAGACAGCTCAACACAGATGTCAAAGTGATGTCAGTGCCGCTCTCATGATGGATGGATCCATCGATCTCAGCAATCGCTCCTCACCCTCGACGGGATGAGAGCGACTCCTTCATAGCCGAGTGGACGATACGGCAGAGGGTCGTCTCCTCCCACGTAGAGGGTCTTGCCGTTGCCTGGGAGGAGATGACTGGAGTTGGGCCGACCACAGGACAAGACGAGGAGGAGGAGTTCACAGAGCAGACGAGATGAAGGTACGAAGTAGCGGAGGAGAGCAGGGGTGGGGAGGGCGGGAGAAGCGGAGGAGAGGGGCATGGGAGGAGCGAACGACAGGAGAGCAGGAGATGGAGAGGAAGGCGAGCAGAAAGAAAGAAACAAGGGAAAGCAAGCAGGGGTAACAATCTCCGACCTGTCGTATGATGCCAAGTATCCGCTGACGAACACTCAGCCTTCCCCTGAGTGTTGGAGAGGACGATAATGCCGGGCCTTGAAGATGAAGAGTGGTTTTCACTCTCGGAGATTGTTGAAGGCAGAAGGAAGCAAGCATTCGCAACCAAAACAAATAAGATACACACCTCTCATGGTTCTTGTGCAAGATTCGCAGCACATCCCGATCGAACGCTCCCCTTCCATCCCCTCTCGTCATACAATTTGGAAGCATCGCAATGCTTGCACTGACCTGATCCCCGAGGCTCCGATCAAGATCGTCGCTCGGATCCCCTTTGTCACATGTCAGAAATGTCTCCTCCTCTGTTCCCACGGAGTTCACAGACCTCCACGACTGTTGACACATTTCGATGGAGTCCTAGCAAGCATGATGAGCTTTTGAGCTCGTGTAGAGAAGTTGTCCTTGACAACCAACCTCTCAGTCTCGCCGGCAGGGGCTTTCTGAACTTTGATTTCTGCCAACTTCAATCACCTTCTAATGCTAACGTAGCACACTCCTTACGTAGTGATGCCTGTCTTCAAGGGTGTAAAGTCCCTTTTGTGCGAGATGGTCAGAGGTGAAGCAAACAATCATTCGGGACCCCGTCACTGACTTTCCCGTCACTGACTCAAGTTGACTCGTCTGCTTGGCTTATCGTAGTTTACTTGTATCCTCGACTCTATCACATCCCCCCTCCTCCTCCCTTCTCGCCGCCTCGTCCCGTCGGATCACGCAAGGCAGACGCTCCCCGTCGACGCTGCCGCCGTGGAGGCGCTGGAGGCGCTCGATGTAGGCGATGGCGGCGCGGAGGCGGGCGAGCTGGAGGGCCTTGAGGGAGCAGACAGGAGGAGGGGACGAGGACAAGGACAAAGAGGAGCAGGGAGAGACCGAGGAACAAGAGGAGCAGGGAGAGGCAGAGGAGCAGGAGCAGGACAAGTGCGACGAGGGCGACGCAGGCGGGTCGCTGTCCGAGAGGCGCCGGGGAGGAGAGCTCATGGCGTCCGGAGATGCAGAGGAACAAGAGGGGCAGGGAGCGCGGGACGAGCAGGAGCAGGACCGGGAGGATCGCGGACGAGCAGAGCACATGGTGTCGGGCTGAGCGGCGGACAGCGAGGGTGACGCAAGGAGACGACGAGGGGGCTATGAAGGGACCTGAGATCCGAAAAGCCTCCATATCAGATCGGTCAGCCCCGAGACCTCACATATCTCGCAAGCAGACTCCATAAGAGCTTCTTTTCTGCTCCATGCCTGCTGCCTGCTGAGATCGAGAAGGATCTTGAGTCGTCGAGAAGCCGGGGGAAAGCAGGGTCACGGACTCCAAGTTTAGTCTTCTTGGGACGAAGCAGGCGCATGTGCGTCTCCTCGCCGAATCGTGACGTATTGGGGGCTCGAGGTATCGTGATCGGGCGTCCGCCTTCTTCGGAACATCATTTTACGTATCTTGAGCAGGGTCACGGACTCCAAGTCTTGTCGCCTTCTTCGGAACATTGCCTCCTCACTTGTCTGGGGGGATTGCTCTCTCGTACTCGCTCCATCGAGATCCTCCATCCTCGGGCTGCCCAGGTGCTACCATACTCACCTCGTCAACCTTCGCCAGGGGAGGGAGGGTGGAATGTCGCTCCCTCAAGCAGGTTGCATTCATCCCACGTCCCTCCATCTCGTTTCGGTAGTCGGTCAGAAGATTGTTTCATTTCGAATATCATGCTCATCTTGTCAAAGCTGCACTACTCAGTACAGGAGGTCGACGTCTCACAGTTCGATCCTCTTCTGCAATCATGTCACTTGTCGCGTCTTCCCCCTTCTCGCCATCATCACCGTCAGACCTCCTGCTCCAGCGAGGAAGGCTCCTTCCTCTCCTCCGACCTTGACTTCCACCTTCTCACCCTCCTGCCAGCTGCGACACCTTCATGAGACACGGGGAGATGTCGAACTCTCACCTGTACGACGATACAAGCTCGTCATCAGCATCCAGGTCTTGCAAGCTCTGCATCGGGCGTGAGAATCGCAGCGATGGGTCTGAAAACCCGATCCCACTTGTAGGAAGCTGAGAAGCTCTTTGTATCCTTCCGGAACGACCTTGTTTGTCTTCTGCGCTTGTACGTCAGCAGCGACGGTTTGCAACTTGTCCTCCTTCAGACCTGCTCCTTCTGTGCTACCCTGATGATTTCCGCAGCGATCCTTACTGCGACAAGTCAAAGTGAAAATGACCATGATGATCTTCATCTCTCATGTTTTCATGTCTTGTCCTGCCGTCTCTTCTACCTGAGATGTCTTTGAGCAGAGACAGGCGAGGAAACAGACTCCCGTAAGAGATTTCATCTGTTGATGGCACGAGCATCAGATCTGTTATCTTACTTGATCTTGGACGTACCGATCGATGCCATGCGAGCTAAAGTTTCAGCAGCGACCTGAGCCAAGATGCGAGAAACAAAATACAAAGTGCAACAAAGTAAAGATGAAAGAAGAAGACGAAGTGATAACAAGATCTGCAATCACCTGCAACATGCTGGGAGTAATGCTCGAGATGCCAGCAGCTGCAAGAACCTTCACTCCCACATCAACGACCTTGCGTGACTTCACCGAAAGTCGCCAGCGAGATTCCTGGATAGACAAACAGAGAGGTCGCCTGCCGACATTGTTGAGACCAGTTCAGCATCATCATCGAACAAGTCTGAGAGTCATCAACACATGATGTCAAGGTGGTCTGAAGATGAGAAGATAGTTCCACACGTGTCATGACACAGACAGCTCAACACAGATGTCAAAGTGATGTCAGTGCCGCTCTCATGATGGATGGATCCATCGATCTCAGCAATCGCTCCTCACCCTCGACGGGATGAGAGCGACTCCTTCATAGCCGAGTGGACGATACGGCAGAGGGTCGTCTCCTCCCACGTAGAGGGTCTTGCCGTTGCCTGGGAGGAGATGACTGGAGTTGGGCCGACCACAGGACAAGACGAGGAGGAGGAGTTCACAGAGCAGACGAGATGAAGGTACGAAGTAGCGGAGGAGAGCAGGGGTGGGGAGGGCGGGAGAAGCGGAGGAGAGGGGCATGGGAGGAGCGAACGACAGGAGAGCAGGAGATGGAGAGGAAGGCGAGCAGAAAGAAAGAAACAAGGGAAAGCAAGCAGGGGTAACAATCTCCGACCTGTCGTATGATGCCAAGTATCCGCTGACGAACACTCAGCCTTCCCCTGAGTGTTGGAGAGGACGATAATGCCGGGCCTTGAAGATGAAGAGTGGTTTTCACTCTCGGAGATTGTTGAAGGCAGAAGGAAGCAAGCATTCGCAACCAAAACAAATAAGATACACACCTCTCATGGTTCTTGTGCAAGATTCGCAGCACATCCCGATCGAACGCTCCCCTTCCATCCCCTCTCGTCATACAATTTGGAAGCATCGCAATGCTTGCACTGACCTGATCCCCGAGGCTCCGATCAAGATCGTCGCTCGGATCCCCTTTGTCACATGTCAGAAATGTCTCCTCCTCTGTTCCCACGGAGTTCACAGACCTCCACGACTGTTGACACATTTCGATGGAGTCCTAGCAAGCATGATGAGCTTTTGAGCTCGTGTAGAGAAGTTGTCCTTGACAACCAACCTCTCAGTCTCGCCGGCAGGGGCTTTCTGAACTTTGATTTCTGCCAACTTCAATCACCTTCTAATGCTAACGTAGCACACTCCTTACGTAGTGATGCCTGTCTTCAAGGGTGTAAAGTCCCTTTTGTGCGAGATGGTCAGAGGTGAAGCAAACAATCATTCGGGACCATCTTTGGATCCATCAGCCAAATGCCCTGTTCATGCCTTAGCTCCTCACAGATGCACAACTGACCGTTACCTTCATCGCCATCGGAGTCGGAACCCCGATGCTCTCAAGCGTGAAGACTGCAACAACAAACTCAAACCACATGACATGGATGTAAGCTGAGCATCAGATCTCACCCAGCAAGTTTGCGATGTGCTCGATGAGATGTCGAGGGCCTTTTCAGGCTTTCACTTTCACCAGATGTACAACAGCAGTAGTTCACCATACAACAAGTACACATCCTTCATCATCATCGGCACTGGCGGCTTCCAAACCTTCATCAGGATTACTCTAACAGCAAACATCGCATACAAGAGATCAACATGGTCCATATGAAAATCCTTGTTATCGCTCGATCGGACCCTCGTCATTGCAAGAATAGCAGACAGGACCTGACAGATGTATCAGCGTGACACAACTGCTGGGCCTGGTTGCTACTATCGTCGCTCGACCATCCAGCCCGTCGTTGAAGACCGGAGAGGACTTGGAATGTTCCTCGATGACTTGCATGATGCTTGACAAAGCTGCGTCACCTCCCAACCTCCGCGGGCAAGACCGCAGACACCTGCTGCCAGGGTTCGGACAGTCGATGTGAATGAGCACGTTGGGTGTCAAAGTTCTCAGAGCTCGCAAGAGCTCGTGCCACAGAAAGGCGATCTCCTCCCCTCGACGTCTGCAGCCAGCGATCCGAGTGACACGAGAAAAAGAAGGAGGCAGAGGAACCAAAGGAAGGGGAGGGAGATGAAAGGGAGGGGCAAGGGGAAGAGAGAGAGGGGGGGGAGAGGAAAAGGGGATTGGAATGGCACTGGAGAATCTGCAGAGGCAAAAGCAAAGACAAGAGCTATCTCGAAACCGTCTGTGTGCGTTCCCACGATAGTGAGAATGGCCTCTCAACCGCTCGTTGTCAGTGCCAGAGTCTGAGAGATGCAAATACACAATTGTCAGAATCATTATGATCATCACCGCCGTCGTCATCATCATCATCGTGAGCACCACCACTACCACCACCACATCCTGTTCAACCACATTCTCCTCCTCCACCACCATCAGCATCTCCATCGACACGTCATCCGAGCTTGACACGTCACCAAGTACGACGCAGAGGATGGCCTTCGGATGAAACCCTGCCATGGCAGCGTGCATCATCGCCTTGCTCATTCCCAGCCCTGAAGGTATTTCACTTGGAGGCATCAAGGAATCAGTGGAAGAATCTTAACCAGCAGACCAGGTCCCAACATCTCCGACATCCAGCGTGTCCTCCCCGTCAGTAACCACTATCGTCTGCAGCTCTCCCCTGCTCGTCTCTTCTCTGATCCTGCTCACGTGGCTTGCCAGCACCTTGCAGGATAATAACCGCCCTTGCTCGCATGTCCTTCAAGACTCACTCCTTCTATCTGTCGAGCATGGTACATGTCAAAATGAATCGCCTCCGCCTTCTCAGGGATCTCTCCATAATGCTCGCAAGCAGTCTGGCGACAGATGTCAGTCCATGCAGAGTCGATCGGGAGGCACCTGCATAGCATGTCCATGATAGTACTTCGCCATCTCTTCAATGTGATCCCTTAGAAATGAAGTCAGGTAGACAGGCTGCCGGCTATGCAACTCGCTGAGGATGGAATGGATCTGGAAATAATCGGTCTTCTGCTCTCGTATCCTTCCTAGCAGCTCTTCGTGACCTTGACAAGACGTTAGAGCGGAGAGGAGAACAGACAGGAAAGGATCACTTTGACGTCTCCTCGCAGAGCTGAAGTGGTCTTGAAAGCAGATCAAGGAGACGAACAAGAGAAGCATCCTAGCCGAAGGCCTCATTGCAAAATCACAAAGATCCTTTAGGGTCCTGCAGCATACGGGGGAGGGGATTCAGAAAGGGCTTCGTCACACAACTTTGGGCTACGTAAAACCTTCTGCTCCTTGCTATCACTTGTACTCCTCTCCTCCCTCTTGCTCCTTGCTATCACTTGTGCTCCTCTCCTCCCTCTTGCTCCTTGCTATCACTTGTGCTCCTCTCCTCCCTCTTGCTCCTTGCTATCACTTGTGCTCCTCTCCTCCCTCTTGCTCCTTGCTATCACTTGTGCTCCTCTCCTCCCTCTTGCTCCTTGCTATCACTTGTGCTCCTCTCCTCCCTCTTGCTCCTTGCTATCACTTGTGCTCCTCTCCTCCCTCTTGCTCCTTGCTATCACTTGTGCTCCTCTCCTCCCTCTTGCTCCTTGCTATCACTTGTGCTCCTCTCCTCCCTCTTGCTCCTTGCTATCACTTGTGCTCCTCTCCTCCCTCTTGCTCCTTGCTATCACTTGTGCTCCTCTCCTCCCTCTTGCTCCTTGCTATCACTTGTGCTCCTCTCCTCCCTCTTGCTCCTTGCTATCACTTGTGCTCCTCTCCTCCCTCTTGCTCCTTGCTATCACTTGTGCTCCTCTCCTCCCTCTTGCTCCTTGCTATCACTTGTACTCCTCTCCTCCCTCTTGCTCCTTGCTATCACTTGTGCTCCTCTCCTCCATCCTCTCTGCCCCAACTATCCTCCCGCTCCTCGCTCCCACTCTCCTCCCCCTGATGTTTTCATTTTCGGGTTTGATGGCTGTCAAACTTGATCACAGTACCCCCTACTTTGATATACCCCTACCCATCTGAAACCACTATTAAGTACGGGTAGTGACCCCAATCGGAGAACCACCTCCGTCTCTGTCTGGATTTTTCAACCAGGGACCATGTCGACGCCACCAGCGTCATCGATGGGTCAGAGCGACATGGAGGGAGGGAAGAGGAAGAAGCTGGAGCTCTATCGTGACGACGAGACCAAGAGGAACATCGATGACGAGTACATCGCTGCCATCTATCGCAGGCTCGTTCCTGTATGTTGAGTTTGCGAAATCTCTGCATGGAATACTAATAAGAAGGCTCCCTGGAACAGGCGTTTCATGCGCAGGAGAACAGGCACGGAAATGAGAGGACGCAGATGGTATCTCTCCTCGAAAGATTGTTATCATAGTCATCTCTGTTGTCGGCATCATCATCCTTCGATGTTTCATCACCATCATATCATATCATATCAACATTATTTTCATCGTCGACATCACCATCCCCAACACCACCACCATCACCACCACCAGCACCATCCCCAACACCACCACCATCACCACCACCAGCACCATCACCAACACCAACACCAACACCATCACCATCACCATCACCATCATCACCAACAACATAACCATAGCCACTACAACCAGGACAGCACCTACACAACTGTAACCATCAAACTCAGCATTCTCATGCTCTACTGAACTGCAGGAGCTGGACGTGAGAAACACATACAGGAACTTTGCTCCAGGAACCATGAGGGTGATAGGCGATGGTGAGAGAGCAAGTGATTGGGTGAATCTTCTGTTGAAGCCACTTTGCAGCACGACCAGGAAGTCACGATCGATGGGAGCGGTCGACGCTGAAGACCAGGAACGAGATCCAGGCAGAGGAGGAGAGGCAGGGGTATGCGCTACAAAAGAAAGGATGGCTGAAGGTACAGTCTACAAGGGACCCTCAGTTCTGGAAGGAACGATATTTCCTACTAGATACGCAAGCGCAGAAGCTGACCTGGTCCTACGACATCAACGTGCGAGGGAAGAGGAACTGGAAGATCATGCTGGGCATGGCGGATATAGTCCGGCTGGAGCCGATGAAGTTGGAACAGATTCCTGCTGGGATGAGGGAGGACTGGAGTCTCTTGTTCAGGGACCTGGAGGGCTCGACGTCGGACGGGGATGGGGTGTACTCTGAAGATCACATAGTGGTGGGGGGTGATGAGAAGGAGAGCTTGCGAGTGGCCATCGTGGAGGCGGCGAGGCTGAAAGTAATGGACACGGATCCAAACTTTAGGAGGAAGGTGGCAAACGAGCTGAATGCTCTTGGAGACAAAGAAGTGTCCTGGGACAGGCTTGACTGGATGCAGAAGCTGCGGTCGATATGTGCGCACCGGGTGAAAGAGATCGATGCAGAGGTAGACGAGGATGAGATGCTGGACGAGGAGACGATGGAGCAGCTTGTTGAGGAGAGGCAGGCGAAGTTGGACCAGCGCATCTGGTACAACCTGGTAAGAGTGAGTGCAAGCGCTGCTGCCGGTGTGAAGAAACTCTGTGCAAGGTGGATGACTTGGAAAAGAACGGGCAAGTTTGGTCAGAGTTCTCCCCTTCGCAACGGTGGTACAAGCATGTAGAGAAGGTTATGTACTGATGTTGTTGCCTGACAGACTTCGGATCATGCACCTTGCGGAGGTTGAAACTTTAGTAAATCAGCTCAAGGAGATTTCAGACATCGAGTGTGACCGACAGGTCGCCCTGGAAGACAACTGCTCTGCTCTCCCCTCATGCTGCTGCAGGATGGTACCAAAGGCGACCTGGTCAAGTTCGCAAAGCAAGCTCTTATGCCTACCACTGCTGGCGAAAAGTGATGGGAGTGTGAATCCATGATGATCGTGCTGACTGTCTTGTGTGTTGAGCAGAGAGATGGGGAACAAGGGCGATGATAGGGTGTACGATGAGTTCCAGTACAGCAAAGTGTTCGTTTCGAGACTGCGAGGGAGGCTGAAGCGGGTTCAAGCACTGAAGAAGGTGGAAGAGGCAGGTAGCCGTTATGTGCGATCATGGCTGTCGCTGATGGGGACAAAAGAGAAGAATGACAACGACAACGAGATTCTTGACATTCAGATACCAATTGCCAACGCCGGTGTGTAGCAGAGATTGCAGCTGAAGATGATGATGATGATGATGATGACGTGGCAATGACGACAACTTCAGATTTGCCGGCCAAGTCGAAGAGGAAGAAGAAGAACAAGGAGATGAATGTCTCCGTCATCTCGTCTCTCGAGTACGTCAGCAAGAAGGGAACCAACTCGGTCAAAGCCAACACGACGAAGGCGAAGAAGAAGAGGTTAGACTGGACCATCCCCCTCTATTGCCACCTGACGTCCAGACGCTCTCTCCTCTCCTCCCTCACTCTCTGCCCGCAGACTGGCCAGCTCCTTGAGCACCTACTTCGACGGACGGCCTGTAGTCTTCGAGCCGTACGCCATCTGGATCCGAGGGACGGTGGACGCGAGGAGCATCGTGGTGCTGGCAGACACGGAAGAGGAGGCGAGGACTTGGGAGCTGACGCTCAAGAACGCTGCCTACAACAACTTCATCCGGACCCTCGAGATCGCCAACAACCAGGCGGTAGAGCTCGAGCGGCTGTGCACCATCGACCAGAAGAAGGAGATCCGGTCGCGGCATCTCGAGCAAGCGAGCCTCGACCTGCAGCACGCTATCCACGACAAGCACCTCCAGAACGTGCTGGGGAGCAAGAAGCTGACGCAGAAGCTGATGAGCAGGGACGGGACCGTGACGCAAGGAGTCGCTGCATCGACCTCGTACTTCAACGAGAGGATCTTCGAGCTGCAGGTGGAGAAGAAGAGCAAGAGCTCCAAACTCCCCACGTTCGCGGATAGGACGATGCTTCTCAAGTTCCATCACAACGCGGTCAGACAAGACATCGTCCTCACCGTGTCGAACCTCGTCGTCGAAATATTCCCTCCCGCCGGTCTCATCACCCTCATCGTCCTCCTCCTCACCAAAGAAACCCTCTCGGGCTACCTCATGATTCTCTCCTCCCTCCCTCTCCTCTTCAAGCCCTGGGTCAAAGTCGCCATCGCCCGGCAGCGGATCGAGCGATCCCTGTGGCTGAACAAGCAGCCCAAGTTCAAGGGGAGGAGCGGGTTGCGGGAGGGAGAGTTCGGCAGGCTGTGGCTCAAGAACTTCATCCTGTTCATCACCACCTTAGGTCTTCACAGGGTCTGCTCAGACGCAGCTTTCAAGGAGGCCCAGTGGTTTGACGAGAACATCTGCTGGGCTGACAACTCAGTCTCCACCCTTGGCCTTATCCTCGCTGTGGACGAAGACCCCGACGTGGTAGCTCGACCTCCCGCCTTGAGAGTGCGAGTGGGTTGTGAAGTTTGAACGAGCTGGCAGGAGAGCAGCAAATCTTGCGAGGTGAAGTACATCGTTGAGGGAGGATCAGCGGCAGAGAGCGGTGTCGACCATGACCAGTCTGCTTCCTCCCTGATGTGATGTGAGCTACAGGGCAGCTGCTGGTTGGGGATGTGATCGTCCGAGTTGATGGGAGGACAGCAGACAAGACGTCAGTCCAGCGAGCTCTGACTGGTGCGTCTGCTGTTGGTGGTGGCCGAAACATGACGAGGAGAAGGAATGGCCGTGTCGACAACGATGACGAAGAAGCAGGTCCGACCATCTCGATCTCTCCTTCTCCCCTCCGCTTCCTTCTCACCTCTCCTCCACCTTCTCACCTCTCCTCCACCTTCTCACCTCTCCTCCAACTTCTCATCTCTCCTTCACTCTGCTCCCCACTAAATCGCTGGCCGTCACCTGCCCCCCAACAGGAAGCCTTGCCAGGTCCTCAGCTGCTGCCAAGAAGCTCGTTGAGACCTGCTGCAGGAACTAGCGCGATGCTCGACGTTCTCAAGTCAAGGGAGATGCTTATCCCTCCCTACACCTCCCAGGGCGAAGTGCTTCGATTCGAATGCATGCGGCGAAAGGCATGACAGCCCTCCTATTCACTACCTCCGCTCCCTTTCCTGAATTTCCTCCCCTCCCTCCCTCCCTCCCCTCCCTCCCTCCCCTCCCTCCCTCCCTCCCTCCCTCCCTCCCTCCCTCCCTCCCTTCCCCCCTCCCTCTTCCTCACTTCCTCCCCTCTTACGTGTGCTTCTTCTCACAGGCTGTCTTCAACGTCTACAGAGGTGAGTGCGACTTGAGCTACGAGCGATATCTTGTCGCCATCCTCTCCGTCTGCACTGTCGGCCTTCTCGAACCATGGCTCTTCATCAGGTATGTCTACACCTCTCCCTTCCTCTTCCTTCCTCTCCCTTCCCTCTCCCTCTCCCTCCGTTCCTCTCCCTCCCCCCTGCCCTCCCTCTCTCTCTCCCTTCCTCTCCCTGGCGCTCCCTCTCCCTCCCTCCCCATCGCCCTCCCTCCCTCTTCCCCCCTCTCTCCCTCCCTCTCCCATCTGAAACCTGACACCTGGTCGCAGATTCATGAGGAAAGTGCATCTTCCGGAGAACATGCATCTGGGAGGGTACAATGTCAAGGTACATCCTCCAACGTCCTCTTGATCTGAACTGCCGCTGCTCTAGTTCAAGGGCTCAGTCACCGAGTACACCATGCAAGTTTGGTTCTTCAACGCGGGTGAGGAGGTTGAGAGGAGGGCGGAGGCTTCTGACGTGGCGGCTCAAGGGATGAATCTCCTCACATTCTGCCTCTGGAGCCTCCTCGGGTTCGCTCGCCACAAGTCTCTAACGTGATCATTCTGTCATCCTCCACGTCCTCCTCCTCTTCTTCTCCCGTTATCATCCTCCTCCTTATCCCTCTCCCTCTCTCGCCTCACTCTCCTCCTCCTCCTCCCCATCCATCTCCTCCTCCCAATCGTCCTCATCCTCCTCGTCCTCTATCCTTTCCCATTTTCCTTCGCTTCCTCGCAGTCCTCTCTCATACTCCCTCGTCTCGCCTTCACCACCACTGCCTCCTGCTCTCTGGTCGTCTGCTGCTGAAGTCAACACAGCTGGGTTGACTCAAAGGTTGAAGTTCTTCGCCACAAGGATGCAACTCACTTGAACGTGCAAGTCGATCACAGTCAAGTTTGACATGAGACGGGGCAGCTGTCAGAACGTGAGCACAAATCCTTGCGGTTGTGCTTCAAGTATCGTCTGCATGCTGCAGATGCTGCTAGGAAGAAGTTGTATAAAGTGTCGTTATGTAAAGAAATTGTCATTGGAAGAACACCATGAAGGTTGAGATCCCACTTTGGACTCTGAAGTAACATGGACTAGAGTGAGAATTGTCCTTCGGTCATTCTTCAACATTCAGATTGAAGGCCACCAGCCAGGAGCCAGCGATACAAGAAAAACTATTTACATTCTTAATCATCACAAATTACAGATCATCCTGGTAGCGTAAACAACAGAGACGGCCAACACGAGCAGATTCTGTAGGAAACAGATGTCAATCTCACACAGAGAAGCTCTTAGCTCTTATTTCTTACCCATGACGACGACAAGCGACTAGACGAGCCTGATTCAGCATGTCAGAGGCAGCGGGAGAGAGAAGAGAAAAGCATACTTGTAAGTCCAACAGATAGCAAGACCGCATCGGGAAGCCCCTGCTCGTCGGTTGGATCAGACAGAAACAACAACAACAAAAACTACTCCTCCTCCCTCCCTCACCGCGCTCCTCAAGTTGGAGTTGAGACGTTTGCTCGTCAACTTTGCTGTAATCTGGCAGGCATATCATCATATTTCGATCATTGTCTCCGATCAAAGCAGATCAATCGAACATATCTTTACCGTCTTTGATTCGCCTTCGTCGTGACAGAGCACCTGTAGTGCCGAGTCACGGCGGTGAAGGCTAACAAGCAAGCTCAGGTACCTTGCACTCCACGATGATGCTTCCTTGTCCCGTCCTGCATTCCACTTGAATGGCAAGAAGGAGCAAAGCTTCCGCCGTGTCACATCAACTTCTTACCCTGAGACGAGGTTCGAGACTTTCGTGATCTTGACCTGCCGTGGACAGTCAGACAGAGATCAGCAGCTGGTGGCAACCCACATTGGTCTCGACAGTCTCGACTGTGATGGTGACGGCAGAGATGAAACTCTTCTGCATTTCTACTCGACCCCATGGTCAGGCCTTTATGACACACCATTGTGAAAGTCCTCAAACCTTGTGTGAACTTGCCGGAGGACATGGGAAGCTGTACAGTGAAGACGACATCATAGGTGATGTTCTTGGCGGCGACACTGTCAAGAAACATCACAAAGGACGTGCTTGCTTGAGGGCTTCACTGACGTTGTCGTGCAAACTTGATCCGACACCAAGCACGTTCCTTGTGCAATCTCATTCGACTTGCAAACTGCCGATCTCGTCACAAACTCTTCAACCTCTCACGTCAAGAAATCGACCTGAACAAGGGAGACATGAGTCCGTGTACTCTGCGCCAGTGGAATAGTATCCCTGTGAATCCATGAATTCGTCCTCCTCCCCCCTCTCTGCAACTCACAGCTGTGCAAGCCTTGCACTCCCCAGCAGATATGCCAGCACATCCTGCGAGCTTCGTTGAGCCCCTCACAAGCAGCATGCCTTCTACCTTCTCGATATTCTCCTCCGTTGCACTTTTCACATTTGACGCAGGTGCCTCCTGCCCAACTCATGTCACCTCCCAGCCCCCTAGAACCCTTCGCCTACCACTGGAGCTTGCGCTGTTGCAGTTGGTAAGGTACTCCCCAGTCGCGCATGCGGTGCAGCTGCCAGCCAAGAGTCTGTCAATTACCGGCCCAACGTCGTAGGTTCCTCAGACTCACTTGGCAGGGATGCAGACACGATTGGTTGTAGCCGTGCCTGTTCAGAGGTCAGCTTCTCCCGGCTCCTCCCCTCCTTCCCTCACATGCTACGATCTCCTTCTCCCCAGCAGCACAAGGGTCACGACAAAGAGTGCATGCAGTCTGAGCAGTTGCGGCCGTGGTGTGCGAGAAAGATCCTGCGGGGCACTCGGTGCAAGCATCGGATCCGACGGTCGACTTGTAAGTTCCCTTGGGACAGGCGTTGCAAGTGCCCGATGATGCTGGAGTATATCCTGATACACACTGGCAGGCCGATATCGACGTGCTCATGGCAGGAGAGGTTGAGAACGCTGGACAATCTGCACACTGCCTGCGACGGTTCATCAGAACTGAGAGGTTGAGGTTGAAGAAGCAGAGAGAGCAAGTGAGGGAAGCAGAAAGAAAGGCATGCGATGAGGGAAGGGGATCAGACCCGTTGTCGAGGTATGTCCCTGGTGTTGAGCATCCCGGCATCTTGACGGTGTAGACGCAGTCTGCGCTCCTGTAGATGGGCGATGAACGCGAGCTCGACCAGGCAGCTCGGACCGTAATCGTGCCATCCTTGGGGATCGTCACGGCCGCTACCTGGTTGTTTAGTCGCGTTCCTGAGCAGCGTCCTCCTTGCAACGGGGAGGAAGAGGTGGAGGTCACAACCTCGACGAGATACTGACGAGTCGGAGACGAGAACGACAAGCTCAGCTGCGAGCCAGCATCCACAGACTGTCCGCATGCGATATCAGAGCCGCCCGAAGATAGACGAATGGACGCTGCTGTACTCTCCTGCACTGCTCCATGCGGTGAATAGCCGGCTCCTGGAGTCAGAGCCATGTCGCAAGTGAGATCACGAGGTACGGCCAAGACCGAAGGAACCAAGATGTGAAGCAAGAGCAACGCTTGCAGCATGTCCGAGAGGAAGGTTGACTAGAGAGCAGGAGAGGAACCAAGGTGATAGTAGATGCTCAAGGCCGGAAGGGAGGAGGAGGACTCCTTGGAACGAGAAAGGGGAATTTACGGTGCGAGTGCTTCCATCTTTGGGTGCAGTCGACCACCCCACTGGGGTACTACAGCACAAGTACCCTTCATCTTTACCTCAAACGCACCCTAGTTTAACCATCTGGTGGGCCTGGTGGTCATTTTCATACCACCCCCTACCCTCTCCTGAACACCTTAAAAAAAACAAGTCAATGACTTTTTAAAAATACTTTTACAAATGCCGGGTCCGCCTCCGAGTGCGCTCGAAGGTAGGGTCAGCGCGGGGAAGAGGTCTCAGCAAGTTTGTGTTGCGAGGGAACAGGATCTGGGCGGATCGGGAGAGGAGGGGGAAAGCGAAGGAATGCAAGACAGCTAAGAGCAGGGAGAGAGGAGAGAGGAGAGAGGAGAGAGGAGAGAGGAGAGAGGAGAGAGGAGAGAGGAGAGAGGAGAGAGGAGAGAGGAGAGAGGAGAGAGGAGAGAGAGGGGGGAGATCTAGAAGGTAGGAGAGAAGGAGGAGCAAACAAGGGGCCCTCGAAGTGTGTTATCTTGAAACCCATGCATTCAAGCAGCTCAATGCTTCTTGTAAATCTCTCGAGGTCGTCGTCGTCCGGTGCAGCTGCGGTCTTTCGGCTAAGTCATGCTGGCAAGCGATTCTACAACTTTGGTACGTCAGCCTACAAGTCAGCTTTCGGGAATCCACCAGCCTTCGACTCCGCAGGTCTCAGGGAGAGAACAATAGATTACATGAAGAAGTTCGACGAGCACCTGTGGCATAAGGATCCAATCCGAACCATCGTGAAGGGGAAGGACTTCCTCAACGGAGTCGAGACCGACACGACAAATGCGATCGGCAATGTCAATGGGAAGCAAATCCTTGGGGATGAAGAGGCCTTTGATGCGATCCGAGAGCACTTGTCGACGTCAGCTCTGGGGTACGAGGATGTATCCAAGTGCAAGGAGCTGATGGAGGCCGTCAGACAGCTGGAAGCAGACCTGCTGGACCTGGACACGGCAGCCATTCTTGTTGGGAATCAATCGATCGACTTTGGAAAGCAGGACGGAATCACTGAGATCGAGGAATCGGCGCAGGCCAACAAGGTGGAGAGGCGGCTTGCTGACTTGCTCCTTGAGGACCACTCCAAGGGCATGATTTCCGTCCGAAGGGACCCTGTCTTTGTGTCTTGCGTGAGCAACTTCTCCAACTTCCTCGACCTGTTCCGCAAGGTTGTTCGCAACATTGAGTTCGGGATCCCCGTGGTCGTCCTGTCGCGCGGTAACACCCAGCAGCATTCTTTCCGGTGGACTCAGCTGCTCCTGCAACTGATGCGGAAGCACCGTGTTCCCTTGGAGCTGGTCACCTTTGCTTCTCTGACACTGGCCAATCAGCAGAAGCTGCTCTCCATGTTCCCGTCCTCCCCCACCCACTTTACGGGGAGTCGAGAAGTTGCGAGAGAGATCAAGAAGATTTCGCCGAAGACGCTTGCCAGCACTGGTGGTCCAAACACCATGATTGCGACAAAACTTACAAATGAGGTCCAGGAAGCGATAAGGATGTCTGCATGCATCGAGAATTCTGGACAATGCACAGCGCTGAGGCACGTGGTTGCTCCCATATCCGCTGATCATGAGGGCGAGAAGACGGTTTCCAGTATCTTTTCAAACTCAAAACATGTGAATTCCGCTCTTGAAGCGATCGAAGCGAAAGAGTTCTCTGCTTTCGTCTCGGACCTGAATGGTGGTTATAGGAGTCAAGTGTATTCTCAACTCAAGGGCGTTCCGGTGTCGTTTCGAATCAATGATTCGCTTCCCGATGACATTGAAGAGAACTGGCGAGAGGTGTACCTCGACTTCACTTCCTTGACTCCTTCAGAGATCGCGAGCAAGGAGAAGATAGAAGAGATTGCTCAATGGTTGCGCAAAACTCAACCGATTTCCCTTTCTGTCAATGCCGACATGGCGACAGGGCTTCAACTGTGGGAGAAATGTGCAATGGTTGTTTACACGCAAGGCACGCCAGAAAACCCAGCGCTCTCCTGTCAAGCGCGTCCTCAAGATGGAGAATGTTTCGGGGAGTTCCCGCCGAGAGCAATCATTCACGATTTTACAAGATTCCCTATGGTGATCCCTTCGCCGACACCTTCGTACAACAGCACATACGAGAAGGATTATCTAAAGAAAGTTGATTTGAGTATGGTACCCAAGGACATGGTTTACTTTGCAGATGTCAGTGTGCCTTGAAACTGTCTCCATGAGTTGATCCTCGTCCCAGATCCTCCAACACATTCGCTGCGACGTCTTGCGGGGATACTGCATTCGTAAGCTTGTGCCTTGTCGCCACTCAAACTCAGACCCGTGCTTGCAGTGCTCCTGAAGTACCTGGCTGATGCAAGCCAAGGCCCTCACCTGGGCTATGGTCAACGGCTATGTCTGTTCGGACTGCAGGCGAGGCATCGGCAGGTGGTGGAAGGTACTACTGACAAGAATGATAGCGAGTTCCTTTGGGCTTGTTCACAACGATCCGCCTGGAATCGTCTGCGAACTTGGACGGTGAATGAAATCTTTTAGGATTTCACCACTGATGATGGCAATGCTATGGTTCAGGATGTTGGCCTTACCTTATCCCATTCCTTGCGACAAATTGCCGAGACCAGTTGTTTGTTTCGGTGGAACTCTTATACCTTTTGGGAGCAAACTGATTGTCCAGCGTTAGGTGCAGAATGGTTCTAAACTGCAAGATGAGCTTTCGAGGTTGCTGCCAGCGAACATGGTATCCGAGTCATCCGCGTTATTCTTCGATACTTCTGACACATCCTTTGTAGATCGTCATGGAGGCAGACGAGCAGTACGAGGCGAGAACAAAGGATTCTCGATGCTTTAACCATTTCGAGTTGCCTCATGCTGAAAAGCTTCTCACCGACGGCTATCCCCTTGTTGGTATGGCTGATGATTGACTTCCCCCAATCGCTTTGTTGAGTTCTCGGGACAGGGACGTTCGTCTCATGCTTCCTGCCCCTCGGACATGTCAAATCCGTTACCCAAGACGAGCACTTCATCTCCACCTTTCGCAGCAGCCCCAAGGTGCGGCATCTCAGTGACTAGAAGTTTCACTTGTCTTAAGTTCTGACGCTTTCATACCAGTGGATCCGAGTCAACAGTCAACCTCTGAAGCCTTGAGATAGACGAGCTTGCGAGCTCTCAGTAGCTTCATCAATAAATCGTCAGGCTCAGCTCTTGTGCCGAATTTATCGAGTCACCTCAACTAGCCGCAGGCCCGGCCCGGGACTCCCGGCGGACTCGGGCCGCCGGGCCAGAAGTTACGATTTTTCGCCGGATACCATCCGGAGAGCAGAGATCGGGAACCTTCCAAGGACACCTCGCCATGGCGGCAAGGGGAAAGGAGCGGGATGAGGGGGGTGGGGGGAGAAGGAGCAGGGCAGGAAGAACTTGAAGCTGACAGTTCGTGTGTGTGAAAGTTGGTTGGCAACACAACTGGAGGGAGGAAGCAGCGCTCGTCACAGAGATCCAGGTGAAACAAGGGGTAAGAGGAGGCGAGGCCTGGAGTTTGCAGTCGTCAAGGTGAGTTTTCACTGCTGCGTGCTTGGAGTGCTGGAAAGCTTTTCATCCTTGAGTTGTTTGCGATGAAGATCCCTTACCTTTTGGGGCTCAGGTTCCTCCTTCCTGCAGCGGCCATGCAAGGTAGCCGAGTTGTCACGTGGTCGATGGAACTGAGACAATTTTCTCAGCCGGACATGCGTACACCGTCCAGGAAGTGGAGAATGCGGTGATATCTTTCTACACGAACCCGACGAATGTCGTGCAAGCAAACGCGTGGCTCGTGGAGTTCATGCAGACCAAGGTAATAGTGCTGCATGGCCTCGAGAGGTTCTGACAGCAAGGATTTCTAGTCGGCATGGGAAATTTCCATCGGGCTTTTGCAGTCCTCTCGGCAGGAGGTCAAGTTCTTTGCTGCCAACACGCTCCACCAAAAGATGAAGAACGACTCAGAAGATCTCTCCACCGAATTCTCTGTAAACAGCTTCCATGAGAGCTTTGGGCTTAGCATGCTAACTGCAAGCTCACCAGTCACATCTGCTCAATGCCATCCTCGTCTTCCTCAACACAGCATCAGCCGGAAACCCCCAGATCCTAACCAAGATCTCGCTTGCTCTGGTGGAGCTGGGGCTGCAGCTGACCAAGACAGAAGGGCAGCTGAAGGCCATGATGCTTGACAACCCCAACTTCCTGTCGTTGCAGCCTGAGATAGCGCTCGAGTTCTTCTTGCTGCTCCCTCAGGAGTGGGACAGGTCGGCGATAAGACATCTGCCGTCATTGCTGATCAGCACACAGGTGGAGCGTCACGAGGGCCAGGCAGGACAAGGCGTTGGGGGAGCTTGCGCAGCTTCTATCCCATGTGGTCGCGCTGCTGCAGGTTTGGGAACCTCCGTGAGGATCGCAATGGTGACTCGTTGACTGATTACGATAGTCGATCCTCGCCATGTCGAACCGAGAGGACTTGATGAAGAGAAGCCTGCAGGTCTTGAAGGCGCAGGAGGTTCAAGTGCCATGTTGACACCAAGTTGGCCAGGCCCTGTCAGGGTGGTGCAAGTTCGGGCTGACCCTCTCGAACCTCAAGGAGCTCCCAATCTACCCGATGGTTGTCTGTCTTGCTGTGCTCTCAACGTCGGTGACCTCTCCTCCCAGGTGAAGCAACTCACCTCCTCTCCTGTCGTTGGGAAGGTGAGTGCGACGGCGAGTCGGTGGAGCCTGCCTGCCTGACCTCTGCCATGGCGGTGCAGGAGGCTCTCGAGCTGTTCGAGTCGGCTGTTGTGAATGAGACGCATCCGCCGGAGCCGGAGCAGGTGCAGGAAGCAGCAGGAGGGAACGTGGGCAGGAGCCGCTGACTGCTGGGGGGCAGGTGATACTCGAGGTGGTAGCAGACATGGCGCAGCTACAGCCGCTGCTTCACAACGCCATCATGTCAAACAACGACTCGTTCTGCGATGTGAGGCTGGAGAGCTCTCTCCTGCCCCTTGCAGCTGACGCAGTGGACATGGGCAGGGGTTCTGCAACCTTGGAAGGGCCCTAATGCTGAGGAGACCATCGCTGATGGCCAGCGGGAAGGTGGGGAATATGCTCAGACATATGGCGAATACTGAGTATGATGGATAGGGAGAGACCCTTGCGATAGCCAACGTGATGCTGGAGCTTTGTGCACACAAGAACAGAGGTGATAACTGCCGAAACTTCCTCTGCAACCCCAGTGCTCGTCCCCTACCATGCTGACCCATGTACCTCCACTCTCTTCTCTCATGATATTTCGTAATCTTTCCGACCTTGACCTTCACTCCTGTATGCATCTTCTCTCTTCATAAAGACGGAGTATCCCTCCATCTTTGGTGTTTTTTACTTGAGTGAGCACCCTGAGATGTACGACTTCCGATGCTCACTGTTTGTTCGGAGCTGAACTTGACGAATTCACAACAGGGATATCAGAAGTGTCGATGGAATATTTCGATGACTTGCAGGTATTCATAACCTCATTACCATTCCACTCCTTGCTTTCACTCCCTTTCTTCTTTGTGTTGAACCTCCTTTCCATCAAGGAATCTCTTTTCATTATGGAATCTCCTGCCTCCACATTGACTCTCCTTCTTCTTCTGGCAGACTGTGGAGATGGTAGAAAGGCATGAGTTCCTTCAGAAACAGATCTTCTCCTCCCTCTCCGAGCTTTTGGCCACACGGTGATTCGGCAATCGAGTGCACGTGCGAAAGTGACGAACTTGGGCAGATGCGCTTTATATCCAGCAGACTGCGAGGACTGGGACAGCGGGGATACAGACGACTTCAACATGTACAGGAGGAGGGTCGAGGACGCACTGCAGAACTGCTCTGTCTGCCTGCAAGCAGACAACCTGGGGATCTTGTGCTCGCTCCTCGCCAAGCACCAGAACAACAGCTGGCAGGTGGTAGAGGGGATCCTTTTCGCGGTCTCCTGCATTGGAGGGGAGCTCACGACTCTGACGGGGAACGCTGAGAGACAAGCTGTGCTAGCGGGAGTGACGAACTTGCTGACTCACTTCATCTTCACCCGCTCCATCCCGCAGCACAAGCTGGTCATCGCCTCGTCCCTCAAGGTCATAGAGAACTACTCGAGGTGCCTCACGCAGAATCCTTCCCTGCTGAGCCCCTCCCTCGAGTACGTCCTCCCCTCTCTCGTCAACCCCGACACGTGCGAGTACGGAGCTCGGGCCTTCCGGGAGGTCTGCTCCAGGGGATGTCTCCACCTCCGCGACCCGGCGTTGGTGCAGCAGCTGGTTCAGGGCATCGTGAGCGAGATGAACAGGATCCCTCGGGAGATCCTGCAGGACGTGGTGGAGAGTCTGGGCAGAGTGATCGCTGTGCTCGAAGTGCCTGCGATCGAAACGAACCTCGATATCCTTATGGCCCCCTTCCTCTCTCGCCTCGCTGACATCCTCGATCAGACCGGCTCCAACCCTGGGTTCGTGAAGGCGAGCGTGCTGGTGGAGGCGGCTTCCTGCATCCACTTGGTGGGAGCGACGGTGAGGTTCTTGGAGGTGGGGGAAGAGCAGCTCTCGGCCTGCCCTCAACGTCCTCACCCCGTCGTCTCCGTCATTTCCAAGGCCTGGGAAGTTCTCGAGGCGTTTGGAAATCGGTTCGGGGGGGACAGCAGCATAGCAGAAGCAATCAGCTGCTCCTTCATACGGGCGATCAAACAGGCGAAGCTCAGGACCCAACCAGCAGTAGAGAATCTCTTCCAGTTGACAACGTCGCTCTTTCGCAGCTCGCACAGGTGGGGAGAGAAGCTAGTGGGAAGGAGCGCCTGAGCATGATGACAGCGAGAAGTGTCTCGAGTTCGCTCAAGAAGCTGTCGAGATCTTCGGGGGCATCGAAGGAGCTTCGCGGGTGTTCGGCGAGTTGTTCAATCAGCTCAGCCATGTCAAGTTTGAGATAGCTCAGAGCAAAGGACACGAGGTGTTCGATTGTTTCCTCCTCCCTGAAACTCAAGACCTTGCCATCATCTCCCCTCCTGAGATCCATCTTCTCCTCCCTTCCGCTCTTCTCATTTCCGCTCTCTGTTCTGCTCTCCTCCCTCCTCTCCCTCTCTCCTCCTCCCCTCCTCCCCTCCTCCCCTCCTCTCTCCTCCTCTTGACACTCTCAACTTCCTATTCTCTTTTTCGCACTCCCGTCTTTCCCTCCTTGCCACCTCCACTTTCATTCTTGCTCACCATTGTTTACAGTCGAATCCAGATCTCACCACCTGCTTCTTCAACATGTGTCATCGATACCTCATCTTCTGCCCTGAGGCAATTCCTCCTCCTCCTCGCTCGCTTCCGGCTCACCAAATCGTTCCAGGCCATCGTCTCTCAACCCTCCTTTCAAACAACTCTACAGGTCCATCGTCCCACTTGTTTTTCCACCTCGTTGAAATCTGCCATTTTCAGTTGGCACTTGTCACTGTGATGATGAGGGAGAAATATCCCGTGCAGGTGAAAGTTCGCTGCCGCAACTTCTGTCCTCCCTTTTCTTCTCCCTCCCACCTTCATCTTGCTCCCCTTGCACATGATGACGCTGACCTGCAGGCTGTGCTGAGCTTCTTTGAGCGCGTAGTCAACACGAGCAGCCCCTAGTAACGCTTCCAGTCCCCTCACCTGACCTCTCCCGTCCTCTCGTTTCCTCCAATCTTCTCTTCTCATTGATTCTCCTCACTTCTTTGCAGTCCTTTCCTCTCGCCTCTCGCATATCTCTTTTCTTCACTCTCCTCAAACACCTTTCCCCTGCCATCTTCGCTCCTACTTCGTCTCCTCTCCTGAAGTGCCTGCAGCTTTGAAAACTTCCTGTCTCATTGGTTCGAAGCCAACGGCTCGTCCCTCGTCCAGAACTTGGTCATCGCTCTGGCTGAAACGGCACCGAAGGAAGCTATGTGAGACTTGAGGAGGAGGAGGAGGAGGAGGCAGGGGAGCAAGGGGCTGAGAGCGAGAGCGGGGAGGAGGAGGAGGAGGAGGAGGAGGAGGAGGAGGAGGAGAGATCGTCACTTCCTCTCACTACTTTGTTAGGGTACGACTTGCCCACCTTCTGTTCCACCTCAACGCCAAGTTTGGCTCCGTGCATCAGGTTCCACCTCTTCCCTCACTCCCGACCCCTCCCTGAATCCCTTGCTTCCCGCTTATCTCTACTCCTGCATCCGCTACTCGTCCCCATTTCCCCCTTGTCGCCCTCCTCTCCCTCTGATCGTCATCTTCGCCCTCGCCATGGTCCTGCAAGCCCTCACGCTCTCTTTCTGTAGACTTGGCTGCAGAACTCTCTCTTCGGGCCCTCTTTTCCTGCAAAAGACATCGATGAAGACACCAAGGTAATGTCCGTCCTCTCCTCCTCCGCTCCTGATCCTCTTCCTCTCCTCCTCCGCTCCTGATCCTCTTCCTCTCCTCTCCTCCGCTTCCTATCGTCCTCCGGTCCTCCTCCGCTCCTTGTCCTCCTCTCCGTCGCCTCTGATCTTCTCTGTAGAAGCAGTTCCTCAGTGGCAACATGAATGTCGAGCGAAATCCCCGGCGCTACCAGGTCAGCTCCATTCCCTCCTTGCCTAGCCCATCCCTTGTGCGATCGATCCTTCGTCCCTCCTTCCTACATCCCGTTCATGTAGCCTCATAAGCATCGGCAGGCGCTCATCGATGACTTCGCCAACATCTGTCGGCGGCAGCAGACATGCGACGCGTTGGTAGCCTACCAGATGTCGTGAGACGATCGTCAACAGTAGTCATACAACTGGTCCTCGCGTTGGTAGTAGCTATCAGTAAATCATAATTTCCGGCGGTTCAAGTTTCTAGCCTCGGACATACTCTGATCTGGTATAGTCACAGTGATTTACTCAAAGTTTTAGAGGAGGCTTGACCCTGACACTGTCGCACAGGCCGTACGGCGAGAAGAGAAAAGACTCATAGTGATACTCATTTGCGGCCCGGTGAGTGACGGTGATCGCCGGTCACGTTCCGTTATTAATTGCATGGCATCGGTTACTTGATCAGAGTGGGGATGAGGGAACTGCGAGGTGTCAGAAGCCGCGATGGACGCAGCCAAGTCACTCGGTCTCTTCCTACGCGCGTCGCCGACGCCCTACCAGATGGTGGAGACAGCATCGAACATGCTTGTGCGAGCAGGCTTCAAGAGACTGCCAGAGGACGACGTGTGGAAGCTTCAAGGACAAGCTGCGGCCCCGGGCAAGTACTTCTACATCAGGGCCGCCAGTACCATCGTGGCCTTTGCAGTGAGCGCAGCCATGGAGAAGGGAAGTGGATACAAGATTGTCGGAGCCCACACAGACAGCCCTGTACTGAAGGTCAAGCCTGTGTCGAAGAAGAATGCGTCTGGATACATGCAGCTTGGAGTCGAATGCTACGGTGAGGAGTGTTTTGTTGGCATAGGACATCTGACCCCCCCGGTCTGCAGGAGGTGGACTTTGGCATACTTGGCTCGACAGGGAGTTGTCCTTGGCAGGGTGTGCGATTGTGGAGGAGAATGGAGTGTACAGGAGGAAGCTTGTCCACATGAAGAGGCCTGTCCTCCGCATTCCCAGTTTGTGCATTCATCTGCAGACTGCCGATGAGCGAGCAAAGCTCGATCTCAACAAGGAGACCCACCTCGTACCTATCCTTGCCATGGTGAATGAGGAGTTGAACAAGACCTCGGCGGAGGGAGCAGACTCCCGCCATGCTCCAGAACTGCTGTCGGCTCTTGCGGAGGAGCTTGGTTGCACGGCAGCAGCCATCAAGGATCTTGACCTGACCCTGTATGACACTCAACCTGAACAGATCTGGGGCCTCAAGAACGAGTTCCTCAGCTCTCCCAGGCTGGACAATCAGGCCCACTGCTTCACCGCCTTGGAGGCCCTGGTCAGTTACACCAGCAGTCCCGAGTTCAACAAAGATCCTTACGTGTCCGCCGTCGTTTGCTTCGACCACGAGGAGGTTGGCTCCACCAGTGCGCATGGCGCTGGTAGCCCGATCATCAAGGAGCTGGTCGAGCGCGTGAACAACTGGTATCACTCGGAACACTTAGTGGAGCACAACAAGATTGCCCTTCAGAAATCCTTTATAATCTCAGCTGACGTGGCTCATGCCGTGCACCCCAACTATGCCAGCAAGCACGAGTCCAACCATGGGCCCCTGCTCAACAAGGGAACTGTGATCAAGACGAACACCAACCAGCGGTATGCCACTAGCGTCACCACCGGCTTCGTCATCAGAGAGCTCGCAAGGCGTGCGGGGATCAACGTGCAGGAGTTCGTGGTGCGGAACGACTGTCCTTGCGGAAGCACTATCGGGCCGATCGTTGCGGCTAGCACTGGAATCAGCACCGTTGATGTTGGGATTCCGTCTTTGAGCATGCACAGCATCAGGGAAACCATCGGAGTCCACGATGTTGAGAACAGCATCAAGCTGTTCAGCTCCTTCTTCGTCAACTACAACGACATCATTGGAAACTGTGAGTTCTGAAGGAGAGAATGTTGGGTGACCAACAAAGGTCACGTAGAATCATCTGATGGTGAGAAGAGAGTTGTTGTTATGAACATCTGTCTCAAAAAATGCATCTTCCTTCAAGGTTTCAACTAACCATTTTAAACTCTCCATTCACCTGGTGCTTGGTCGCCCCAAGAATGATGCTACATACAATACAACTGACAACAACACCCCACAAGTCCATCAAGACCTGCACTCACGTCATCAGCTGCATCTTCTTCCCACCTGTCCCTCAACACCCACCTGCACTGCAGCGCCAGAGTGCACTGGGTCTTGCCCGCAGTAGATCATCAGGAAGGGCAAACCTGCGGGACTCCGTCACTTTCACCGTCGAGGAAACACGATCAAAACATCGAACCTGCACCGATGATGATAGATGTGATGACGATGATTGAGCAGCTGATAGAAATAGCACAAGCGTTCAAAATCCCTCCATAGAATGCGTAAACCCTAACCCACGCCACCATTGCCATGATCAAACCCAACCACAGCGAGACTTGCATTTGATGCCACAGCGTCTTTCTCCAGCAGACTGTCTCTCCCGAAGAGATGTCCTTGATTGTTTTCATCGCCGATTGAGCTCCAGCATTCCCCCCGGCACCGACCAGCATCGTCAGGAAGAGCGTCAGAACTATGTGCTCTTTGACTAAGGCTGAGTAGAAGTTGAGTACGAACGAAGACCCCGACTGCATAAGGAGGAGGATCAACAGCCATCTCCCACGTGAAAAGACTTCATTCATCACAGACGAGTGAAGAAATCTCTTGAAACTGGCTGTCCACCTAGAGTTCGTTCTGATGACAATCACGTCAGACTGTCGTACTACGCGCAATACAAGTAGAGTACCCGTTGAAAAAGAGCATGGCCTTGGCATGCCTGGCGCTTGAATGAAGATCCGATACCATCGTCTCCTCTTCCATTACAAGAAACACCAGCCTCTTCCTTCTCCTCCTCCCTCTCCTCCTCCTGTCACAAGATCCCACACCTCGTTCAACCAGCTCAGCGCCTCGTCACGGTAGTTCTCTCGGCGGCAGCCTTCTTCCCCAACACTAAGAGACAGTGCCTCTGACCATCCTCTCCCCTTCCTCCTTGAAGACGATCCCTCCTCAAGTCTCCTGCTCCATCGCCTCTCCTCTTGTCTCCCCTTCCATGCCCGTCACCCCCTCCATGTGGCGGCCAGCTATTACCATGGCACCGTTACGCATGGATAACGGTCAGTACTTTACATGGCCCGGGGGGCTGCAAATATCTTTTAGCTTACGATTTTCTATTTATCTTATTTAGCTTATCAATCGTATTGCGCCCCAAGAATGAGCGTAGCGCAGGAAGGGAAGGCATTCCGGGTCAGGACGCGGGGAGGAGGGGGGAGCAGGTGGAGAGTCTCAGGGCTGGTGATCGAAGAGCTGATAGGGGAAGGAGCCTATGGTCACGTTTGTAGGGGAAGAGAGAAAGGAGGGGAGCAAGTTGCCGTGAAGAAGATTTTCACCCCGACCGTGCTGCTTCGGAGGAGGGCGATGGTGGAGGTGGCGGCGATGAGAGCAATGCAGGAGCACCCGAACATTGTGACTCTGAGAAGTGTGCGGAGAGAGGGGACGAAGCACGGAGGTGGGGAACAAGGCTGCAAGCCGCTGATGGAGATGTACCTCCTTATGGAGCTCTGCTCTTGCACGCTCCTGGAGTTCCTGGTGGGAGAGGAGTCCGAGACGCTCCTGAGGGAAGAAGCAGAGGGCTTGAGTTTACAGCTGATAGATGGCGTCTCGTTCATGCATTCTTGTTCTATCTACCATGGTGACCTCAACTCCAAAAACATCCTTCTGAAGAGGAGCCTGGCAGGATGCATGTCTTCCTTGCGGGTATGCGACTTCGGCATGGCAGGAAGTGTCAGGCAAGGTGGAAAGAAGACGAAGCAGCTTGAATTCAAAGAAGAAAATCAGAGCACATGCGATGCTATGGAAAGCTCTTCCACCATGTACCCAATCGTGCGACCCTCTAGGCAATACAGGCCGCCTGAAATACTGCTGAATGCTCGTGAAGGATACGAACAAGAATCCGATGTAATGATCTCCTTCATCTTGTGATTCCTGATGCTTGAAGAGACATTCGAAACTGAATTTTGCTGTGATTATCGAAGGTGTGGGCCGTTGGCTGCCTTCTCGTCGACCTGTCGAGGTGTGTCTTACCAGCCCAAGCAGCTTTCCGAAAGCCTCTCGTCGATGAGATCTCAGTTGTCGTGAGCTCCAGGGATTCGGAGGCTTGCATCGTGACAGAAGGTGTCCTTCGAGAGCTGCAGCATGTGCTGCACCCTGTTGGAGTATCAGTATCGGACGACCTCCTCGGAAAGCCGACGGTTCATGTGTTGGACTCTTTTCGATCACACCCTAAGCACGAGAGAGAGGGCTGCAGATTCATCCCCGACGAAATGAGAGGATCATGGATCTTTCAGGTCTCGTAGACCATGCATTGCTCAAGCACTGAAGCAAGATAGGTTGCGCCGAGTTTGTTGCGTCCCCACCCCGAGCGACGACCGTCGATGGGCGGGATCTTTGATGGCATTTCCGGAGATGCTGTTAAGATGGCTCGTGCAGCCGTGAAAGCAGGTGAGAATCTGCGATATGAATTCATAGATGTGACTGAGGGATAAGATGATGTCGCCGTAAGACTCCTTGGGGAGATTCAGGAAGGGCCAACGGAGAGCTGCGTCCGTTGGATCTTCGGAGACTGAGGCGTTCCAGCTTGCCTCCTGCAGGCCAGACCAAGAGCACGAGTTTGTCCCCCCCCCCCCTGAAGGAAGGCTCTAGATATGCGATACGTGGACTCGATTTTTGCTGTCAGAGGGCCAAGCTTGACTGGGACCAATGCAGGTTACCGGAGGCCAAAGTATGAGATTTTTTTTTGTATCATTCTTTAGTGGTGTTAGATATCTCATTCTCTGAACCAGGCAACAACGACAGGACGAGAATGTGGGATCAACGATACATCACAATGATATCTCGATAGCTCGGGCTTGCCAATCTGACGAAGAGCCTCGGAATATCTCATGCGATAGCAGGTACTTTGATGATGTTTTGAAGTTCGTATACCGAGCTCTCTTCTCTGAGCCTCAGTGTCCCAGTTGCATGTGATGCGACATCGTGCCCGGAGGACGTTTGAACGTTGACGTCTGTACACTCTCTCATCCATGGAAGGGCTTCAGGGAGCAGAATTAAGGGGGACACTGAACCGTCGTCGGAATGCTGCGCGAAAGCCTCGAGAGAACTAGTAGTAGTAGCACTCGTGATCGCTCAGCGGAGTCAGGATGCTGGGGTATTCCAGTACACCTCGTATGACACGAAAAGACTCGAAACCCAGTCATTGCAAGCGCAGCAGCCTATCCGATCAAAAGACGTGACGAGTGCTCGCGTGACTGAGTCACAATTCAACGACCCCCTTATCATCCCTGCACTGGACCCCCACGAGGGCGGGTCGGGTAGTTGTCTGCCAAACCAAATAATTGCCCAATATAGGTACTGTGATATCAAGAATGTCAGCAGGCAGCGCCTGGTAAAGTTCGTAGTCAAACCAGTATGGTGGTACATTCAAAGCTCTCGTACAGTGGTACTACTGTGTCTCGTAAATTTGGTACCTCGGCACGCAGCTGACACGAAAAACAACGTTCTAGCCTCAAGACCCGAACTGCTTCGGATGGTACCCGGAGCCTCCGGTGTGATCAGACTACCTCTTGGAGACCCCCGTCTCCTACCAACTTCCGAGTGACATGGTCGCTTTACTCGAGTCAGGGGCCTCGATTTTCTAATTCCGTTGTTAAGAACCTTTTACCTGCCCCCCTGGTACCCAAGTGGCGCCGTCCTGGCGCCAGTCACCCTACCTTATCTTAAAGGCCCCCCTCTAGGACCGGTCCTATGGGGGTGGGGTCACACCGTAGCTGCACACGACTATTGTTTTTAACTTAACTTTGAATAAACGACCATGGTCATCTCAGGGGTTCCACCCCCCACCCCCCCTTTGAACTGTTTCCGGCTGACTCTCGGTGGGGTCATCCGGACGGTCTCACTGCCACGAGAGCCTCCTTGCTGATCGACGGAACTTCGGAACCATCTGACCCCAAGGGGGTACCCGGTTGGATTACCCCACCCCCTCGCACGTCGACTGACCCCTCGGACTACCAGGTGAAAGAGGCCGTTACTACCGGGGGTGGATTAGCTAGGTTTGACCACCCCTCCCGGGCCTCCTTTTGGCGGCAGGCGGTTCAGGCACGAAAGGCAACGAAGCGACCGTCATTAGTACCCCACCCCTTAAATGCCTGACACGAACACTGGATAAGGGGGGTAGTACAATGTGAATCCGCGAACAAAGGAAAAGAGGCTGGATCAAGGAGACTTCGGCTAATTGAGAACGATTTGAGTTAAATTAGCCAATATATCAGTTAACTTAACACAAAACTGCCAAATGGCGAAGAGATAACTTCACTGGTGGGCCCCGCGGACAACGCCAAGGGGTGGGTGGCTCTCGGACTGGGGGTGGATCACGATACCAGGGGTAGTCATTTTCTAGGTGAGCGAACTCTTTAGTAAAAGGGGGTAGTAATGGGTAGATAGAGGGGGTAGGTCAATTCTTTTTCTTTTGGACCTGGTGGGTAAAATTAAAAAATGGAGAGGTAGGGTATCGAAGAGGGTGGTAGGGGTTAAAGCGATGCAGGGGTAAAGGTGGGGACCAGGGGTACTACCGGGTAGGGCAGAGTAGGGCCGGGGGTACACCAGTACCGCATGCAGTATTTGTACTGACCAGTGTAGGAAATGTACCACAAGATTCTGACTCAATTCTCAGATACTACCATAGTCTCAACTGTGTTCCCCCTTTGTACTGAATCTTGCTACGGTAGGATATTGCAGTAGAAAATCTCGACGGTAGGGCGCGGTTGTGTCTTTACTACAGGGATGTGTTCCAAGGGGGCGGGAACGTCAAATAGCCTCGGAGCCCCGGTCGAGGAGCCGGACAAGGAGGAGGAGGAACGAGGAGAGCGGGAGAAGTCGGACGGCAGCAAGAAAACTCGGAGTCAGTGTGAGAGGGCCAGTGAGAGGAAGGACTGAAGGACAAGGCATCAAAGAAGGGAGGAGTACCATGGCAATCATAGGGGTAAGCGCATCGTCGAGATAGAAAGGCTCGCCTCCTCTGATTTGTCTTGTGCAGGAATCAGCTCCAAAGATCTGGGCGCAAGAGCGATACTTCCACAAGGACGTGGTAATCAAATGGTAGTGGAATATTGTTACCCTTACACATTGTCACCAGCATCATATGCAATTGAAGCAGCACACGCCTAGCAAATTGCACGTCCGAAATGGCGCTGAGCAACATGCAGTGGTAAGAAAGCATATCCTGTTCCTCCTCTCTAGTTTCCATTGATGGGCCCTGTGAAGGTCAAAGACGAAGTTTCACCCAAATCGAGTTCGCATGCGAGAAGCAACGGAGACTTCGACGATGTCGAGAATGTGCAATCATTGATGACACCACGACTTGCAAAGACCGAGCAGCTGTGGGAGGAGGTGTTGAGGTACATCCCATCACTCAATTCCTGACCTCCGTCTCATGTATGCAATGCAGGATCTTTCAGAAAGAAGGTATGATAGAGAGGTTAGAAGGGCTGCTCGTTCCCCTCGACGAGATGAAGTATTCTTTCACTTGCTCTTGTTCGGATCAACCAGACTTACCGGCCGGCAGGACCGGAACTGTGCCTTGCGATGACTTCATCAATGCAATCACTCGGAGTCAACTGCTTCCTCTTCGTCTTTCGCAGTTTCTGCGAGATCAACGTAATAATCGTGTTGTTTTCCTCTCCTCCTTGTGCCCTGACGATGGTGCTACAGGACTGAGCAAAGGCAGCAAGACAGTAGATTACCTTACTCTCTTGGAGCGACTGAAGATCGAGAGGAACAGGTCCGACTTTCTTTTGTCTTCTTGTCTTGTGCTGATCCAGCTGTTGCAGGAAGTTGGGATCTTTGCAACGTGCGAGAGACGTGTTCCGCAAGGGCCTCATGCGCTGGCAGAAGAACTTGCTGTGGAAACATTTCGTTCGCTGGAGCGATGCGTGTGGCCCTGGAACAGATATCGTCTAGAGGGTCATCACCAGAAAGGTCCTTTAAGGTAGTCGAAAGTGTATGATGAAAGTTTACATTACAACAAAAAGAATCAGTACATGTGACTCATTGCGCCGCGAGCTCGCGTTAACTGTGCAAGAACTGGTATGAAAAAGAAGATCTACCCTAGCTTAACGTTATACCCTCACTTGATGTCCTAGACCCCCATCAGCTGCTCGGCGAAGGATTTAGGATCTGCGAATGTGAGGGAGTTGTAGACAGTGCTGGTCATTCCCTTGCAAGAGTCCGGGATCACGCAGACCTCTTGGTTGGGCATCAACACGAAGTCGATGGACAAGTTTACCTTCGTCCTCAGATCCCAGTTCAACAAAGCGACCTGATCCCGCGTCATCCCCATCCGCTTTGCCACGGTGCCGATCGTGTCTTGCTTCAAGGCGCGGTACAAGTGACCAACATTGATCACTTCACCCTCATCCGGCAAGAAGTCGGGATGCCTGATCTGACTGTTGAGACTCCACAAGTTCATCCAGTTGTTGGTGAAGATTGTTGCAATCTCTTGCAGCTGCTGCCCCCGCCTGACGGTATAAACACATCTCCTCACCGTCAACGTCACACATAGTGTGGCCACGTTCCTTTGCGGCTGCTCGAGAGAGCATCCCATGCCATGATCAACCGCCGAGAAACAGATCAGGTCCGAGAATGCTCCCATGTCATGCGACGGGACCCACGAGAACTGGCTAGTTGACGTTACCAAGTTCTGAGATGTCGTCACATTGTTGACTACTTTCGGCGACAAGACAGCGTAGCGCGGCAGATTGTTGCCCATAATACTAAGGGAAGCCAGCATATTGTGCTCGAACGCCGTCACCTCGAACTGGAAGAGTTTTCCCATTGTGAGGGTGTAGGAATCTTGTGGTAAGCTGTAGAATTGAGGAGGCGGGCTTGCGACTACCTCGATCTTGACGCACTGCATGGGGGACGGGATTGCAGCAACATTCGGGCCCTCACAATCGACGGCACTCACGCAGATGACGTGGCTTCCGATGTCTTTGCGGCAAGGAGTCCAAGAAGCCTCGAGGATGGAGCTGTTCCCCTGGTTGATCAGATTCAACTGCAAGCCCTGGATGGATGTCGAGTTTGCGAAGCTCACCTGCCGAGAAGCGTCAGAGACAAACAAGGAGGCAGCAAGTTCACGTGCACGTACCGTTGATTGTTCACCCGGACCAACAATATCTGCGCCATAAAACTCCATAACAAAACTGTATCCAGCAACAATCTGAATGGATGACGGGTAAGAAAAGCTTGTCACGTCCTTCAACTGCGTCATGTTCGGCCAATAAATGAAATTCCCGTCCCAAGGCATCAGCCTAGCCGCGACATACAGCGCTGGGATGTAAGAGTTTCCGGCATAATCTGTGCTTGCACCGAGCTTGTATGCATTCAAAGTGCTGTTGTAAGTAGCGTTTACGACCTGGATTAAGAAGTCGAGTGGTGCGCGGCCGGTGCCATTGCTGAACGACAGCATCATGGACGCTTGATAGAACCCAGGACCTTTGACAGGGTTCACATGCACTCTCGATGAGCTCATGGACATTATCCCCATCGCGTCGATCGCAGTCTCCCACATCATTGCCCCCGTATCGTCCGTATTCACAGTCACCACTGCCGTCGCGGTAGCAAGAGTCCACGGCTGATTGCCTGTAGGATACACCGGATACATCTGCGAGACTGTACATTGCATGCCTGCCGCTGAAGCTGGGCACGTGTAGTCCATGCTATAGAGCAACATGAGCGCAGCATTGGAGATATAGTTGTACTGATTAATTTGGATCGATGTAGGGTTTCCCAAGAAGCCTTCTCTGTCCAAAGTGAGCGAGATCTTCATGAACTCTTGAATCTGAACTTGAGTTCTGAATCCGTTCCACACTCTCCACTCGTCCAGCTGGCCAGAGAGGTACAATCCGCTCTGGCCTCCAGCTGCTGCGGCACTGCATGGGCAATATCCAAATTGAAGATCGAGAACAATCGATCCGCAACTTCCCCCACCACAACTTGGGACACACATCAATTTTGAGGTGCGAGAGTTGTCAACAGTAAACACAGTCACGCCATTCACGTACACCTCGTATTCAACAGTATTGGTTGACGACGTGCAGCAGGACAAAGTTGAGCCTGAGCATGGCTTGTGGACCCTTACAACAGTAATGTGAACCCATTGCATGGTGACATTTCTACCAATCACAAACGTTGAGGTGTAAGAAGTCGTGTCAGTAAGGCTCTCATGCCCGACCTTGACATGAGTAGAATTGATATGTACAAACCTGGCAAGATGTGAGTACAAGGTACCGGAAGGCTCAAATTGAAAGCTTACATCGTAGCTCTTCCCGTCGATGAGTTCGAGCTCGAGAAAACATATCCCCCACTTTCCTGGGTGATCATCACCCAACCTTCAACCGTGATGGCTGAATTCGGCAGCTGGGCCGTTAAAAGATCGATCAGACAGGCCTTCCCAGAGCTCTGCTGACTGTCGCAGACAGCGCCATCAGCCGAGATTGCGGTCACTGACAGCTTGGAATGCTGGCTGGCCTCAAAGGCTGCTGCGTTACCCACGTTGTACGGGGGCGTCACCTGCCATTCTCCGTTCTCCCCACTTGCCACAGGAAGTGAGAAGGAGGTGCAGTTGCTGGGCTGCGGTGTGCTGAAGTCACACACCACAGTGACGTAGGGGAGCGTCACGGCCTTCACAGACCTCCACACTTGGATCAGGTTCACTTCAGTCTTCAAGGCATACGCGAGGTTCGCGTTGTTCTTCACCGCCCCCGTCCGGCAGCACCCCAGCAGCTGTGCGTTCCATGGTTTCCCCCCGTTGGTCGGAGTGGCGTACGAGTGCGAGAGCCTGACCTCACCTTGCAGCCAGTCCTCAGACAGCGACACGTCGGTCACCACCATCTTGAGGTTCTGCGCGACAGTGGAGTCTCCGAAGAGAAACTCCGGCGGCTCCTTCCCCTGAAGGTAGACCGCATCTCCAACTGCCGCGCTCTGGTATGCTGCCACTGAGATGCTCCTCTTCACCGCGATGATGATAACAAAGTCAACCGAATTGGCAGCCGTCCTTGTCCAATAAATGTGACCGTAGAGGAAGCTCCCCTTCAAGGGGTCCCCGCTGGTTGGCACCATCGAGCGACACTCAAAGGATGAAACTGCGAAAAATCTCAGAGTGCCGGCTTTGATAGCAGCAAGAAAGGGGCTAAAGACAACCACAGCAACAAATCATTTGCATGAGGAAAGAAACGAGAGTAGGACCAAACTCAGGTCAGGACGAAATACAGCACAAGGTGCAAGATAGCAGATGGCAGACAGGGTCACAAACAAGGACTTAGACGAGCAAGCATGGTTCTCAAGCCACCATGGATCGTGAAATCGTGAAATTTCGAACTTAATCAATCAGATTCATCTCAGGAGATTTTTGGAGAATCTCAGATGATATATCATATGATTTGCTCGGACAGGAATCTTTGTTTCCATTTTCTCAAAAGACCTTCTCCTTGAACGTTTCCACACACATCTTTCTAGCCAGAAACGCTACCAGCCAGTTCACTGAACTCCCCTGCCGGCTTTCCTCTCCCCTCATTTTGACTACTTTTCTCCCCTCCCCTCCTCAGATCTCTGACACATCTTCCTCTTCCTTTTCCTCTGTATCATATCTCACCATAATTCGCCATCATCGCCGCCAGCGCTGCCAGCAGCAGCAGCTTCGCCATTGTCGCCATCACGCCATGTCCTTCGCTCTCAAGAGGTATGGGGTCAACGCATTCTTTCAGTTCACTACCCCCCGTCGACCACTCAATTTTGCACCCCTACCCCCTAATCATCTTCAAGTTATGAGAATAGTGGGGTAGTCACCTCCTTCAGGGTCATGGAGTACCGGTACCTTGACAGCGTTCCAAGTACAACAATTCATGCTTGGCTACCCCACATATCATGCTTTCTTGAAAGGGGTACGATACCGGTTAACCCCGCGGCTCTTCATACCATGCTGGTTCGGCAGCTGTTGCTGCCATGCATGAGCGGCGCTCTCCTTGTCCTCCTTGTCCTCCTTCACTCCTCTTCTCGCCCTCCTCTGACTTCTTCTCTCGTCACTTCTGCTGAGATCGACTTCATCACCCAGGCTGAGCAGCAGGACGGTTCCACCAAGGGCCTCTCCTTCAAGAACGACGATGGGCATACCGCTATGTGGAATGCAGCGGCGGATGACGAGAAGGCGTCCAGCATGGGCAAGAAAGTTGCACGACGAGTTGCAGCATCGCCTGCAGACGGACAGAGATACATGTACGGCTATCCCCGCTTCTATGCTCATTCCATGGGCTGGGTCCAGGACTACAACGACGGAAGGGACCAGTTTGGGCTTCCGAAGCGCAAAGCGCATGCAGCGCAGCTGAGCGTCTCTTCTCCTCAGGTTTCTCAGGTTCTCCTCCAGAAGAGCCCTGGATACCCCCAGCTTTCTGCCCAGCAGAAGGCCAAGGCCCTTGCTGAGGTGCAGGCGTGGGAGACCAGGGAACTTCGCAAGTCGTTCCCTGACCCCAGCGCTGCTGCAGCGAAGAAGGCAGCAGCGCAAGTTTGGCGCAAGAGGGTGGTGAAGAAGCAGGTGCCAAGCACTTCCACCAAGTCTCGCATGCAGAAGCTGTGGAATGCTGCGCACAACGACGAGATCACCCTGAGAAACATCGGGCACCTGCATCCCTCGGACATGGACGAGATCGCGAGAAAGTCGCCTGAGTTCAAGACCCGGCGCAAACATGCACACATAACCAGCAAGATGCACATGGACTACGAGCCCTTGAAGTGGATGCACGAGCAGGGTGAGCCGGGTGCGGTCAAGCACCACAAGGTGGCGCTGGCACCGGTGAAGGCGGCAAGGTTCCAGCAGCTGTGGAACGCGGCAGCCAACGACGATCACTTCACTGGGTTCAAGGAGAGCCACGGAGGTTACCATCCCATCCAGTGGCTGTCGAAGCAGAAAGACGACGCTGAGATGCACAACTGGGTGTCTAACCCCTCCCCGAGCCTCCACCGCACCTTTCGCACCGACGCTGATCACGAGAGGAACTACCAGGGGTCTTACGTCAAGGACAACAGCATCGGAGTGCAGATCGAGAACCTCAAGGCGCCTGAGACCATGTTGGCTCAGATCCCCGCGGCTCAGGCCGTCCTGACCCAGAGTCTGAGCAGCAGCTCCGATGACGCAATGATCAAGGAGCTCGATGACCTAAGGGACATGGCCTTCACTGCCTACGGAAACCTCCCTCAAGATGCTCCAGAGCACATGAGATACATCGCAGCTGGGGACTACGAGGCGCTGAAGAAGTACCTCGACGAGGTCGCGGCTCAGGCCACTGGCATCCCTCGTGGGAACAGCACTGGCAACAGCACGTCCACGGCAACTAAGTCTCAGATCGGGATGCTCAAGGGCCAGACGGAATCGAGGGACATCTCCGAGCTTGTGTTGGCTCTTGACAGAGGTATCTCTGAGCCGCTCACCGCCTTGAAGCGCAAGTTGGCTGCTGCCCACGACCAAGTCTCTAAGACCAACTTGGTCGTCAGCGCTCTCAATCAAGCTCGCTTGAATACTGAGCAGATCCTCTCCGACCCCAAGGCCGCTCACATGGCCGCCGAGCAAGACATCTCTGCAGCTGAGAGGAGGGAGATCTCGTTGGAGAGAGCTGAGGAGCGGGAGATCGATCAGACCATGCAGCCCAGCCTTCGCCTGTCTGTCCCGGCTGGCTCGTTGGGAGGCGCCTCGGGGGTTGTTCTCGATGAGGAGCCGTACGTGGAGGACTTCGAGCCTGTGTATGAGGTGAACTGATGGACTTGAGGCGTTACACGGGGCGTTGTTGGACGTTACACTAGACGTTGAATGAGTAAGCGCTGAATCTCGGTGATTGGTTGAAGAGTAGGGAATCGCGCCAAGTTTGTTGATATTTTATTGAAGCCAATTAACAAGATTCTTTATACAGGAAATTCAATTATCTTCATCTACATTACAACTAGCGCCAGGTGTTGGTTTCCCCCGTTAATTCTCAAAGTCCCAAGTCGTTGAGCAGCAGCTCCAGAGATTCGTCCCCTTTCCTCCCCTTCGCCCCCTCCCTCTCCTCCTTTGCCTCTCTCTTGCTCGCATGTTCTGCGACGGCCTCCTCAAGCCCCCCTTCTCCCCTTCTCCCCCTGATCTCTCTCACAAGATCCCATCCCTCCTCCGCATGCACCCACTGCAGGACAAGTCAATTGAGCCGCAAGCAGCAGCGAGTCAGACCTTGCGAGCCAGGTGACCGCGGAAGACTCTCTGCACATGAACAGCAGCAGCTCTCCTTGTCCTCTCCTGCCATCCCTGAGTCATCATGGGAAGAGCAGCAGCAGGCAAGTCTCACCTCGCTGAAAGTTCCTTTCGAAGTCCCTGCCTCTTCCCACCCACTCCTGACTCCTCGAAACTGTGTCGCCAGCTCCTCCTCTCTCTCTGTCTCCTGCTGTTGCTGCGCTCCTGTCCGCCTGAGCATGAACAAGTCAGAGATCGATCGGCCTTGTCCAAGGGACAGACCGCTTGTTCCGCCTCGCTGGGAGGGGACGGAGAGCGAGCCTCGTAGATTGCGACGATGCCCGCGAAGACGTGTCCGAAAGCTCTGCCATCCCCTCCTCCCGTACGGGATCAGAGTTCTTCCTCGCGCTCGGACCGAGTGATGCGTCCCCCCACGGGCTCCTTCCCTCAGGTCTGAGGCTGTCTGTGGCCACTGGTGTGCTCCATGCCTGTTCCGACGCGCTCATAACGGGAGTGAAGGAAGTGCCGGAGCGGAAGAAGTGAGTGCCAGAAGAATCTTTCGACTTGTTGGCCAGAATTCGCAGAGACGCGGATAGTGCGTGGATCTCATCCACATCCTCCTGCGGTGACGACCATGCTGCTGGGAACTTGGACGGAACTCTCAAGGTGGTCGATGGCAGCGGAGGCTTGGCGTGGACGAGCAGGTGGTGTGCAGGTTTGCTGCGAGGCCACTTGCTGTCTTCGTCGATGGAGTCAAGACCGATCTCGGGAAGACCGAAGAAGGTCTTGCTGCTCTCCTGACTCTCTGCGCGGTCAACTCCCGCTCGACTCGCCCTCGCTCCATCCTCAACCTTGGCCTCCTCCTTCCCCCCCTTCACGGCGCTTGCTTCTAGTCTCGCCAGACGCTGCTCAAGCTCCTGCTCCCGCTGTTTTGCCTTCTGCAGCTCCTCGCTCAATGCGCGGGTCTGTTCCATCAGGATACCTGAAGCAGGTTGTGAGCTCAGAGTCCCCCAAGAGCCGGGAATACCTTTCGTGTCCAGCTCGTCGCCGTCACTCTCCTCAGCTTCTTCTATGAAAGCGTCTCTATAGTGCCCTTGCGAACTCGTCTCAGGGCCCTCAGCGTCTACGAAGCCCTCCTCCCCCTTTGAAGATTCGCGGCTCGTGAGCCTGTGCTGTCCACTGTCTGCTGGTCGTACTCGATCCTTGCTGGTTGTGCCTGCGTCGAGTCTCAGGTGACACATGGGAGGCAGGGATAGGGAACCTGGAGCAGGCTGCACGAGGCTTCTCTTCAAGCCTTCCTCGTCCTTCTCGAGGCCCTTGTCCTTGTGACTTCTGTCCCTCTGGCTCTGAAACCGACCAGGACGACGAGAGGGAGCGGACTGCGGCCTTGAGGCGTGAGAGTTGCTCGAGATGGAGCCGAACGAGACTCCAGCAGAAAGGGGACGGCTGGACGGGTTCCTCTTCTCCTTCATTGCCGAGTTCTGAGAGTGGCCCGAGAGCTTGCTGCTCATCTCCTTGACAACATCAGAGCTCTCGTACTTCATCGCCCTCCCTTCGTTCCCATTCCTTGCATTCACCACCGATGGCTCATCGTCGTCATCGCCCGACAGGTACTCGTAGGCATCGCCTTCATCAGACGCGCTGCTCAGCACTAGGAGATCTTCCCTGTCCTCCTGGTGCATCCTGTCTCGACCTGCTGTCCGCGGTCTTGCAGTTTTGCGAGACTGCGCAGGATGTCAGTCGAGTTGAGTGCTGATGTGGGAGTCACCTGTCGAGCTCGACTGGCTGGCTCAGGAGCTCCGTTGGCTGGCCGAGCCGCTGAGAGCGGGCGATTCTTGTTGATGAGATCAGCGTCTTGCGAGTCATCGTTGGCACACGCCACGTCGAAGTCACAAGACTCATCGTGCCTGTCCCCTTCATGTTTCTTGCTCGCTCCCGGCAGCGCTGATTCTGCATCCGACTCAGCCTCCGCGTCCCCTTCAACATTTTCGTATTCTCCTGCCAATTGAATCAGCTGCAACACAAGAGGTTGGACTGAAGGTACCAGCATCAGTCGAAGATGGGTCGGTCATCGCCAGCAGTTCTTCACGGTCATCGTCAGCCATTCTCTCCCTGCCGGCTGTCCGGGGTCGTGCTGTCTTGCGTGAGTGCCTCCTTACTTTGCTCGGCTCCTCTCGGATAAGACTTTCGCTCGATTCATCTTCGGCCAGTGGGAGTCTAGCAGCAGAGAGTGGCCTCTTTCCCTTTTCCCTGTTTCAGCACAATTCACAATCCTGTTGCAGAGATGGAGTAGTCCTACCTGCTCGATGAAGAGTCGGGTGATTTCTCTCGTTTCTTTACTTCCTTGGAGTGTGATGGATCGTCGTTTCTTGAGTCATCAGGATCCAGTCTGTGTTGCTCGTTCACTGCCCCTGCCTTGATGTGCCAATCGATGTTTGAATCGTAGGCAAAACTGTTCTTCTGCACTTCTGCTGAACTTGCATCAACAAAATTGGTGGTCGGACTGGGGTCCTTCCGTCCTGCATTTGCATACTTGATATCTCTATCGCCATCTCGATTAATTTTCGCATCCGAGGAACCGCTCGGAGTTCGATTTGCACGCGACTTCTTGGGTGACCTCGCTTCCTCAATCCCAACGTTCGAGCCGAGGGCAGGCTTTGCTACATATGCCTGAGAAGGAGCTTTGCTTGGTTTTGGATTTCCCCGGTGCAAGAGATGTTTCTCCATGGCTACTTTGAAACACAAAAATTAACCCCTGTGAAACAGACAATCTATGAATACCAGTGCTGTTCCGAGAGTCCACAGAGTCATCATCGACTGCATTTGCCTGCAAGGAACACACTCATCGATTAAAGAACCGATTCCTCGACAAGAAACTCACGTGAAAGGAATTTTGAGCAGACGTCAAGGCAAGTCTCAGTTTCCCTGCAAGGCTAGACTTATCCAATCCTTGGACTTCCAACACCTGAACCGCATCGTGTCAGGAGGGTCCCATCGCAGTGGAAAATCAAAATCAAACTACATTCAGTGCGCTCTGATACGACCGAATGGCATCCTCGTACCGATTCAAGTATTCCTGGAAATTCGTCAACCTTGACCTTGTACTGGAGGAATAGTGAAACCTGTTCCACAGCGATGTTGTGGTAAGCTATTGCCAGCATGGAAGCCCGATCGGTTCTCTCGGACCCATGTCCTTTTACTTCTGGTTTGCGAGACTGGACGTCCAGATACTTCAATGCTTCGGTCGCACAGTTGAGGGCATTCAGATGTTTGCCCAGGAGCGAGTAAACCGCACATAGGTTGAGGAAGGTTGAACCACGAGACGAGACTTCTCCGATTCGTTCTTCTATGTCATGAGCCTGCGCATACGTCAACTTACATGAGAGCTCATTCCGACCTGACCTGACGTAACCACTTCAACGCCTCCATGGGCATTCCTTCACGACGGAAATAGCAACCCAGGTTGTTATACGTCAAAGCCTTCAAGCTCTCTAGATCTACAGAGCCTTCAAAATCCGAAATCACCATTTGAGCACATTGCAGCAGAATGAATGCAATGGAATTTTCTCCTCTTTGCAGATTGACCATCGCCCTCGAATTGTAAAGTCTTCCTAGTTTCTCGCTGGTTTGCAATGCCTGCTTTGAACGTGATCCGAACGTGTTGGCGAGATGCCTCAACTGTTCTTCGACCTCTAAAAGACTTTGTTTGTCGCTGGTGTCACCAAAATGAGCAAGCTTTGACATTCGATCGGAGCCTTTGAAACCCGCAGAGTCCATCTCTTTCCCTCGAGCATCACGGTGTAGAGCAGTTTCATCCGGATCCCAGGCAGCTTTCGTTGTGGTCTTGGGCCCGATCATCCACAGCTGGTGGCGGCCACTGGTCTTCGATGAGTTCAGACTTGCATTTTTCAGCCTGCTGCTCGTGGACGATGCAGATGACGAGGCACGACTGCTTGCATAATACGGGTTCAGGATCTTCTCTGCCTTTGCTGTGTCTGTCAGTCGCATTCCCCTTGGAGCTTCCGAGGCCCTGGAGCTGTCGGATTCAGAGATCAAATTGGATTGGTTCCCGGAAAATGTTGCACCAAAGCGCAGAACCCCTGCAGAAGATGGACGACCGCCATCGCGTCCCGACCTCCCAATCCTGCTTTTCTCCACTGCAGAGACTGGCCGGCTCTTGTTCGCTCGACCAGAGGTGTTGACATAAATTTGGGCCATCCTCGCAAAGTCGGAACAGAGACTTGAGCGATCTTCGTCAATCTAGATCCATCTCCCTCATTGTTGGTCAACCTCGAGTCTAAGGCAAAATATTGGTTACTTTCGAAATCGTGGACAAGAATGAACAAAAATAGTAGTAAGTTTTCATCTGTTCTTTCGATCATCAACAAGGAATATTGAGATGGTTGGTTACTTTCTGTCACTCTGCCATATCAGTGCCACACATCTGCGCAACATCTTTCCATGCAAGCTCTACTCGCCCTTTCACAGCCCCGACCTGCCCTGCACTGAATTGCTCATCCTTATACCTGCGCAATTTTCTAGAATCTCAATTCCATTTCGAGCCTGCTCAGTTTCTTCCTAGTCTCTCTACTCTCTTCTGACCTTGATATCTCTTTCCACAATCGTCCATATTTATCAATGTTTTCTCATACTTGATTGTGGATTGAAAGTGGTGCTTCACTCCGGTAACTGACACCTCATTTCCGTTTCTCGCTCTCAATTCTGATGTTTCAGATTACTTTGCCCAATATCTGTTCGTCAAAAAACATATTCCCTGAATTCCTTCACTTCCCGTGCATGCTGCTCAACTGATCTCTTTGATCGCCCTTCAAAAGTTGCACTACTCTGCTTGATTCTCAACCATATGCTCCTCTCTATTCTCCTCCTCGTCCTCCTCGTCCTCCTTCTCAACATCCTTTGCCATTCTGATCATTGCGATCAGAACCATAGTCGCTCCTCCACCTCCTCTTCCTCCTGTATTCTTCATCTTCTGCCATGCGTTGAATCAAAACGTTCGCAAACCCAAATGACCCCACATCCCCCACCCCCCACCCCCCTCCAGTAATCCAAATGTGCAGCACTCAGTAATTACCCCCGTCTCTACACGACCACCCCCTCTTGACTAGTACTACCCCTGTGATTGGGTAAGTACCCTACTGAAACTGGTAAAAGTACCCCCTTCTTGAAGTAACTCCTGACTGTTTTGAGTACCCCATTATTTCTCACCCACCCTCTGTGTATCTCCACCTAGTAATTCCCTCCTCCACCCCCTTTGCTTTCTGATGGACCCACCAATACCAAATGGTACCACCCCTGCCCTTTCCTGACCCCACCGGCCCTTACGAATTTGAACCAATACCCCTACCCCTTCATTGAATACTTTGGAGTACCCCACCTCCTCAACACCTCACTGATCACTTATCTTTACCACCCTTAATGTCTCAAGTCTGCTACCCCTACCCCCAGCTTCCTAGTCCACAAGCACCCACACCCCTACTTGACTTTTCACGACAACGACCCAGGCTTGTATATAAGCCAAATGTTACTGAAAAGAAGGGGTGGTACCACGTTGACTACCCTCCACCCCCATATCAGTCCTAGCGAGATGGGGTGTAACTGACCTCAAGACTTGATTTTGGTTCCGAGGGCAGGCCCGGCCCGGCCGGGCCGCTCGCTGGTGGGCCCGGCCCGGGCCAAGCCCAGACCGGGCCTTCAAGAGTCACTGACAACGACGAACCGTTGACAAATCGCAAGATATCCGGTTCCGATTCGGACTGGCATCACGTCATGGTGAGAATATCTGCTGAACTCATGATATCTATCGAAATACAGATATTCATAAAACAAAATTCCTGGGAGTGGTTTAATACTTTCTCAGATTTAGTTCATTTTGCGCACGAGGCTGTTGATCAACTCCTCACGGTCACCATACTGTCCACCCTCAATGAAATGTAAGCGCTTCTTGGGCATGCCACCCTTGGCGCAAGACATCTTGAACCTGTCCAACGACAATTAGAGGCAGAAACAGGCATCACAGAAGACACATATAACAAGCATAAAAAATACGGAATGATTCATCAAAAGAGATCAATCCACAAAAAAATCGACTTACGGCCAGAGGAATCTGTTGCATTCCTTGAACTTCGGTCCAACGGTGTAGATTTCGTGGATGAGGTCCTCCATGCAAGTAATTCCATGTTCCCCCAAGGCCTCCGAAATGATCTTGTTGTCGGTGAGTGGCATGCGCTGCTTCTTCACGCTCGCAAAACCACGCTTGTAGATGAGCTCCCTCACAGTCTTGAGGTTGGGAGGGCCGTAGGTGACGTACTCACCCGCAAGCCGAAGCATGTTGATGGAGGCAGAGTTGACCTTCATGAACACAGCGTTGTTGATCTGCAGGTGTCGTTAGAACGCTTCCACATCAGGGGGGAACAGAGACGTAAACACAAAAATCAAGACACCAAAACTAACAGGTCTAGTATACAGCATCTCATTGTCCATGACCTTTGAACACGGAAAACTACCAAAGCTCGCCTCGACTCCACCAGATTATTCAAGTCGGTTGTACATCATTGCTTTTCACAGAACGCAACAACAACTCGCCAGAACCGAGAGCAATCACCAGAAAACATAGAGATAATATGAAACACCATTGTGTCCGAGGACAACGACAAGTCAGAGCTAGCTATCACCCCCATGAACGAATCGATCTGCTATTTATCGTTACCTGGCGAAGGCGCATGAGCTGCAAGATCTTGCGAGTCTTGGGATCAACAGAGTTGATACCCTTGATGCGAACAACAAGAACAAGCTTGGGCTCAGGCTCCATGAAGAAGTTTCCGTGCTTCTTCGCCTCACGGCGAAACCTGACAAGATCCGCAGCAGCCTGTTTGTACTCCTTGTGGTACTTCGCGGTCCTAACAATCATGGCCTTTCTAGCCTCCTTGTTCTCCTTGCGTTCCTTGATCAAGGTAGCCTGTCTGTCAGCGGCGATGGCCTCTTGGGCCTTGCGCTTCTTGACGACATGCTCAGGCACTGCTTGCGGCATGGCGGAGGTGGACAAGCTCGTGCAGGCGGCTGTTTTTTTTAAACTATAGATTGAGGGTAGGGTGGTTGGAAGAAATTGGTGGGGGTCATTACCCAGTTGATTTCATGGTGGGTGTCCACTAAAGTACCCATCATTTCATTTTCAAATTTGCTGAATATGTACCCCCAAAAATACGTGATGGGTCGGAAAAGGGGGGTGGTACGAGTCGCGTGCAAAACTCCCTCGATGGAAGGGGGTAGGGTAGTGAGCGATCTGTGAGGTGGGTCAGGGTTCTTGCCTGAGGCGGGTGCTGCGAAAACGGTGAGTAACCACCTGAAACCTCTTCGTAACGGCTCGTTACAAAAGAAACGGCTGGCCATGCCTTTCATGGTTGAACTAACAAGAATGGGGCAGGATGGTGAGAGGTGGTGAGCGATGTCTCGACATCATAGAGAGTCAAGGGAATTGAGATGGTCGAAGATGGCAGGTCCTGGACTTTCGATAGAGGAAGGCTGTGATGATTGGTAGAATGGTTCTACCAAACTTGCCTTGGGTGAAGGTAGAGTTCACGAAGGATGGAGTGTGAAAAAGTTTGATTTCTATCGATCACGTGTTAACATGGAATACCGTGAAGCTCTGCGAACTCGTGCCGCAAATCCAGCCCCGCGGAAACAAAGTGTTATGTTTAGGAGGTTGTTATTGCTGATGGTGGTTGCTACCTTATGGTCTATCACTCCCATTTTCTTCTGGGCAGCAAAAGGTTCGAAGCATATATTACAAAAGAACTCAACGAGATTCAATCCTTCCAAGAACAGACGAAAAAACTCCTACAGCACAACCTTGCAAAACATAGATTGCTTTGTGTTGAACGGGGAAGATTACAGAGGTTTGGTCAGGAGAACCAGGAGCGGGGCAGTCTGCCAGCACTGGTCTTCACAGAGGCCCAACAGGCACAAGTTCAGCCCTGACAACTATCCTCTCTCAGGATTGATCCAGAACTTTTGCCGGAACCCATCGGACGATGCCGCGCCGTGGTGCTACAACGGAGAGAAACGAAACCCTGAGAAAGAGCTTTGTGAGGTCCCCATGTGCACCAGCGACTCAGTGGTGGTCAGTGTACATGAGATTCTCCGAGGAGGAGAGGGAGAGGAGGAAGGGGTGGAAGACCTCCGATGCCCCTCCAAGTACCTTCTCGATGCGGCATCTGCGAGAGCACGGAAGAAGTACGACAGGCTCTCGAACATGAAGGGGTTGGACCCTACCACGACTCCTCTGCATGTTTACAGCTTCTATGGGCATACAAGTCTGAGCCAATGGGACCATATCGTCAGAGCGCATGTCGACAGACTGCATCTGCAGAAGGGACAAACTGTGTTTGAAAGCGGGTCTGCTGCTGGGGCGTTCGTTGACTCCCTTGCAAGGCAGTATGGAGTGAAAGTTGCCGGAGTAGACATTTCTCAGGGTCTTGTTGTCATAAGCAGAAGTCGTGTCAACGGCACGTTCTGTGCTGCTTCAGCTACCGATCTGGACTTCATCCCGGATGAATCATTCGATCATGCCGTCTCGTTTGCTGTCCTTATGTACGTTTCTGGAGTCACCAAGGCTTGTCAGATCGCTCGTGAACTTGTGCGAATCGTTCGTCCTGGCGGTTCGATCTTTCTGGGACAGCTAAATGATCCAGAGATGAGCGTCTTCAAGCCCAAGGGGCCTGAGGGCAACTGGGATATTCCGAGGTGGTACTGGTATCGCTTTGCTTACCTCCTAGGACTGAAGGTTGAAGTCGTCGGGGGCGAGAACGTATATTCCAAACGTGTGTTCCCACAGCTTTCACACTATGATCTTCACGCTGCATTGCGATACAACGTTTACTTGAGAAAACCACTGGGCTTTCAGAAGGAGACGTTGCAAGCCATGTCATGTCAGCACTTTCGAACTCTACATCTTCACGATTCGTACACTTTTGAAGGTCAGAAATGCTCTTTCCCATTCAAATACTGCAAAGGTGGCTGCAACAGCTCACAATCGCAGGGTATGTAGGATTTCCACATGGATGGTTCAATTCCATTTCTGACTAAGTGACAGGAATTTATGTGGACAGTTGCAGCAAGCTGGGCGAAGAAGAGGAATGGTGCGCAACGACGCCAATCTTTCAAGGTCAGTCCTTTTGTGATGACAACACACGACAAAGATCGCAGTTGATCTGATGGGACGGACAGGGTCAAACTCGGGTCGATGTAAGCCCTCAGGAAGCAGTCCTGCTACGTACAAGCCCTTCGCTCGCTCGAGTAGCAGTGGCAGGAAAAAGTTGAGGGGCCAAGAAGAGGAGGATCATGGAAGTCCGGTCATGAGTGTTGGATGACCCGGCACTGCCCGTATACCATGCCAGCACGGCTGCAAGGCTTGACTACCTCGCTAGTCAAAGCCCCTGGCCGTGTGAAAAGTTTGCCACTGCCGGCGGCGCCGGAAAGCCGGGAAGCCTCAGGGAGTGAGGAGGATATTCTTTAAGAATGAGTTAGCATTCTCTGTCTATTCTTTTTTAGAAATTATTCTTTAGAAACATTTTTTCTCATCCGAAACTTTGATGATACCCTCAGTCTTGCATGATTCATCTGTACTCAGTGAGGACCAGCCCCCGGCCCCCCGGCGCCGCCGCCTGGCCGGGCGAGGTCGGACTCGCCGGGCTCGGAACATCCGCCGCGAGGCCGCCGAGAAAGTTTGTCCGGCGGCGCCGCCGTGCCACCCGGGCCCGCCGGGCGGCGGCCGGGACTGAGTCCGCGCCCATCGGATGTTCAAGTCACTCAGTTCATAGGCTGGTCAACTAGGATATTGACTATAGAGCCTTCGTTTCGACCTTATTTATTGACTATGAGACCTTCATGTTGACTATAAAAGTTCAGATCAACTTTTCGAAACTCGATCAACCCCCACCCCCTACCCCCTTCTTGAACCACCCTCTTGCTCGAGACCCCCTGGTAATTCACTTGCACCCCAATGTATCCCTACGCCTAGCAGACACAACATACCCCTACCCCTATTTTTGTGGATATTGTTTATCAACACCCCCATTTAATCCACCAATTTTCTATCAAGATACAACTAGGGGTGTGTCACCCTACCCTGCCCTTTGCCTTCTTTGCACCTCCCCTTCTTCTTCCATGTCCCTACCCCTTCTATTAGGCTGTCATATCCCCAATCACCCCCCAGCATCAGCCTCCACAATGGCGGGAGCAGGAGAGAGGGAAAGGGGAGGAGCGGAGGGGGGGGGGTGGGGGGGATGTGACGTGAAAGTTATGAATGGACAGTACAGGACATCCTAGGACAAGGGAGGGGTGGGCTGAGCACGAAAGGCTATTCAAAGGAAGGTGACAAGTACACCTTAGATGGTATGAACGGGTCAAACTTCGGTCCAGAATGAGGAGAAGGGTGGAGGTAGAGACAGCAAGACAGAGTTGAACGAAATTCAAGAAGGGAGAAGAGAGAAAAAGGAAAGAAAGATGGTTTCTAAAGCAGGAGGAAGATACGCACCTGTACATGAAGAAAGGCATTGACCGAGAGTAGCGATTGTTGTAGTCCATGATGCTTTGCGAAGCACGAGCGGGCTCAAGGGGGGAAAGAGTCGAATCAAGAGGTATTAATAGCTAGATGAAATGTAGATGTGGGAAGCGGGAGCAGGATACTTGCAGAGTGGCAGTGTTTCTTCTTGCGGAGCATCATTGATTGGCTAATTACAAAGTGCAGAGAGTTCATGATGATAGATATTTGCAAGTTTGGTGTTGTGTGCTGTTCTGAAACGTTCACTGCAAAGGTGTTCCAGAATTGGAGGGCATGCCCGGTTCGGATTTCATGCAAGGCCATCCGAGGCTGAGTGAGGACGATGGTAAGATTTGAGCTCCCTGCCCTGCTAGATGCAGCTTCCGTAAACTGAGAATGCCAGGGCCCGAATCTCCAGCGGGACGAGTCCCCGAAAGAGGTTTCAACCGATCATCAAGTGATTTGCACTGGAAGGAGGAGAAGGATAGTGACCTTGTCCCAGGATTCGTCGACAGCTACAGGAGGGCAGTGAACACTGGACGAGGAACCATCGCTGACACCATTGCGAGCGCAGTGAGTTTCGATCCTTGTGTTAAGGTAGGGAATACTCACAACAGGATTGTCAGAGAGCTTCCTTGAAGAATCCCTCTAGACCTTTCACTCCAGCAGACCCTCTCCGACGTCTGAACTCTCATACACTGGTCAGAGCAAATCTTTGCGAAAGCGGTGAGAAGCGTTTGATTGTCTTACAGCTGAACCCTGGCGACTCTGTCATCCCTCTGCCAACCCCGCTCTTGTCAACTGGAAGGTACAGGACTCTCTTTGGGTCTCAGCACGATCAGCTCTGTTCTTATCCTTGCAAAACTAGTTTTGAATTGGAACGACCTTTCACTGGTATCGGCAAAGTACCCCTTCCTTCCACAAGGCAAGCTCTGGATAGCTCGCTTGTTTCTTCGAGGACGGCATCGGATCAATCTGTCATTGAGACCAAAAAGACTCAAGAGAGTCGGTCCCAATCGACTGAAGTTCTCACAATCCTAGACGTGATGTTAAAACTTGCTGAGAAGCAAATGTTCACATGCATACTTGCAGGACACAAATGTGCCGGGGGTGGAGCAGGAAGTGTTTTCATCCACTCGTAGACCGAGATCGTCCTCAGAGACAAGTGCAAGCTCTGCCTTGTGGCAAACTTTGCGAAGCAAACTGCGTCTTGTAAGGGGCGGAGAGCTCGTTGATGGAATCGTGACATCGCTACAGTTGGAAAATCAAAATCTGAGGTCGAACGCCTGCGATGAGATATGCGAACTTCTTCCTAACAAGGTTGTGAGGATGTGGCATCTCACGATCGGAACCTGACTTCTGTCTCACAGGAGGTAGTGATGTCGCTTGAAACGGCTCAGGTGTACAAATTTCTCCTGGTTTCTGACTGTCCAATCTAACACGATTTCTTTCAGCGGAGCGAAATTGTAAAAAGTGTTGCAAAGCATATGGACTCGAGAGATCCGAATATTCTTACAAAGTTAGCAAAAGTTGTTGTTATTGTTACCAAGGGAGGCTCGAACCTTCTTTCTGCGTCAAAGCTGTTGTTCAGGCTCAGCAAGGTAGCAACCTTACATGTTTTTGGCAACACACAAGAACCAACTCTCTTCTGCAGGCTCCTGACAACGATCAAATATTCCGAGCGAATGGAATCTTCGATACGATTCTGCAAACTCTCGGCTCCTCAGGTACATTGCAAGTACAGGGCATTTAGATGATTTTGACAGTTTTCCTTCAGGGAAGATTGAATCAGTTGTCGGTCATATTTCTCGTCTGAGTGATCAGTGTGAAGCAGAGGTGAAGCAGCATGCCTCTGTCTATGGATCTGATCTCTTGTTCTTGTTACTGTCGACTACTCGGGCAGGTTGAGGCTTTGATGTACCTTATTGGGGTGTTGAAGAACTGTTCTAGCGAGAGCGATGAGGTAGACACGATGATTGTTGGTTTCGCTGGGTTGATAGTCTTTCTCGAAGAACCGGAATTCCATTCTCAAGTCAGGGGCCCTTCCTGTCGTGACCGCGTGGATCAGAGCTTTCTCAAGGCTCGACAGGCAAATCGGGCAGGTGGGATGTTGCTGGAGAAGCAGGAGCCCAATCTCACACCATCGAACCATCAGGCTGAAGCTGCAGGTCACGAGGATCAACTTGCAAGCGATGGCATCGCGGGTAGATCAGAAGAAAGTGAGGGACGAAACCGTAAGATGAGAGACCATGTCACATCCTTCTTAACGCAAGCCGCTGGTACATGTCGCCCATGCGCTTCGTATCTTGACACGATCTTAGTTCTGCTGCGCAACCTATCCACGGTCTCTAGTTACAGGCAAGTCAAGGAGTCGATCTCCTGCACGTGCTGACTGCAAGATCAGAGATGACTTCGTCGCTTTCGGAGCCCTGAGAGCCGTCGTTGAGATCCTCGCATTGTGGGAGAACGACGCTGAACTTCTCCTGAATGCGTCTCGGGTCATAAGCAAGTTGTCTCTGACCAAGTCTTGTCAAGAGGAGATGGCGAGCATCTCTGGCTTTCATGAATCGTTCATGCGAGTCATCTCCTGCAACCAGGACAAGACTCCTCTGCTCATTCGCCTGACCTTCGTGCTGGGAAATCTCACGTCCTCTGACGAGGATCATCGAATCAAGATCTTTCGATGCAGGAACAGCCTCGACGTTCTCTTGGACATTCTGTACACCCATGGACAGCTTCTCCTTGCAGCTGCGGAGGAGCTGGAGACGAAGATTGAGCAGAACCTTGGCGAGAACAACGAAGTCCCTGCGTCAGATATCAGCGAGCTTAGCAAGCATGCGTCTCAGGACCTCCTTGTCAAGATAGTTCGGTTGCTCGCTCATCTTGCGATCTCTCCGAGCATCGGACCAGTCCTCGCCAAGAAGGAGAAGATCGAGATGCTCATTCTTCTCGCCAGCACCATCCACATCGCCTACTGTGAGGAGCTGATCCTCAACGTCGTGAGCGCCATCACCAACCTCAGCTACTACTCCGAGCAGGACTCCGTCATCTGGCAGACCCGCATGGGCCTCATCAAGATCCTGTCTGAGATGCTCTTCGTGGAGAACCAGGAGGCTGTGCTTGAGGCCACTAGGGCTTTCGGAAACCTGTCGAGGGATCAGGACGCACGCACGGTCATGCATTCTTCCCGCATCGACGAGGCTCTCGTTCTCCTCCTGGATCACTCGGACCGTGACGTTCTCGCCGCGGCTGCTGGGGTAGTTGTGAACCTCGCAGGTGACCCTTCGTGCATGGACATTCAGATGCAGAGCGATGCGCTTGTGCTGCTCATGGAGGCGCTGGGGAGGAGCGGACTATCAGACTCTGAGTTGTGCTGCACCGTCTGCTACGCGCTGTACAACCTTGGGGCCACGATGCAGTGGAGGTTGGACGGGCTGGTGGCGATGAACCTTCAGGACGTGCTGGAAGAGCTGATGATGCAGGCGAGAAAGTCGCCCGAGGAGCTCGCGGCGTTGATGGGCGTGATGGAGCGACTCCTGAGTAGCATCAAGAGGAACTGCGAGGAACAGATCGAGAGGGTGCAGAGCGAGGTGACGGCGTGAGCTCCTTCCTCGCTCCTCTGTTGACTCTCATGACAGCTGCAAGGGGATGGAGATTCTGGCGAGGAGGGAGATGAAAGGGAATGTCTGCTGGTACGCGCACCCCGTCCTGGCTCCCGCAACCTAGTACATTCGTTCCTCTGCTCCTCCCTTCCCCTCCCTGACCCCTACCCGTTGCCCCAATGGTCCTCACAAATTGAGCGCAGGTTCCCTTGGAGGCTCCGACGGAGGAGGTGACGCACTAGAGGAAGCAGGCAGTGCAGGCAGTACATGTTGTTGTCAAGGAGCTCCGACCTTCCCCGGGCTACTTACAGTTGAGAGCCTCCAGCATCCTTCGCGGGGTCGCGAGGACTTCACCGACGGCTGGGGCGGTCTCGAGGATGTCGCATCGCTTCCTAGAGGGGTAGATCCAGCTCTTCACCTCGTCGATGAAGCCTGCGGGCGTCGGCGAGAGGATGGCCGGCCAGTCCACCTGTCGGTCTGTCAGGAGCGAGCAAGGGAGGCTCGTGCTTCACCTGGGTGCCCTCGGGCGGGGAGGTCTGGACCTCGATCCCGATGGAGAGCATGAGCGCAAAGAAGGCGATGTAGCCGCAGGCTGCGGTTCCTCGCGAGAGAGGGCCGAAGTTGACCCAGTAGAAGTAGAAGGTGAGCGCGAGGTCAGTGAACCTGTCGAGGTCTGGCTCGGGTTGTCTCCTCGCCTCCTCCGTCAGCAGCGACCACGCGTGCGCCATCTCCTTGTCCATCTCCACCCATCGCGGCGGCGTGCCAGGGGTGCGGATGGTGAAGTCGAAGCCATCGGGAGGCTTCTGAAGGAGGGTGATCCTTGTTCCTGCCATGATCTCGCCGGGCCGAGCAACACTATGGCAAGGGGTCTCGACGTAGAAGCCTTGCTGCATCACTTCCCACAGGTCCTGGCAAGTCTTGGCCTCTCTGAGCTGGTCGATCTTGTTGGGAGGGAGCATGAACCGCTGGTCGTGCACGTTGCATGCGCCGCTCTCCTCGATGAGCTTCTTCACCACGTCCCTCGCTCGCTCGAAGTAGGGGTAGTACCTCACCACGTTCATCTGCCCGGTTACCATGGGGGTCTGCAGACCGAACCCTTCGGCGAAGACTTCAGGTGCCATCAGGTCTATCCAGAAGACCGGGTCGTTGGGCTCGGAGATCTGCCGCCATTTCACTGAGATGTCCATGAAGTCGCGCCAGCCGAAGGCATGCTTCTTCCCGCAGTCCTTGGAGCTGCCCTTGACGTCGAAGTAGAGGTCATAGCGCCGAGACCCATTTGCCACAGTCTCTGCTGTGCTTCCACTCTGCCACCAGGCTTTTGCCTGTTGTGCCATGTGCAGGATGGCGAGGCCGCACATTCGATGCTGTCTGAGGTTGCTCAAGAAGCCAGCAGACCTGAGTTGAATCAGAGGCCCAAACCTCCGCGAGAGTTCCACAAGCTCGTCGACTTCTTTCACCCCCGTCTTGTCCACCATCTTCACGTCAGGGATTTTTGATGTCGCAGGCTTTTGCGGGATATAGTTGCAGAGTCGAGGATGGTTGGTCGGGTCTCGCTTGCAGTAAGACTCCTTGAAGTAGGCATCCAACTCGACATCCGCATTGAAGGAGATGAGATTGACGTCAAGATGCTTCTGCAAGTATATCGCCAACTCTCTCTGATAGTAGCAGAGATGTCCTGCAGCAACCATCAGTTCCTTTCTGACTGGAAGTCGAAAGATTGGAAAAGATGTTATGACCATGAAACATCGTCAAGACAATGGTGTAAAGGAGAGGTCATCCACCATCACAGAATCATATATTTTACATCGACAAGAATGATCAAAGATCTTCACCTGGATCCATCTTCAAGAGTAGAGTGTACTCGGATATTGCACCAGACATGTCACCGAGACTGTGCTTGCAGACAGCTTTCATCAGGAAGCAATTCTTGTCGTTCCGATCGCATTCATGACCCCTAGAGAAATCGTGCAGCGCGAGTCTAATTTCACCACATCCGTAGAACAGAAGACCTCGGAGATGGTAGCAGTGCACATAGTTCGGGTCTAGCTTCTCAGCCATTGCGAAGTATTTCTCCGCATTTTGTCGATCTCCTGCGTCCCTGTACGCTTGACCTAAGTTGGCCCATGCTTCTTTCATGTTCGGATCGAGTTGGGTGGCTCGTTCGTAGGCTAACAGACTCATCAAGGGCAGACGAGACCAATGGCATGGCATTACTCACCGATGATTGCTTCTCGCGTTCTACCCAGTGAGTTTTCACAGAGGCCGACGAAGTTCCATGTGATGGGGCTGCTACCGTCTATGTTGAGCGCTTTGCGAAAGTCCGTCAAAGCTTTGCGGAAGTCCATCATCTTGTGGTAAACAATCCCTCTCTGAAAAAAAAAGTCACACGTCAGATATGCATCTCAGTTTCAATGTCAGCCAATCGGGAAACAAGTGGACAAGTTCGATGTGAGCATACCTGGTGGAAACACTCGTGGTCTGGTGATAAACTTGCTGCCTTGGTGAGGTCCTTGATCGCCTCCTGACAACTTGAAATTAAATCCAGCACCGCTCCATCCCTTCTCTGCACTTGATCAAAGCCTAACGCCGCTCTTGTCTGTCCTCGACGCTTCCATGCGTCCGCAACATTCGGATCAGCATCCACGGCCCGAGAAAAGTCTTTTGCTGCCGCTGCGAGATTTCCCTGCATGGTGATGAGAGGTAAAGTGAAGAATTCTCTTCTCAGTAATTGCCTGGAGTGCATAGGCTGTTCCTCTCCCAAGATATGCAGCAACTAGTTTATCGTCTTCTCTCAGCATCCCATCAAATATCTCTATTCCTGCTTTGTAGTTCCCAGTGTTCACCTGCAAATGCACATCAAAGAGTATAATATGGACAGCATCTCGTATCAATACCTGTAGGTAACCTAATGCAATCTTCTGATCCACTGATATGTTTCCAATTCCATGCGCAATCAAATTTTGTGCGGCTGCAAGGGCAGCGACCTGACATGCACCGTCAGCGATGACATCGCTGTCAGATGATCCGCTTGGGTACCTGAGCTGGATCTTTGGTTTCCGACGATTTCGAAGCTGAAATCGTCAGAACCCCTCGGTTTGAAGCGCTTTTGTCATGCTCATGGTCAGGATCGTACGTCTCCTTCTCCACCTCTTGAACTGCCTTCTTTTCCTTCTTGCCCAAGGAAATTCCGCTGTGGTTGTCACTCTTATGCCCGTGTACATGCTTGGCGGAGGCTTGAACAGTATCTTGCTTTGGAGGAGACTTTGCCGGACTCGAGCTCGAGTGAGGATAGTAAGAGGCTGGCAGTCAATCAGGTCAACAAACTGATTCAGGTCTCCCTCACCCATTTTTTCTTGTTTGCGAGGGGTTTGACTTTGAATGGGTTCAGAACCATTGAATTCCACATGCTTTGCATGCGAAGCAAAACCCAGATGGCTCAGAACGTTCATGTAGACATCCAAGTCGCCCCCAATCATCAAGGCCGCCTTCCACGCATTCTCGGCTTCCTTGCGCTTTCCCATGGCAGCAAGAGCCAATCCTGATCGAAGCATCACTTCCTCATGTGCCATGTCATGCCGAGATCCACCTTTGCGCTCCAAAGCTTTCACGTTCTCAGGCTCAATCTCGAGGACTGAGTTCGCATCCTGAATGCGAGGTGAGTAGATAGAAACCTTGCAGACCTCCCCGACAACCTTCAGGCTGGTCTTGTACAACTCCATGGAATAATACGCTGCTGATCGGTTGCTGTCTAGCGTCAACATCCTACCGAACCAGCAGGCAAGGAGCATAGCAGCATACCACAATGCAGTGACGTCGTCGTCATCTTCATCTTCATTCTTCGTCAGGACATCATGGTTCAAGGAGCAGCTTCCTTACCAAGCGCTTCCGTGTAGCAACTGATCGCCGTACTCCAATCCTGCCATGGCGGAGATGGACATTAGCTCACTTTCTCAGCCAAGAGCGTGAAACCTGTTGTGCGAACGCACGATTCCCTCGAACGAGCGCTGGAAATCCTTCCATTCCCCAACTAGAGCACAACCGTCAAGCAGAGGAAGATAGGTCCGTGAGCATAGTATTTGCCCATCATAAGCTGCTCCCTGATTCCTCTGTCCTTTCATCCCTGACTCCCCTGGGTTACTCATTTCTGTACGTCTTTCCTGAATATCCTACTCCACATAGCCATGTCAACAAGTCACCTTCCAGGTTGACCCTTCACCCCATCTCGAACTTCATGTTCTCAATCGCTTCTTGTTCATCATCATCCTTATCCTCTTCCTCTTCCTCTTCCTCTTCCTCGTCCTCTCTCCCCATTCCTCATGCCTTCAGCCCATTCGCGTTGAGCTTCATGCCAGCGCGGGAAATTCGGGTGCGAGGGCGATGAGTGATATAGCGGGGATGAGGGTATAGGTTATCAGTACTCGAAGGAATTCATGGTACTGATGACTTCTTGGTACTAAAGTAAACCACAGGGGTAGTGGGCAGTTGCTAGGTGACATGCAGTAAACTACAGGGTAGGGTGTCATATGCGATAATTTGGGGGTAGGTGTGTTTAAGGTGGGTAGGGGTACTATAGTACCGGGTATAATGCCACAAAGATAGCCTTTCATCATGAGGTGCAGGGGTGTGAGTAGGGGGTGATGCGAAATCAGGGTTGAAATAGGTGGGGTAGTTTGCTCAAGGCCTTGAACTTTGAGTAAACTCTACTACGACCAGGGCCTTTAAGCGTGTGGTTTTGAGAGTTGGAGGAGGAGGATCCCCTAAAGCCTCAGCCGCTCAAGCTGCCTGCCTTGTATCCCTCCCTTCCCTTCCTCCTCCTCCTCCTCTCCCTCTTCTCTTCTTCGTTTGCTGCCTTCGTCGGGAGCTTCAATCTTCCCTCGATTCAAGCAAGGCAGGTGAACAAACCGTTGACGAGTCTGAAGATGTCGGGAGGACGTGTTGTCCTCTGGTTCAGGAACGATCTTCGTCTTACAGACAACGTGCTCATTGCAGAGGCAAGCAAGCGTTTCCTTGCTTCCAACAGCGCTCTCAGTGTCCTCCCTGTGTACTGCTTCGATCCACGGTTCTTCGCTCAGAGTCAGTATGGTCCTCGCAAAACTGGCGTACTTCGTGCCAAGTTTCTGCTGGAGTCCGTTGCAGACCTCAAGAAGAGGCTGCAAGGAGTTGGTTCGGATCTGCTGGTGCTCTCTGGCAAGCCAGAAGTGATCATTCCTCGCCTTATGCAGAGCGGAGAAGACACCACAGTGCTGGCCCAAGAGGAAGTGACGGACGAAGAGCTTCGCGTTGATCGTGCTGTGAAGCGAGCCATCGCTCCTTTGGGTGACGGCATTTCTCTTCTGTTGCGCTAGTCTTACGTCGCTCATAGGAGGCAAACTTCACCTGCTCTGGGGTCACACTCTGTTTCATCGGGACGACCTTCCTTACAGGTTGCGGATGTCCCCCCCCCCCCCCCCCCCCTTCCATCCTTTCTGTCCTCTTTTCTTCTTCCATCTCCTCTCTTTTCTCCTTCACTCCGTGGTTTGCTCACGTGATTCTCGAACAGGCAGGGGCTGACGGACATGCCTGATGTCTTCACTCCCTTCAAGGAGGCGTGTGAGAGGAAGTCCAAGGTCCGCAAGTGCTTCCCATACCCGGTCAAGGGCAACCTTGGCGTCGTCCCCGAAGACGCGAAGAAGCTCGACGAAGGGCTTCCGTCTCTCGAGTCGCTGGGCTTTTCAGCTCAGGAAGTCGAAGGAGCGGCAAAGCCGGACCCTCGCTCTGTCCTTCAGTTCGTGGGAGGCGAGTCAGCTGGACTGGACAGGATTCAGCATTACATCTGGAAGCAGGACTGTCTGAAGGACTACTTCGAGACCAGAAACGGCATGATCGGAGCTGACTACAGCTCCAAGTTTTCGGCTTGGCTGGCGCATGGATGCATTTCTCCTCGATTCATCTATGAGGAAGTGCAGCGGTACGAGTCCCAGCGGGTGAAGAACAAGTCGACTTACTGGCTCATCTTCGAGCTCATCTGGAGAGATTTCTTCCGCTACATCTGCATGAAGCATGGCAATGAAGTCTTCAAGATCGGAGGCATCGCGCACAGGTCGTGGAAGTGGGAGGGTGAAGGAGAAGCGTTTCAGCGATGGGTGGACGGAGAGACCGGCCAGCCTCTTGTGGATGCCAACATGCGCGAGTTGAAGTACACCGGCTTCATGTCCAACAGAGGAAGACAGAACGTCGCTAGCTTCCTCACGCAGAACCTCAACGTTGACTGGCGACTCGGGGCAGCGTACTTCGAGGAGACGTTGCTTGATCACGACGTGACGGCGAACTGGGGGAACTGGATGTTCGCTGCTGGGCTTTCAGGGGGCAGGATCAACAAGTTCAACATCCTGAAGCAATCCAAGGACTACGATGAAGATGGCGAGTATTGCCGCCTCTGGTGCCCCGAGCTCAGAAACGTTCCGGTGGTCAAAGTTCATTCGCCATGGCAAATGAGCGAGAAGGAGCAGCTTGACTGCAACGTGAAGATCGTTTCCTACTCTGAGCTGAGGTCAATCTCATACTTCTTGATGCGCTTCCTCTTGCCGTCACTGACATGACAGCAGGGACAAGATGTCGGCCAACGTGCAGCTTTACCCGAAACCCGTCTCAGAGAAGAATCCAGGTGAGCATAAGCACAAAGAGCGTCCCCACTGACTGGCTGCAGGCCGCTACTTCGATGATGGTCAGCCAGGCCGGGTCCCCTCCCGACGTCAGGCGGAGGTTGGCAAGCGATGGGACAAGACGGCGGATCGTTGGATGGGGAAGAAAAACCGAAGTTCCAACTCGAAGCGCCAAGACTACATGGACTCGCACATGTAAATCACACAAGACATGTAAGAAATGGCTTTGTGCTTGCACAGCTCTGCATCTAAGCAGACATGCGATAGTGAATCTATCTGTGGGAATCTATTTGTGAAGAGGGAAAGAAGGACCACAAAGCGCCATTACACAAGATGTTGGTTCAATCTGTGTTACTCTTGCATTCAAATAATGTCAGGCAACAAATATTCCACATGCTTGTTGTGCTCAATTCCAACATCATTGAACCTTTTCACTTCGGCTGTACCACGAGCGCGTCAGAAAGCAACACAATCGTCAACATGCAATTGTATACCAAAGATTTGCTCTTCGGTCATGTTGGTGACCCTGGTGGTCTCGTTGGCTTTGAAACCTTGGTAAACAGCTTCGACCACAGGCTCCCAGGACGTGTTGGCCGTTTCACGAACCAGAAAAGTCATCTCGGGGTTAAGCCCTTTCAAGAAAGCATAGTGTTTGATAATGAACTTGCTGCAATCAGAGTTCAGTCTTGATTCAACTCTTTCCATAGGAAATGAACCAATCGTCACAGAAAGAAACAAAGCACAAGCAAAACGATAAACAACTTTCTGTGGGTCACGAAAGCTATCATTCAGAAAACTGACGGAAACAAAAAGAAAATTGCAAGTAACACTGAATTTCATATGTGATAGATATCAGAAGCAGTCAAGACATTGAAAAAACACGCATAATCACTGGAAGATAGTTAAAACACAACAGAATGAATGAAAACCACATCAGTCAGGCCATTCAACCAGGAGGAGAATGAGATAAGGAGGGGGTAAGGGAGGAAGAGTGTGCTGGAAGACGCAAGTCAAGGCACCTGCATCCTTCCGTGTGCGGAGCCCGAGGATTGATGAGGAAGCGAAGCTCGGCCATGTTGCGGGAAAGCCGCGCGCGCCACGGCATGGGAGAGGAGAGGAGCGAGGGCAAACGGTGGGGGTACTTAAAATGAGATATGACAGGGTAGGTAGGGTGTTAGCTTGAATGGGGGTGGTGTGTGCTAGTAGAGGGGGTAGGGGTGTTATTCTTTTAGTTCAGGGGTAGTGAGTCATAGGGGTTCTTGTACCGTAAAGGTTGTAGACAGGGTTGGCGAAAGGGGGTACGTAACAAGGTAAAGTGTAGGGGTAGGGGTGGTTGCAAAATGTTATGAACCAATGTCTTTGCGAGCGAGAGGAGAGGAGAGGAGAGGAGAGGAGAGGAGAGGAGAGGAGAGGAGAGGAGAGGAGAGGAGAGGAGAGGAGAGGAGAGGAGAGGAGAGGGATAAAGCAAGAAGAGACGGAAATGATGTAGCATCAGAACCATGATTGCAGACAAAGAGGTTGTGGTACGACTACCTTCAGTCGTATAGGGCATAATCACGTTTATCTACTTGCGCTTGCCTCCTCCTGGTGTCAGAAACCTCCCCAGGTCCTTGAGGTTCGAGCGGATCCGGTTGCCAGATGTAGCCTGCTGTTGTTGAATCGTCAGGAGCAACACGAGCAGGAGCCGCTGACCTCCGAGCTCTCGAGGCTGTTGGTGGAGGAGTCAGAGAAGGAGGAGGTGCCATTGGACGGGGCGATGGCGGAGAGAGGAGTACTGGACGAGCTTTGCGAGGGCTGCTCATCCTTCTTTTGCTGGCAAGGAGTGAGATCGCTCGAGCATGACGCGCATGGTTGCCTCACCTGCAAGTGGTCGCGAAGGAGGGTGCTGCCCTCCTTGGTAGCCTATGTCTTGCGTCAGCTACAGGTCGATAGAGAGAAACGAAGAAGAGGGAGGATTGGAGAGGAGAGGAGAGGAGAGGAGGAAGAGAAAAGAGGAGAGAAGAGGAGGGAGGAGGAGGAGGACAAGGAGGAGGCGTCAGCCACCTGCTTCTTGATCACGAATTTGCCGCTCTTGGGCATGGTGTTGATCATCTGTGCGATAGAGTCGTCGGAGTCCTGCATGCTTCATCAGCAGGGCGATAGAACGCAGAACAAGCCCTTGCCCCTTGCGCGTTCTTCGGAGCTGCGCGAGAGTTGAAGGAGGAGGGAGGTTGTTTGAGAGGCGCCTGCTCATGCTGTCGCTGCTCTGGTCTTGCTGCTGCGTTCTCCTTGGACTGGTTCGGCTGTTGATTTGGGTCAAGGAGAGAAGAGAGAGGTCTTGAGGGGAGGAGGTGGAGGAAAGGAGGGTGGTCACTCACTGCATTCTGCGATCGAGCGTCGTTGGCAGGTTTGTGTGGAGCTGCTTTTCCTTTCTTTCTGGCCTCGACCTGTTTGTCGCGCTCTGCCATCTGCTTGATGAAGGCCTCCCGCCGGCTTCGAATCCTCTCCTCCTCTTCCTGTGAGAAGATGAGCGAGAGCAGGAGGGTTTCAGCACCTGACCTTCTTCCTGACGTTCTCGTTGTACGCTTCCTTGAAGGCTTGCGCGAATTGATGGATCTGCGTGAGAAACTCGTCTGGCTTGAGATCTTCTTCCCCGAACCTGGCGACCTCCGTCAGCTCTCTTCGCGTCTAACCGCACCTCTCACGTCTTTGAGACTTCCTTGTACAAGCTCAGCGCCTGTGGCAACGTCATCGAGGTGAAGCGGCAGCGCCTGCTCATGCTCACGTCCTTCTTGTTCTGCTCCAGCACCTCCATGTCGTTGTACGCGGTGTGGTAGAACTGCTCGAGCTTCGCTCCGCACGGGTCGTTCTTGGCGTTGCTCCTGGCAGGGAAGTGAGGGCAGAGGTCGAAGCACACAAGGAGAAGGAGCTGCTACTTGTAGTAGGGACGATTCATCTCCTCGTAAATGAACTTGATCTCCCTCTTGAACTTGCTAATCTCCTCCACCTGATGCCATTCAAAGGAGCACAACAGTCTCCTCCTCATCACACACCACATTCTCCGAGACTTTTGCTCCAATCTCGACGTTGCTGAGCTCTTGCGGAAAGTCTAACAGGCTCTTGTTCTCCCGCTCTATGAAACTCACCTACACGCAGCAGCGTTCACGTCCAATCCTCTCCCTCGTTCTCACGCACGAGATAGTGGAGCAACGTGCTCTTGTTGTCGGTCGTCTTGGTGTCCGCAAGTTTGGTGAGGACCTGCAGCGAGTGAGGAGCCTGATTCCTTGGACGAGCTCCTCGCACCTCCAGCTTGAACCCGTACGCTCCTCCTCGCGGTCCCGTCCCATTCAGGTAGTTGCCAATGGCAAGAATCAGCTCGAAGACCTGCGGGTGGCTGAGCGGCAGTTGCAGCAGCAGTGGTCTCCTCTCTTGTCACCTTGACAAGCTTCGAACAGCGCTTGATATCATGAAGAGCGTAGTTGAGGACCTGCCTGGGGTGAGCGGAGGAGGAGGAGCAGAAGGAGGAGCAGAGTCTTGCGCTACCTCCACGTTCTCCGATAGGTCATGCAACCTTGCGTTGAATTCGAGGATGAACACGAAGCACTGGAAGCCGCCTCAGCACGCTCAGGCTCCTGCACGCCTGCCGCTCACCTGCAGACGAGGCTTGAGGCGAGGGATGCAGAGGAGCTCGAAGAGGAAGCGCTCGGCCGTTCCCAGCTCTTCCTTGGGCCTGTCCAGCTGGAAGGTGAATTGAGAGGGAACAAATGAAGCAGACAGACCCGGTGTAGGACTGCAGGGCCGCGACCTCCTGGTCTGTGGGCAGCAGCCTCATCAGCTGCACCACGAAGTTCGGCTGCCACAGTGTGAGTTGTTGCCCTCCTCCTCCTCCTCTTGTTCACCTGCAGCGTCCTCGTGTCGAGCGCCATGATGGCTCTCCTGAACTCCTCGTGGGGGATCTTGAGGTGGGACAGCAGAACTCCGATGGTCTGCGATCTGCTCCCTGTCAGTCGCGGCAGCTCCTTGCTGGCTCCTCCTACCTGTTGGCGCTCAACAGGATGACCACTCTCTTCTTGCGGAGCCCTGATGCTACGGTCATGAAGCAAGACAGAAGGGCCAGAGCCTCACCGCCTGGCTGTCCTAGTGCTGCATCCTCTCCTTCCTGCGCCTCGTCCTGACCAAGTCGATCACGCTCTCCCCTCTCCGGCATGGTTGACTTGCCGCGTTCGTCTCCTTCGCCAGAGTCTTCGCCGCAAACAAGTTCTCCAACTCATCCTTGTCGATCTTGACCTGCACGCGAATCTCTCAGAAGAGATAAGCTGCACAAGTTTCGGTCCTTCACCTCGTCATCCTTCATGTTCTCCCAGATGGTGTCCTTGACTTTCCTCTCGTTCACTTTGATCCAGTGCACTTGCTTCAGCTTCTTCACAGGCTGCTGCTTCTTCTTCGCTGGCATCCCCGCGACCGCTGGCGCTGCAGCTCCCAACAGGACTTGGCCAGGAGGAGGAGGAGGACCTGGAGGCCCTCCTTTGCCAGGTGGAGGAGGTGGAGGAGGAGGCCCGCCACCTTGAAAGAGTCAGAGGTGACTTAGCTGACAACAAGGATGGACCAGGAGGAGGCGGGGGGGGCGGAGGGCCTTGGCCGCCAGGAGGAGGTGGTGGAGGTGGTGGCGGAGGCCCGCCTCCTGGCGGAGGAGGTGGAGGTGGTGGTGCTCCAGACAGGCCTGGAGGAGGAGGAGGGGGTGGAGGAGGCGGCCCGCTGGCTCCTCCTGCAGGAGCGGGTGGAGGTGGAGGGGCAGGAGGGGCGGGGGGAGCAGGAGGGGCAGGAGGAGCAGGAGTCTTGGCATCTGACAGCTGGAGTGAGGCTAGGAAGAGAAGTTCGTATCCTCGTCACCTTGTTGTTGTGCTGGACCTGGTGCTGGTTGACCTGGGGGAGCTCAGGTTGTATTCGAACGTCATCGAACTTGTCAACCTGCCGGGAGCCTTGCAGCTGGACCCGAGAAGCCTCCGAGTTTGACGAAGGCCTCGAGAGTTTCTTGCAGGAGATGCGCCTGGACGGGCTCAGCTGGAGGGTGTCAAGTGCCGACACTCACCTGGCCACAACCAAACACGAGAGGCTCAGCGAGGTCCGAGCTGAGAACCTGAATTTGACTGCGTCATGTCGCTCCGTCCCTGCCCAGCTGCTTGACTTACGATCACGCCATTGGGGTCTCGAGGAACAGGAAAGGCCTTCAACCCAGAGGCAAACTTAAGGGTGTAGAGGGTCTTGTAGCTGACGAACAACTGTAAACATACCCTCTATTCCATCGTTTCATTCACCTCGGTTTCTTGGCCACAAGGAGCATCTCCTTTGTGAGAATCAAGGAGACAAGCATGTCTGCCTCGTTGTCCTGCGTGGCTCGAAGCTGTGCAACAAAACTTGCCGCTCCTCTCTGTATCGCCCAACGATCAGGCAGAGGAGACGATGGGAAGTGTTCGTACCTGCACGAACTTGTCTCGCAGTGTGCTTGTATCAGCTGGGATACTTGTTCTCGATTCTTGGAGACGAGAGCGGAGGTGTGATGTCAGAAGGCTGACAAGAGGAATGTTGTGAAGCTACCTTTCACTATGGTCGATTGCGTCTCTTTCAGCTTAGCCAGAGCATCTTCAGGAACCTGACGGACAGCAAAGGATAACCATGCAGCTCTGTGCCACCTGCTATTTCTTCACCTTGGTTTCGTTGATCCCTGTGATACCAGCTGCTACAGCATACGGTGCAGTCTTAGATTCTTCCGCGCTAGGGTCTGAAAGTGAAGAGCACATTAGACCCGCCACTTTTTTTAGCCGCAGCCTACCTAGAGAGCCGTCCGTTGCTCCGGAAGCTTTTGGCATGCCCTCTGTCTGCTTGTCTCCTTCAGGAGCCACAGCAGGCTTGGAGCTAAAGCTTCGTTGAGACTTCAACCATGAAGTTCAGATCAGGACCTTAACTGGCTGTCTTCAGCGAGCTGGAGATCTGGAAGGTTCTCAGGGTGCGACGGTGGTGGTGCCAACGTTGCAAGATTCTACGCATGACGTTCATCAGGAAAAGTTCTGGTTAGAGCCAAGACTGACCGCATCCTCCTCGTCATCTGCTGGGGGTTCCCAAGCTGGCGCGTTGTCGTAGTAGACCTCGGGTTCTGGCGGGCTGGATGAGGGAGGTGAGCTGCGAGGGAGCAGGGATGTGGTCGCTCATACGGGGCGATGGAGCCGGGAGGAGCAGACACTTCGCTTCCTTGCTTGGTTACGGGGATGCTGCTGGTGGGAACGTCAACGAAGGGCTCGACTTGCTTCAGGGTATACCTCGCTACGATCCTCTGCGGTTCTGGTTGTGCATATGCTGAATATCGGTCTTGATACATTGTATATGACGGTATTTGCATCTTGAAGACCCGACTCAGATTAGATATGATTACACGGCGAAAGCATGTGCTTTTACCTGTTCCAGCACTGAGCGTTGCTCATGAATAGTATGCTCAAGCTGTTGTTGAAATTCGCGTTGAATAGGAGGCGAACTGTAAGCTCAGGTTCAATGGACTTTCTCGTCTGACGAATGACTGCTCACTGGTGCGCCGCTGGTTGAGCTTGATAAGGGATCGGAGCGAACGCGCCGAGCTGCAGCAAACAGAGACGTCAGCGTTGTAAGAAGCGCTCCAAAGTAAGAGAAGACAAATAGAGCCCTCTTATTTTACCTCAGGGGGCTTGAATGGCACTGGTGCATTGTGACCGCCTGCCCCGACTGGTAGGAAGTTGTTGGCAAAGGTTTGATATCCTGGCGCTCCATAGGAACTGTGCGGAACAGGAGCAGGAGGTGGAGCGGGAGCAGCAGCAGGCGCAGGAGCAGCAGCAGGCTGTGTGGGCTTCAGGGGGATCCGTTGATGGACGGTCTTCTCGGGGATGAGGTGGATTACTTCGTCGCATTCCTGCACCAGTCAGGGTCAAGAGGCTCGCTCCGATGTTCTATTGTCCTCAACTCTGAGATCTCTACTCTACTGTACGGATCTCTTCCTTCCCTCCAACCTTCGTGCTCCGGGTGACTGATCGACTCCTACAGTCGACAATTCTAGTTCCTTGAATGTGAGCGGAACGTCGCGCTACGTCATGCCATGAGCAAAGTTTGCTTCTTGCTCCCTCGTTCTTCAGCAGAATTCCAAGATGGGCGATGAATTCAGCTAACAAAACTTGTTCTTGCCTCCTGATCTCGCCTCTCCGCCTTTCCTCCATCATCAACTGCGGTCGCCTCTTTTTCAAATTCTCTTCACTTAGTTCTCTTCCTCCTCTCACTCAAGTCTTTCTTGTCGTCCAGGTCCCTTTCCTTGGCCACTTCCTCCTGGACTGCCCCTACAGCACCAGAAATATTTACCTCTGCTACTGCTACAGCTGCTGCTGCTGCTGCTGCTGCTCCACCACCCGTTGCCCATTCTCCTTCACTCCTCCTCCTCCTCCTCCTCCTCTCACCTGACATATCTTTCGGTCGCACTTGCGGCAGAACCATTCCGCCATGTACTCTTCGCATACTGAACACAACTCCATCGCCAGCACCGACCCTGCGTCCCACCCCCTCCACCCTTCGTATACTGTCACTACCCACTTTGGAAGCAAAATTCCGATCAAAGGACCCTGATTTTCAAATATATACCCACCTTTACATATGCATATACCTCTGAAAACTACCCGTCTGTGAAATACCCTACCTATGAAACAGACCCACCCTCAATTATTTTCAAAAGTCAGACTACCCCCACCGTCCTGTTCAACAATCATCTGTCTGAAAGAATTTGAAAGAAAAAAGAATCACCCTACCACCTCAGCTGACAATTTTTACCACCCCCATACTCATGTACCCCTGTCTACGTATTTCAATTCCATTAGAATATACCCGGTCCAAGGAAAGGAACATCCACCCCTACCCTTTTGACGACTAAAATCTCCCCGACAATGATGTCGGGCATTTTGATTGGGACGTCATGGAGATCCTGAAGGATGGCGAGAGGAGGGAGAGGAGGAGGAGGAGGAGGAGGAGGAGGAGGAGCAGGGGGCAAGGAGGGGAAGGATGGACAGAAGTGACTTGTGGGACAGAGAATGAAGGGACGAACTCGCAACCAGACAAATAGCAGACACGATGGTCAGGCATTATCTGTGCTGGTACAACCAGAGCACTTGTCATCTATCACTGGGGATTCCAGGTCAGCTTCGAGAGGTCTAAGGTGCACATGTCGATCTTCAGCTAAATCCCAATATATAGCTGTTGGAAGAACTCAATCGAGAGCTGCGTGAAGCAAGTGCAAACCTCCCAGTTTCATCCACCCAAGCAGTATCTCTCTCGAGCCTGCCCGTAGCCGGCGAAATAATGCCTGGAGGTCCTCGTGACAGAACAACTACAAGCCATCAAACCTCGACTCGCGCAAATAAGGAGGAATACCTCAACGGTGGCAGGCAAGGAAGTGAGTCGTTTCAGTCGACCTTGGTTCCCTTCCTAATGAATCACGAGTCAACACAACGAGGAGCATCACGTAGCAGGCTACTTGAAGAATCCCTCGCAGAAAGAGTGAAGCTCGAGAGCTCTCGTGAAAGACCCAGCAGTCATACTTGTGCCCCGCATTGAGCTCCGATGACTTCTGATCCAGGTGCAGCCGTACTCTGCTCCAGATGGAAGATATAGCCTCATCATAGAGGTTTTCTAGCACTCCCACTCCGCCGATGTCTTGCATCTCATCTTCGATTACTTGTCATTCAACTCGAAGTGCAAGGGCAGGCTCACCGTTGAAGGTTTGTATCTTCATCAAGATGTCCTCGCGGTTAGTTAGCAAAGTGTTGTCGCCAAGGGCTGAGTACTGATGCAAGATTCAACAACCCCTTGAAATGAGTTCGGGTTCCTCACCAACGCAACTAAGACCCGCTGCAGCAAGACTTTCGTCGGAAGGGTGTCAAAGGAAAACTCTCCAAAAGGCCCAACAGCCTTGGCGGAGTTGACTATGAACTCGAAGACTCGCCAACAAAGCAACAGGACAGCTTCCTTGTATCTCTTTGTTGGCGAGAACATCACCTCGCATACGCGTGCGAATTGCTGCACATGTGAGAGCATCTCAGGCATTGAAGCCGCATACGATGAGTCACCATTGTCCGCTCGATCTCATGGAGGGAAAGTTTGCGCTGCTGGGGGTGAGCTCGACTCTGCTGTTCGATGATGAAGGCTCCAGAACAGATGCAAGCTGCCACAAGCAAGATATCCTCACGCTGATGATGAGAAGCTCAAGACATCACCATAAATCAAATCCTTAGCGGATTGAGAGATGGACTTTCCCCACACGTTCTGAGTTCCAAGGTCAGCGGGAGCCGAAGGGAAAGAGGTCACCTCTATGTACTTCCCCTGGTGGACCATGTGAAGTGCAAAACGAGAGTCCAGGCAGCAGAGCAGCTAACGGCACAGGAGTCAGAACACAGCCAGAGCCGAGCTCACAACACCACCTTCTGCATGGCCAAATGCAGTATGTCTTGACGGCCTGTAGAGGCGGCTACAGCAGGATGTGCAGCAGTGCAAGTGGAGTCGAGACTGAAGGCATCATGTAGATCAGTATCCGTGTGAAGTTCCATGAGGACAAGGTCAAAGATCTTCTCCCCAGTCCTTCTACTGACCCTGCGGCCTGTCACATCCATGAACCCTTGCCGATGACTTACCTTTCTCCACAGAACGAAAGCATCCCTAAAAGTACTCGTGCCACGTACGCCTTGCACTTTTCTCCCTCCTTGTCACGAAACTGATCCAATTCGAACATGATCCCGGCGAATTGCTCCTGGGAGTTGCTGGTGACTGTGTGGGTCCCCAATGAGGGAAAGAATCACGTCAACTAGACCAGTCTTGTATACTTGGAAGGAATTCGTTTCAGATCTCCAACTAGGAGAGCAGAGCCATCAACGAAGGAGACGTTGCAAAGCATAATTGTACCTTTTTGAAACATGCTTCTTAAATTTCCTGTCATTCGTCAACAAAACATTTCTTCTGAACACTTGAAGTGCACCTTGTACACTTTTCTAAAACCTTGTTTGCCCTTTCTCTGATAGCCTGAGGAAGATCAAAACTTCATATATAATCATCCGACATTCACCGGATCTCCGTGGACAAGTTGAGCAAACGCAACGGACAGTAGAACTCGCGCTGGTCGCTGAAACCGCGTGAGATCACTTGGATACACATGCAGCATCCATTCTTTCGCTGCTCTGCTGATCATGTCTTGAAGCTTTCCATCTGAATTTAGTCTCTCAAAACAGGATCCGTTAGTTTAATACATCAACCTTCTTCCACAGCAATGCTCAGCCAACATGGTACCAAGTCATCCAAATAACTGGTATCTTGTTCCATGGATACAAGTATTATCCTGATAAGAATTCAAGTAATTTGAGGAAAGAAGACGAAACCATCTTCACTTGAATATCTGTTGTTTCATGTGGATAGATACATTCTTCTCGAGGTTCCAGCTCAATGTCTTTGCTACCTCGTTAAGGTATGCTGCAATTTAACTTGTTATCTCCTCAAACAAAGTTGAACACCTCTACGTTTGCGAAGAAAGATTTCGTTCTTGTACAGCTCGCTTACACAACGCATGGAGTGCTCGAGAGATTTCACGTCCGGTATGATTCTGCGGCGATATCAACGACTGTGAAAGCAGCCAGCAACAGTTGCCTTGTTAAACACATGGAGATGCACAGCAACGCTCTCTCTGTCAAGGATTTCTCAAACGATCTTGCATTCACAATGCTGCAGGCGAGACGAATCAACTCCAGAACCGCGTGGATCAGCTGAATTCCCTTCAGTTTCAAATCACCTCTACCACTGATCGCCTACCTCTCGAACAACCGACCCCGCATCAGATGTCTTGGCTCCGCCAGCTTGCTTCGGGTATATTACTCTCAGTATAGAGGCAAGTAGCCCTGTAAAACCATCCGCATGTCAGCCGTCGCCCCCTTGCTGAATGAGAATTTCCTTCTAGGAAAACGCCGGATACTACTTCACGACGATCCGAAAGATACGCTTCAAGTTCCTTGACTGCTTTCGGAGACGAGTCACAGTCAATCACATCACTACAAGGAAGTAAAATTCCTGTGTTTATCTTGCTCTTCATGCTCACGCTCGCTTCTCCAAGCTCGCTAGCTCGTTTTAACTCAGCCATCTCGCCCGCCGACGATGGAGGATAAGAATCTGCGGCGATGTCATTCGCATGTCATGCTATGTCAGGTCACCTTGTTCGTGCGACAACAACATGTCATGTCCACCTCGCAGCCTCGCAACCTGCTGGTTCCAACCGGGAGACGAGAGCCGGGGCAGAAGCAAGGATCTGCTTCTATCCAACCGCAAACATGTCCTGAAGCAAGCAGAGCCCTGAAAACTCTCTCCCTCATGCACCTGCTTCGTCCTCTCTCCTCCTCCTCCTCCTCCTCCTCCTCCGCTCGTCCCCCCTCCTCCTACGCTCAGTAGCACCGCCAGGATCGCCATGAGGCGCATCGCGGCGGGTCTGAGGCGGGTTGGGAGAGATCATGGCTTGAGGTTTTAACCAGGTAGGGAGGGAAGACAGCGACGAAGGAGAAGGAGAAGAAGGAGAAGAAGACGACAGAGGAGAAGGAAGAGGAGGAGGAGAAGGAGTAGAAGGAGGAGGAGGAGGAGGAGGAGGAGGAGGAGTTGGTGGTGGTGGTGGTGGAGACGCAGGAGAAGCAGAGAGGGGAGAGGAGAGGAGAGGAGAGGAGAGGATAGAGAAGAGAAGCGCTTGAGTGAGTATCACTGAGATGAAGAGCAAAAGAGCCGCTGATGGAGAGTGAGGGACTTTTGATTTGGATCAGCATGAGATGTGGAGCGAGATTGAGCAGAGCATGTGAGATAACCAGGAGGGACTAGATCGTGAGAGCCACAAACGTCCCGATGATCGTTCGGGTGAGAGGACGACATTTCTTCGTGCTTCCCCTCCTCTCCTCCTTCTGCACCTGCCTGCCCTGCAGCTTGAAGCAGCAGGGCGCAATGCTCTTGAGAGGTGGGAGCTCCGGCATGAACGATATTGGAGCCATCGAGGCCGGTTCCGTCTTCTCCACCATGGCGAATCCGCAGTTCGCTCAGATCAAAGCATTTGTTCCCAAGGAAGCACCACATCGCGGGACTGTGGGCAGGAAGAACAGCACGGATCTGCACGTGAGCAAGGTTTGCCTTCCTCCTGCCCTGCACTCTTTCACTCGCTTCCTCTGCCAGTCTCAAGAGATCGTCGATCTCGGGAAGTACGCCTGGTTCTACCCCGACCCTCCGTGGGGGCGAAAGAACGTTTTCAGGCCCGGCTCCATGTTCCTGCAGGTGCTGCAGCAGAGGCTGGGCTTAGAGCTCACGAGGGTGGCAGGTGTGGGACGGGACAGTGTGGCTGGCGATGATGTACATAGCCTTCAACGTCCCCTTTCGAGCCGCAGGCTTCACCATGGACGACTGGGACGAGGTTGGAGAGGAGGACGAGGAGGAGGAGGGAGGAGGTGACGAGGGACTTGCAGGACCACTGCTCGCTGCCCAAGAACATGCTAGCAGAGAACCTGGCGAGGCCTCTGAGGTCGATCGTCGACTTGATCTTCCTCACCGACATCATCTTCTCCATGCACACAGCCTTCTATCAGGTCGATGCTCGGCCCCCTCCTCCCCTCGCTCACGCTCCTGCTACAGTACCGCGGCAACGGACGACTTGACCTTGTCGACGACCTGCCGACCATTCGAAATCGATACTTGAGCAGCTGGTATTCGCGCCTCCTACTCCTCCTTCTCCTCCTCTCCCTCCTCCTCTCCCTCCTCCTCTCCCTCCTCCTCTCCCTCCTCCTCTCCCTCCTCCTCTCCCTCCTCCTCTCCCTCCTCCTCTCCCTCCTCCTCTCCCTCCTCCTCCCCCTCCTCCTCTCCCTCCTCCTCTCCCTCCTCCTCCTCCTCCTCCTCTCCCTCCTCCTCTCCCTCCTCCTCTCCCTCCTCCTCCTCCCCCTCCCTGTTGACCACAAGACCTGCAGGGCGTTTGTGTGGGATGTTTGCGGCATCTTCCCGCTCAAGGCGATGGCTTGCCTCATCTCGTATCTGATCCCGGGAAGCATCCCCTTCATCTGGGACAACAAGGTCATCAACCTGTTCAAGGTCCTCCCGTCTCGCCCGACTCCTCCAGCTGACAGCCCGGCAGGCCTTTAGGATGGCGAAGCTCTTCAGGTGAGGGTCCAGCTCTCCCCCAGCAGCTGAGCGTCACACCAAGGCTGCATCACATCTACCGCATCGCCAACTTCATCGCCTACAAGGTCACGTGGCTGACGTCGTTGCCCGACTGATTAAGTCCTCCACCAGTTCCCGGACAAATCGAGACTGTTCAACCTCTCGCTGCTCCTTGGGCAGGTGTCAGCATCCTTCGTCCCGCTGCTGTCCTCCTCTCCCATCTTTCTCTCTTGCCCCTCCTCCCACTCCCACTCCCTCCTTGTGTCGTTACAAGCGAACAGATGCTGTTTACCGGACACGTGCTTGCTTGCGCTTGGTACTTCGTTGGACAACTAGACAGGCTAAATGGGTGAGTGAAAGTCAAAGACGAGAAAGTGAGAGAAAGCGAAGAAGGGGAGGGGAGATGGACAGGCGAGAAGTCATGAAGAGAAGCGGGGGGGGGGGGGAGGAGGAGGAGGAAGTTAAGAGAAGAGCAGGTGGGTTGTGAGGCACACAAGAAGGGACGAGTCCTGTTTATCCAAGTATGTCAAGAGGTACAAGCGAATGAGCCCAGGAAGCAAAGGAGTTCACTCGTGCCCTCAGCTTCTACTTCATCTACGCAACCATCACGACCGTGGGGTATGGAGATGTAGCAGGCAAGCAGCTGAAGCAAGTCTATCTCTGTCTCACTATCAGTCTTTCAGGTTTGAACGCAGCTGAGAGGATATTTTGTGTGAGTTTGTACACGCAAGAAGAACGAACATGAAGGTTGAGATGCTGTCGCTCAGATCGGCCTGATGGTTCTTGGCGGCTTCTTGTTCGGACATCTTATCGGAAGGTTTTCAATGTTTCGTTTCTCCTTCCACGTCACCTGAGTTGACAGCGTTCCTGCCATCATCGATCGGCGATCGGAGGCAGGAGCAAGATACCTGGAGCTTGAGAACCGTTTGAAGGAGTACATGAAGGACAAGCAGGTGCAACCAAGTCTCCTCCACCACCTCCACCACCTCCTCCTCCTCCTTTCTCTGACACTTCTCTCTCTTCATCCCGTCTAATCTCCTTGTGCGCTTGCAGGTTCCAGCAGCCCTTCAAGCGAGAATCATGCAATTCTTTGAGTACAGATACCCTGAGAGACGGTCCTTCGACGGTGAGAATCCTCCTCCTCTCTTCCTCTCATCCCCCTTCCTGCTTTCTCGCGCTGCTCTTCCTCTTTGACTTCCCATCATCTTCTTCTCTTCTCTCCACTCCCTCTGACCTCGAGAAGGCTACAAGATCATCCAAGATCTCCCGCTCAGCATGCAGAAGGCAGCTCTGCTCGCGTCTCTCCTCCTCTCACTCTCAACAGGATCTCGCAGCTCACGTGCATCGCAACCTCGTCACGGCCTGTCCCATCCTAAAGCGCTGCTCGGCTGGAACTACTGGAGAGATCTGTCTGCTCCTGCGAAAGGCGAGCGAGGAGAGAAGAGGAGGGGAGGGGGGCTGAGGTTTCCCCACAGACCTTCGCAGCTGAAGGTGACGTCATTACCATCGAGGGAACTCCTTCCAACGGCCTCTGCTTTGTGAAGAGCGGGCAGGTGAACGCCGTCCCTTCTCCCCTCCTCTCCCTCTCCTCTCCTTATCTTATGCTTAAGCTATCCTTCGCATCCTTATCTTCTTCCTCCTCCTCTCCCCTGCTATCTCTTCTGTCCTCAGCCTCCTCTCGTGCTCTTCCTTGTTCACTTGACGCGACTTGCTTGCAGGTTCTCCTCAGCAGGGGTTGGGAGTCCGAGAGCGTGCTGGGGCCGGGAGGAGTTTTCGGGGAGAACTGCGTCAACGGGGGGGACGGGACCCTGAAGCAGAGCCACACGGCAACAGCCCTGGAGCCGGTAGAGCTCTACATCCTCCTCCGACCCGACCTCGAGGACCTGGTTGCCAACCGCCCCGACTTCATCCCGACCTACGACCTCGACTCGTGGGAGCAGGTCAAGCGCAACCTCCTCTCCCGGCGAGAGACCCGGCTGGGACTGGACAAGCTGCGACAGGTGGGCTCGTCCTCCAGCTGCAGCGAGAGCTGACGCCGAGCAGGTGCTGGGAGACTTGGGGGAGCTGAGGGAACAGATCCGTGATCTGACGAGAGACCAGCAAACTCGGCTGGAGAGGCATCGGGGGAATGAGGGGAGGTAGAAGTGCAAGAGGCGTTCATATGAGATGATGAATGGCGTCGATGACCTCGCTAATGGTGTGCGACGTTTGACCGACCCCCTGGCAAAGCTCCTCCTGCCACCCACGTCACCAGCCGGAGGTTTCTCCTCCTCCCTGCCTGCAAGTCCTTGTCCAGCTCGAGGAAGCCCAGCAGGAAATCTCCATCCTGTCCGTCCGTCAGCCCCTCCGCCTCCTCACCCGCTAGCTCTCACCAGGATCGCAGTGGCTCGGCAGGAAGAGCTCCGGAACCTCCGATGCCTTCGCACAGTCAGACGAAGGAGCGTCACTGGTCCTCTCTCACGAGTGGCCCAGCAGAGGTCTTGTCCTCGCATGCTCTTGCATGCGCTCCTGCAGTCGAAGGAGGCAGTTGACTGCCTGCCCTCCTCTCAGCCCCATCACCAGCCCCAGTGATCCCTGCGCAGCTCCGTCAGCCCCGGCGCTCGCTCCTCCCGCAAGTTCCTGCAGGCTGCAGCAGAGAGCGACGGGGGAGGACAAGTTGAGAGTGTCCTGCGGGAAGGTGAGCAGGGAGGGGACGCATGAGCTCAAGACCTCAAAGAGGCTGAGGCGATCGGCAGACGCGAGCATCGCCTTCTTCGACATGCGGAAGTCTCGGAGGTTCCAAAACCTGCAGAGCATGAGCGACAGCGTTGCAGTGAGTCAAGTCAACTTGTTGTCAAGGCTCATCTCGCAGCAGCTCCGAAGGTTTCCCCCAGCAAACCCGTTCTCGCTCCCCTCCACCTAGTCACTCGTCACAATCCTCTTCCTCCTCCTCCTCCTCCTCCTCCTCCTCCTCCTCCTCCTCCTCCTCCTCCTCTCCTCCTCCTCCCCCTCACCTCCCCTGATCCACGGTGCCAGAAAAGCTGACCGTTCCCATCCGTTCCTAGCAGACCCTTGCCCTGTCCCCATAGGGTTGAGCTCACGGCCATGCGTGACCTGGGGAAGGGACGTCAGACAAGCCTCCTGCTCCTCCTCTCCTCCTGCTCCTCTTCTCCTCCTGCTCCTCTTCTCCTCCTGCTCCTCTTCTCCTCCTGCTCCTCTTCTCCTCCTGCTCCTCTTCTCCTCCTGCTCCTCTGCTCTCATCACCTCACGTCCCCCCATAGTCGGACGCAACTCAGCTCGCGTTTGTACGAGAACTGGAGCATCGCGCCATCGCAGAGGGAGGTGGCAAAAACCTGCAAGCCCGTCAGTCAGAGCGGAGGAGTCGACGGGGAGACCGTGTAGTAGATCTCCGACAGGTCCGAGTCACCACGAATCTGAAGGCGAGGAGTGAGAGGGCGATCGGAACGATTTTGACACTCACAAGGATTTGAAGCGCGTCGAAGCCCTTGAGGTTGACAGGGAGAAGCTTGACAAAGGTGCATGTCAGGTTCCAGGCAGCAAGCTCAGGCAGGAATCATAACACCCCAAACATGTTGCGATATGCTGCAGGAACAGTTGTACGCAGCTCAAACTGCTTCACAGGACGTCACAAGAAGAAAGCGAAATGATGACAACACACATCGTCTTTTGTATCCTTCATGTAGACTTGAGCATCTTTATCAAGAGGCAATTGTATGTAGATGGTACGCTTGAATGATGTCAGTCGATCAAAATCCTTCACACCACTGCTGTGATTCACCGGCCAACGATCTGAATCTGCTTCTGCAAACTTCAACTCGATCTCCTCCTGATCAAGGGGCATCATCTCCAGCAACGTATTCCCTTGCCCTTTCCTCACCTCGCTCGCTCTGAAAGCATTCACGGAAGGCTCCCTGTGGCAGAGCTGAAAACTCCACTTGTATCTCTCCTGCATGTCTCGACCTCACGGAGAGCACACGGGGCCCTGGCGTACCTTCACTTCACTTTGAGATGCTTTCGCGTGAATAGCAATGTAGACTGGCTTCAGCTTGGTGCCTTCCGGTGGACCTGTTAACGTGGGCGGGTCATGTAAGGACACTACGAGAAGCTTTTGACCTTCGTCGCTGCCCCAAGCATGATAGTCAACCATGGCAAAGTGAACGCCCTCGGAAGTCTCTTTCCAGAACTCACAACCCCCAGACGTGGGAGTGAATTTGAAAGTGAAGTTGTCAATGGTGGGTAGGAAACCATTCCCGACAAGAAGATCGATGGCGCAGTCCTCGAGCTTCAAAGCTTGAGGAGATTCTAGCAAGGGCACATCAGAAGGAACAAGCAACTAGCAGACCCGACGTCTTCACCTGTACAGACTCGGACTTCTAGCCGAGCAAAATACCCCCTCGTCGCTCTCATCTGATCAAGGTTGTGAACCAAGAAAACACCCCTACCAATACCCATCACTTACATTTTGCATCATGAACAAATGTGAGTATTCAGGTGTTGATTTCAGTTCAGTGACCCCTGAAATCACCTGCCACGAGAAGACTGGAAACGCAATCCTCCAAGTGCTGAAACTGTCAACACAGTCGCCGACAGCCAGGTGAAATCCGTTGGACGTCAAACTCGTGATCAAGAAACGTGCAGTCTTGCTAAGCAACCGCCTGAACCGAGTCTTGTTGCAACTCCTCTCCTTCTTTTCCAATCTCACACGGCTGAACTCATAAAGGGTCCAAGTCTCTCCTGTCGCAACCGCCAGGCAGCTCTGCCAGCTCTGGTCATCCCACCAAGTTCACAGTCTCGTTTTACCTGATACTGACAGATGGCGCGACAAGCGTTCCTGGTTGAGATGGAGGCAACCAAAACAAGTTCGGGAGCTCCCGATTTCTGAACAATACGCCATATGAGCAACCTAGAGTTGACCTTGCTCTCCCTTCTTCTCCTCTTCAAGTTGGTCTCGTTGCCCGTCGGACTTTCATCACCTACACCTTGGTCTTCATTGTCTGAATCAGAACTCCTCTCCGACTCGTTTTCATTCAAGCTTGCTGATCTCTTTTCAAACAAGGATGTACTTTCAACCTCGCGCTGAGCTTTGGACACAAGAGAAATCTCAGGTCCAGTCCCGACACAAACGAGAACTTCATCTTCAAGTGTACGGTAAAGAGCAAGAGCATGGATCCGCTCGTTCTCGCCAATGTGCTGAACATGCACTGTAGACCAGGAAACATGGTCGATCAGTCGCAGCTCACAACACATCACCTTGTTCTCAGGTTCCTCTTCTGCTCCGCAGACTTTGCGGCTGTAGTTACAACCAACAATCACAAGCTTGGCGTCAGGGTGCCACACAACACGTGCAGGCATGAAATTGTCCTCAAGCTTCGACTCCGACTCAGTATGTTCCGATTCCAAAGCAAGCGGGATAGTTTTCACGTCTAACTTCTCACAACGATCAATAGAGACCAACTTCAGTTGCCCGTCCACCACTATCGCCATCCCAAGTGGACAGGCATCGCAGATAAAGGGAGCCGCGTGGGAGATACCGCCGGGCTGAAACCCGATCCTCTGAAACTGCAAGGAGGCACGAGAAGGCGTCACCAGGAAGGCTACATCTTCCACAAGGGCGATCAGCGATGGACCAGCGTAGGAAGTGATACTGACAAAGGTGATCGGAGACTCAGCAAGTCTTCGGGTTGTGCCAAGCCCGACAAGAGGGAGAGACAGAGCATTCAAAGTGAAGATGATCACTTTTCCGTTCCTCAAGCCGACAACCAGGAAAACGCCACCAGCAGGTTCGGGGAGGATGCCGAAAGATTGAGGAACGCTACCAGAGAGATCACTGCCTGAGTAGATCCCAAGGTCGATGCTTTGAGCCAACTCAACTTCCCTCTTCTCTTCCCCGAGGGAATAGATCTTAATCTTGCCTGCCCTCGCCTTGAGAGCATCAGCATAAGTTCCGATGATTGAGATCTTTCGTGTTTCGCTACCGTGGGCTCCTAAGCTTGTCATGGCCATGCAAGAAACTTCTTCGCTGCTCCTGAAGCTCGTGATCTCTCCTCTGATCTGAAACTCTCCAGCACTGCCTTGATCTCTTGTGGTGTCGAGAATGTGGATGCTGGTCCCTCCACAGGTGCAGCACATGACGAGGTTCCCCAGAGAGGCAGAGACGCTGATCTTTGTGCTCTCTGCGGGTCTCCAGACTGCTCTCTCTGGCTGCGAGCAAGGAATGACGTCGAGATCCATGCTGTCCAAGACGGGTTGCTGGATGACTATGACCTCCTCGTCCGACACTTGAATGAGATGTCCGTCTGAGTTCGCTGCAGCATGCAAAGTGAGTGCAGTGGGGTTGAGTCCGAGGTCATCCGTTACATCGCTCAGCTCAGAACCAACTGTGAGAACTCTGCAGCCAGTAGTGAAGGCCATGAAGAGGAACGATTGATCGTGCTTCTGCTCAAATGTGATGGTGTACAACCCAACGATGCCATCGCACAAGCCTTTCTCTGACCGGACGTGAGTTTCTACAGGCAAACCGTACCTGAGCCGCCGAATGCTTGCATGCTTTCCCGTACCAGAGCAGACTAAGACATCGAATTCGTCTCCCCCGTTGACATTTTTGTCCGACAGAACGGTGAAATCTGTCGTGACTCCGAGCATGGTAAGTCTTTCGAGAGTCTCGATCTCGATCTCATTCCCATTCAGCCTCATCATCATTACTGCACTGTCTCCATTGTCGCCGTTTACTAGAAACCTTCTGTAGCCTCCCTGCCCCAGGATACTAACAATGTTGCTAGGAACTATGGGTGAATCGATACTCCCGAGCAATTTGACTTCGAACGATGCTTTTTGAAATATTTCAGCAACCCAAATCTTCCCTTCCTCTGTACTTATCAAGATAATTTCCCTTTGCTTGATATTTCCGTGATGTTCCTTACAATCAGCGACATGTATGCACGTGACAAGTGTGTTTGGCCCGCCTAACTCATTCAATGGTGGAATCCGTCTTTCAGAAAGTGAAATTTCCATGTCAGTCGCCAACATCCCCTCACTCCCTATGTTTGGATAGTTTGACGCACTGTGTACAAGCGTCAAGAAGACCTCAGACTAGACCTATACCTTGAAGTGTCAAGCAGAAGAATCCCTCCTTCCCCTCCCAGCAGAATTTGATCTGAAGCGGACACGCTCGAAACAAACTGAGCAAACATACATCAGACCTGCGATACAACACGAAGCAAGGACACCGTCGTCAGGCAAAACTGAGTGTTAAAAGATCGCATGAGGAAGCAGGTTCTAGATTCCAGGTTTGCTTTGAACAATAACACCGAGGAAAAACCTCCTTTCCCCTTACGCAAGACCTGCAAACTCAATCATCCGCGAAGTGAAGATGATCTCATGCATACAAGAGCTGCAAAATGAAGAATGTTATCTCCTGACTCATCGTTGTGCGTGAACTGAAGATCAGCGATCGCTCCCAACTTGCCACCAGGGACTGGAATGACTTTTGCTACAAGTTGCTGTACAACCGCGTCCATTTCTGCGTCGAAGATCTGTCCCTTGTTTTCCAACCGCTTAGACAGAGGCAGTATGCACATCCTGTCCTCCAGCGCTGAGATTACCACAGCTGAGCCTGTTGGGGCCACAGAGATCCGATGTCCGTATGCCCTGTGCTCCTCGAAGTCGCTGCTGCTAGATTCAAGGGAAGTGACGAGCGGAAGTAGTCAGAGAAGCCACGAACCTCATGTCGACCCACAGGCTCTTCGACTTGGCCGCTCGGGGTAAGAAGACCTCGTTCACCTTCTGAAAGTGACATCGTGCGAGATCCACGTGCAGCACGAGCAATCGTCCGGAGTCGGAGGTTACCAGGACCAGGTCTTGACCGGAGTCCATGCCTAGCCCTGAGAGTCAACGCATTGGACATGCAAAGAGCTTGGAAACCTTGAAATGCGTCCGGAAGACGCGCTGAAGTGACATGCTCAACAGATATCGCCTGTCTCACCACCATCAGTTCGATATCCTCCCGAGCTATAAAGTCATAGTTGTGAACCTTGAGATCCCAGATAGTTCCGAACACGTTCTCGTCGAAGAGATGAATCAACTCGTGAGCTGAGTCTTTTATAACTTCCAGGCAGCTCTCTTTGGATGAAACCACCAAGTGGACCGCTTTCTGCCCTGCTTCCTTGCTCCTCACTACAGTCGAAGCTTTTCGGACAGGGGATTTCATGATGGTCCGAAAGTACATGACGTTGTCGGATGCTTCGTCAGGAGACGCAATCTGTTGGTTTGGTGCACCATCCACCTCGATCTCCATCTCTTGTCGACCTCCTGCCGGGTTTGATCCCCACTTGCACAAATTTTCCACTCCTTTCTGTTGACCTCCGCTTACTCACTCCTACTCCTCCTCCACAACTGTGTCTCCTCTTGTATCTCGTACTGTGTCTCGTCCCGTGTCTTGGCGTGTCTCTCTCCTATCCCTCCCTCAGATCTCTCCTCCCCCTCCACCTTCTCTTCCGCTCCTCTCCTCCCCCTCCCCTCGCTTTCGCATCGCCACCTCCCGCCTTTGCTGCAAATTTACAACCCCCCTAGCTACGTGATGAAAGACAGCAATCATCTACTACCCCTTTTATTAGTCGACCAAAGGACAGCAGATCCATTTCAGTCGGACGCCGGACCGTCGGACGTCAAACTGGGAAGTCGCACGTACTCGCCCTCCCTCCTCCCTCCCGTCTACTTCCCCCTCCCTCCTCCCTCCCCTCTACTTCCCCTCCCTCCTCCCTCCCCTCTACTTCCCCTCCCTCCTCCCTCCCCTCTACTTCCCCTCCCTCCTCCCTCCCCTCTACTTCCCCTCCCTCCTCCCTCCCCTCTACTTCCCCTCCCTCCTCCCTCCCCTCGGCGGCTCTAGGCTGGTCCGCCTTACACTTCCCTTCCCTCAACTTCACTCTGCTCTGCTAGGAGGCAAACTTGATCTGAGCTTTCTGGGCGGCGATCATAGGGGAGTAGCTGGACTCAGAGTGCGCGGTTCCTACGGTGGAGGCTGTTCTAGCCATGCGGGAGAAGATCTGACGCTTAAAGCGAGTCAGCGAGTTCGGATGAGAGGCAGCGAAGCAACTCACGTTCGTCCTCGCCCTTGAAGCCTTGCGGGGAGCTCGAGGCTGAGCCGGCAGGCGGAGGTCGGCGATGAGATTTCCTCCTTGGGCCCTGAAAGACTCCGCAAAGTCTTCCAGACTGCTCACGTCCAGCAGCGACCCGTCGGATGCCTGCTCCTCTCCTCCTGCTCCGATCATCTCGACCTCGCGGAGCCTGAGCCCGAGAGCCAGGATGTAGGTGAGAGAGTCGGGGGTGATGCGAGGGCAGAGCGAGAGATTGAGGCGGGAGAGGAGGCGGCAGAAGTCGAGGAGGTGAAAGACGCCCTCGTCTCCCACCATGGTGGAGGAAAAGTTGACAAGCTCTAGAGTCGGCGTCCTGCTGGCGAGCAGCACGACTCCTTCATCCGTGATCCTCCTACAGTGCGCAAAGCTGATGCTCTTGAGGGGGCAGGACGCGCCTGCAAGCGACCTCAAAGCCTCCGTTCCCACGTTGCAGAAGTCCATAGCCAGCGAGGTGAGGTGCTGGAAGCGGTCGAGCTGTAAGGAGCCTGCTGGGGTGAGGGAGGAGGACTGGTAGAAGACACCGTCGTCGATCCGCTCGCAACCAGAGACGTCCAGGTGCCTTAGCTTGCGGGCGCTGAGAACAAGAACCAGCGACATGTTGGATACGGTACTGAGATAGGCGGCAGAGAACCTCTCAAGGTCAGGAAGTTCCGCTGCTGAGAGGACAGTCGCGTCCGAGACTCTGTCTGAAGTGTCGGAGATGTTGAGAACTCTGAGCCTCTGGCAGCACTTTGTGACGTAGAACAAGGAGTAGTCAGTGAGATGGGGAGATCTCTCAACCTCGAGCTCCTGCAGCACGTCGCCATGCAGCTCCGCGAGGTTCCGAAGAAACTCGTCCGTGACTCCACTGCAGGAGTTGAGAGAGACTCGCACTAGGTGACCGCAGAAACACACGCTCATGCCTTGCAGCACACAAGTCGAAACCTGCATGCGATCGAGCTCGATGCAAACAAGTTTCCTCTCGTTCATGAAGAAGTCCAAGGACTTTCCCAGGCTCTTCGACGCGCTGTCGTTCATATTGATCTTGTAGGAGAAGACCTCCTCGAGTAATTTGTTCATCACTTGCTCCACAACCTCCTCCGCAACCTTCTCTACCATGGCCGCGCTGTTCAGCATCGCAGACTCGATCAAGTTCTTGGCGTTTTCCGTGACCTTGTCAACAAAGTTTGAAAAGAAGGCGCCCTTGCCCTTCTTCTGCTTGGGGTTGCCGTCTTCGTCATCCCCCTCCTCATCTTCAACGTCTTCCTCTTCCTGCTTCTGTTTCTGACGCTTCTTTGACTTCTTCTTCTGCCCTCTGCTCATCAGCGTCGACCTAGAGATCAGCGACACTCTCGCGCAGAGCTCGCCGATGACGCCTTCCTCGAAGACAGGCTCCGTGTGTCCACGAGGAATGTGCCGCTGCTCGAAGATGGCGCCGAGCTGGGGGATGGCGGCAGGATACTGGTTCTTGGGGAGGTCGCGGAGGTAGCGGACGGGGGAGAGGAGCTTGTAGTAACGGATCTCTCCGTCTCGCTCGTAGTAGGTCGGGTAGGCGAGGAGGCTGTTGGCTACGGTTGCTGTTCCCTTGCCCTTGAGGCTGAGCTTGAGGGAGACGACGAGGCCCGGGAGCTGCGTCATGTCGATGCGACGAGCAGTCGCGATCATCTCCGCCACCTCGTTCACCTCCCGCAGCTCGTAGAAAAAGACCGTCTGCCACTCGGGGGTCCTCGTCTGCTCACCCGTCAGACTGGCAGCATCGGGACTCGACTGACCTCTTCGATCAGCGACGTGTGCTGGTCCGGTAGCTCGCAGTCGCGCGCGAGGAGGGAGAGCTGAGAAGCGTCAGGGTCGCACGTGCGGCAGGCAGGAGGGTAACCGAGGCTCTCAGTCGGATGTCAGACACGTTGATCGGCTTCCCCTCGTCGTCGCCCGGGAACGGATCTCGCAGGTTCTCCTTGGAGACAATGGCAGAAAGAATCTCAACCTGCGGAGGAGGAAGACAAAAAGAAACAGAAGAGGAGACGGAGTGAGACTAGCAGGATCGACGGTGATCTCACCTTGATGAAAGTCTTCTCGAGGACAACAGGCTTCATGTCTGCAAACTTGACAAGGATGCCGATCTCGTTGTGAATCATGGTCATCAGCTGTTGCAAGACCGTGACATGCTGAATCAGCACGTGCAGCAAGTCTTGGAAGAACGCCTCCCACTCCTCCGTCTTCTTCTTGCTCTTGAACGTCTCAGTAGATTTTCTCAGCTTCTGGAGTTTCTTCTCCAGGGACCGATGGCTCCAGCCAGCCTCAACCAGCTCTGACATCAGCTCGCCATGCACACACGCCATGCAAAAGCTCTCGAGATCAAGATCCGCAACCATCACCAACTTGACCCGCAGCTTCGTCAGCTTGTCCAGCAGCGGCTTGTACCTCCCCTGCTTCTCCTTCAGCAGGGACACCAGCTGTTGCCTGCAGCTCGTGATCCTCTTCATCACGTCGTAGCGCGTCTCATCCATAGCAGGCTCTGACAGCCCCAACTCCAGCAGCTCCTCGTCGCATCCGACGGCCTTGAGCTCTTCCATCTTCTCCTGCAGGAAGAACTGAACGGTCTCTACCTGCGTCTCCGAGCTGAAGAGCTTTTCCAACTTGCCGCACAGCGCCAGGTAGCTCTCGTGCTCCCCGCAGGTGTCGAGCAGCTTCCACATGGTCTGGAACTGCGTGTAGGTCATGAAGCGACTGGCCGCCTCCTCCTCTGAGATTGTCTCCTGCAGCACAAAGCTGAAGAGGGCGAGAGAGAAGCCTTTGGGAAACTGCTGCTGCGAGAGGCTGAGGAGGAGCTCTTCGACGTTGGCCCTCTGCGTCCCGAGAGGGTCAGTCTTGATCCAGACGCTGTCCATCTTGTCAAGGCTCTCCGTCTGCTTCTGGTTGGGGTTGGCAGCTCGAATCTTCTGCACGTTGACGAGAGCGCTCTTCTTGAAGCTCTCGGGCATGAACTTCTCGAAGTAGATCTGAGGGACCGGGTGCTGCTTCCTCTCCGGGTTGTACTTCCTCCACGTCCTCGCGCACAGCGTCATCAGCGACGCGTCTCCGACCTTGTCGCATCCTCCCATCTTCACCCCCTCCAGCAGCTCTGCTCGCTGAAACAAGAAGCAGAAGCTGTCGTCCGTTAGCCGCACGCAGTAGCTCAAGTCGACCTGCAAGAGCTGAGGGCACGCGTTGGCGATGAGGACGAGGGAGGAGTCGGAGAGGGGCTGGAAGGGCAGGGACAAGGAGGTCAGCAGCACGAGACTCGACCACTTCACTTCCCCCAGCAAGGCGTCGACGCGCTCATGACCCAGAACTTTGTCGCCTCCTGCGAGGTCCATGGAAGCAGCAGAGACGTCGGAGAGAGAGAGGGAGGTCAAGGTTGAGGAGGAGCTGATGAGAGCGAGCACAGCCTCCATCTTGACCGACTTGTTGAGCCTCAGGTTGAGATGCCGCAGAGTGACGCGATGATGCTCGCGGAGAGCATCAACCACGTCCGTGTTGAGAAGTTTGTCGCCTCCGTGTGCCCCCTGACCCTCCTCGTCTACTCCTCGGCTGCCAGAGAGAATCAAAAGAAGGGAGAGGAGAGAGTGGGAGGGGAGGGGAGGGGTGGGAAGGAGAAGGGGGAGGAGGAGGAGGAGGAGGAGGAGGAGGAGGAGGAGGAGGAGGAGACCTCTCGAATGACGTCACAAACGAATGGATGGAGGGGTCAAGGAGGAAGAGAACCGCGCGGGAGCTCAAGTAGCTGAACATCTCAAACGTGGAGGCTCTCATGACAGGCAACTCGAGGTCGAAGTTGAGGGACGAAACTTTCCTTGCGAGGTCTTCCAAGTCCTTCATACCGCTCTCCTTCAACCTACGCCCCCTTGTGTCAGCTCTCCTTTCTTTCTCCCTCGCCAACCTGTTCGGTCCAGCTCGCACGTTCTTCTTGCTCACAAAGAGAGACCTGCAGCTCTTGGTCCACACGTCCTGCAGCTCCTCGATCTTTTTTCTGTGGGAAGATGAACGAGAGACGAGACAGAAGAAAACAAACCTCAAGGTTGACTGGCGGTAGGAATGAATGACATGAAACACTGAGACGAACTCTGAGTCCGACAGCCTTTTAGTCTTTTCCAGCAACCACTTCTCTTCGCTCCCTTCATCGCTTAACTTCCTCGTCATGTGCTGCCTCAAAAGTTTCCCAGCAATTTGCAGCAGTCGCTCCTGAAGCTCGCTCCCATCTCGACAGTGACAGGTCGCCTGCTCGAAGACCGCTTGGCTCCATTCCCACAGCCTTTCTGCCACCTCCTCCTCCTCTCGCATCTCCTTGCCGAACACAGAAGCAAACTTCCTCTCCTCCTCCTCCAGTCGCCTCTCGATCGAGTCGCTCGGGTCAGCTCCCATGCAGCTCTGGTACCTCGCAGCAGCCACGTACAGCGCCTCCATCAGGTCGACGCTGTCAGGGCGGGAGAGCGAGCGAGTGCATGTAGCTGCCTGCTGCAATGAAGAGATCTGAGCAGCAGGTCAGCTGAAGAAGAGGCGGACGTATCGCGATCAGGACCGCAAGGACGGAGGAAGTGGAAGGAGATCCAAGCAGCTTCGAACGAGCGAGATGCAAGAGACCCTTGGCTCGGAGGACAAACCAATCACCCGGGGACTCTTGGAGCACAAGCTCAACCTCAGCGACTGCAGGAGGGTCAAGCGAGTCAAGCGAAACAAGCGAAACAAGCGAAACAAGCGAGTCAAGCGAAACAAGCGAAACAAGCGAGTCAAGCGAGACAAGCGAGTCAAGCGAGTCAAGCGAGTCAAGCGTCGCTCTCCCTCACCAGCTGCCTCGTTCACCCTCGTCAGCTCTCGCATCACCCGAGACGTCGTGCGATCCGAATTCCTGCATGGCCGTGAGAGCCTGAAACATACGGACTAGCCTGACAAAGATCTCCTCGAACTCGCGATCGTCTGCAGAAGCCGGACAGTCTTCGCATAGACAGACAGGACCGAAGGCTTCGAGACAGGAATGAACCGAACATCGATGCTGCTGATGCCAACAACGTCTCCGCCTCCTCTCTTCCGTGCATTCACCGCCTGATTCAGCTGCTTGGCTGCCATTTGTGACAGCTCGACGCCAACCATTGAGCGAAGCCTTGACTCTACGAGGCTCCAGTCGAGTCTTTGAAAAATCCAAGATTCATCCAAGACCTGTTGTTCTCCTTGTAGCAAATGAAGAATGTCTTGCATAAATTCGGTGATGTCGCAATCGAAAACATTTGTAATCGCGCTTTTGATCAAATCTTGCAGACCTTGAGCATTGTTGATTTCAGAACAAGAGAAAGACAATTCATTGCTATCATTCACTACAATCAGATTGTTTGACATTCCTTTGAAGAAGATCACATTCCAAAAGGAAGCTGAGCGCTCGAGGTCAGAACAAGCTCCCCCATGACAAGCAAACTCAACCAGCTTTCTGTGCGCAACACACATGTCTTCTCGTCACATAGGAACAAGAAACTTTCGCAAGGCACTGGCGAAAACAAGTCTTCAAGGATCTGACAGCCTGACTCAGTCCCGTCACCATCATCCCTCAGCAACACCTGGCAACGATCTCTGCAAGCAAAGCGAACACAAGCCGTTCGGTCGCTTCATATGAACTTTGCGAGTTCCACGGATTGTGACACATGTACTGAACGAGCAGCAGCAGATGTCGCGCGTTCAACCCCCTCACGTGCATTCGACGTACAACTTGCGACAACCACTGGCTTCCTATCAACTTGGCAGTGTCAGCCCCGACAGACCGGACTCAAAAAACCTGATGGTCGTCAGAAGCTTCTGTTCCAAGTTCTTGGCTGAAGTCTTGGAGTTGATGATGGACAGCCTTGAGACTGTCGTCAGCGTCCGGGCTTCCTCATCAGCGTTGATACCGTGATGTACATCTCCTCGAAACTTGCTTCGCTGTCGCTTCCTTGACCCACTTGCAACTCAGGTCGCAAGACGTGGAAGGAGAGATCTGAGGTGGGCTCCTGCTCTGCCAAGTCCTGGAAGTCTGCGATCAGAATCTTGCCGTTCTCCACGTTAATGGCCTTGACTTTCGCCTGTCAAGGTTGTCACAGATAGACCGCAAATAGACAGTAACCTGAGGGTCAAGACGAGCATCGGCCAGCACAGAGTCCAGCAAGCTTGATCTGCTGGGCAAGCAGCTGCTGATGAGCTCTTCTTCTGACCTGTCACTGCCGTTAAGGAGCGGATGAAGTCGGAGATAGTGTCTTCTAGTACTTGCTTGCTATCAAGACTCGCAAACCCATGTAGTCGAAGCTCAGGGACAGCGGCACATCAACACCTCCCGCCCTCATGCAGGCTTTCCGCAAGATATTGTTGTGTCTCACTCTTTGACCCACCTGAGGACACCGTCACTCTATCCTCCATCTTCGCTCTCAAACTCACCGACTTATGCCATCTTCGCATCTGCTCATGCTCAGAGTTCATGGTGAACGTGACCGTGAGGCCGTTTCCAAACGCGATACTCCACGCCTTCCGCGCATCTCTTCGCTCGCGTGATATGCAAGGTAAGTCTTTGCCATCATGATATTCTAGCGCCATGTTCACGTAGTCTAGCGCTTTCTCCTCGATGGTTCGCAGCGTCTCCTCGACTGCGTTCCATAGCCTCGTATTCTCCAGGTTGCCTTTCGCCTGAGCCAGTAGAGCTCGAAAGCGTCTGAGGCAGCGCAACCTGTCAGTAGAGACCAGCCCAGCAGCAGCCCAGCAGCAGCCCAGCAGCAGCCCAGCAGCAGCCCAGCAGCAGCCCAGCAGCAGCGGACTCACCTTCCATCGTCTGCTCCCACAAGAAGCGAAGATCCCCCGCCCATGATGAGGGCAACCCGAAGACTTTGACGATGGACTTGACTTTTTTTTTGAATCAACAAACAGAAGATAGCTAGCTAGGAGGACTGGTGGTGCTAGCATCGCTACAGGGCAGGAGGGGTAGTAAGAAGAGATGGGAGGGGGGGTACGGTAAGAGAGCCTGGGGTGGTAGGAGGTTCGTCAGACCGGCTTACCCTTTTTAAGGTAGCGCCCTTGTTAGCTCAATGCTTTTATATCAATGCAAGTTCCTGCCAGGGACCATGCGGTACTGCTGCGGCACTTCACCAGGAGACAAGACGATGCTGTCAGCCGAAGTGATCCATCGCTCTCGCGCAAACGCTTGTTGCATCATCTGAGTCGTTGACATCCGCGGTTCCTGAACAAAGCTTCAGAAGCGCCAGATGCAAACTGTAGTCAAACTAGCACTAGATACATGCTACTGTCGAACGACCGATACATGCACACTAGAACGAGATCCTACCTGTTGGGATCGCAAAGCAAAGCTGCTCGTGTCCATGGCCTCCTCAGCGGCAACAGGTGAATGTCGGCGAGGACTGCAGCTGAGAGGAGCGTCAGAGACGCGCATCTCAAGTCTGTGAGCATCACTTGCTCGAGAGAGGAGAAAACACAAGAACTTCAGTCGCCTTTTCAGTGCCGTTGAAGGCTCCATAGTGACAGATGCTCACATCCGATCTCCTTCGCCTGTTTGACTGTCAATGCTGGCCGATGCCCAAGAGAATAAACGAACGGGATGTAAGATCTCATCATTTTCTCTTCACTTTCGGTTCCTGCTGTAGATGTTGCCTGCCTGTCCACAATGAATGAATCTCAACACGACCGGCAATCGAGTTTCAGCACAGACCTTGTGCTACGTCGTTGGAAAGTTGTGCTCAACCTTCGGTCGTTGCTTTGCTTGGTCGTTTCCCAAGAGAAGCCTGCCTGAGTTGTTGGAAATAAAGATGCTACTTCTTGTCTCCGCTTCTCCTCCTTCCCACGCGATGGGACTGCTGGGTCAACAAGAACCAAGTCATGGAACAGAACGAGGACAATGAAGGGCGAGAGGCAATATCGTTCTTCCAACCTCTCTGGAGCCCTGCTGAGGCATCCTCGAGGTCGAGAAACGCTTGCTTCAAGAATCTGAAAGCTTGGAGACTGATGGATCCAGCATCATAACATGACCGCAGCGCCTGTGACAACACGGCATGAACGAACGAGAGATCATTATGAGCCCACGTACCTCCAGCTTCTCGTTTAACGAATGACTTCGAAACATTTCTTGTTGCAGTAGTCTTGTGTTGCTAGAGCTTTCAACAAAGAGTTCTGGATGGAAGTGGTCGACGATTGCTGCTCTCAGACCTTGCAGCTTGTCGTGCCCCTCTCCTGTTGCCATCAAAGCCTCCCTGACAATCTTGACCTGCTCGCCGTGCATCTCATTCGGGCTGGAGCCTGCTGCGTCTTCTGCAAGCGTCACATATCCGAAGGGAGTCAGCGCCGTCATACTCGCTGCCTCGTTGGCTTTTTGATCTGCAACAAGGAAGATGAGAACGCCAACACATCACGCCATGATGTACCTCTAGCGAGGTTGGGAGACAAAACTCCCTCTCGCGCTCTTTCGACATCGAGCGGAGGGAAATTAAGTTTCAACCCCCTCAGGTAGTCTCGATGAAACCTGTTGGCGCTGGCTGCCGAGTCTTGGCTCATCGAGGAGGGTTGATGCATGACAACTGGGCTGTTTGGGTTGGAACTCTGTGAATGTCTTCGACGTTCTGGTTCTGATCTCAACACCATGTGTGTTCCTACCGGCCAGCTCACAATCTCTCCTGCCTCCAAGACCCTGGGACTCGATCGTCTAAATACGCTCCTGATTCGTTCGCTCTTGGGTGACTTCAAAGCTCCAGGTAGCACAAGGCCATACTCCTGCCCGACCTCCTCCTCTGGATCCGGAGAGTTGGGATGCGTCCACGACAACCTGCCGTCCCTGCGGTTGACATAGAAGCGTCTTCCGGACCTGTCTCTCCTCTGCTTCCACTCTGCCGCGTCATAATCCTGAGGTGTGAGTTGCGTCAGGGCATCACTGCCAATGGATTCTGTGGAGAGAGTTGAATCAGGAGTCGCGTGCTGCAGCATTGACTGTTCTCCTTGCGAGTAGGACCCTGACACCACCATCGGGGTTGTAGGAAATGGACATCGCGATCGGACATACTTCATGAATTTCGAGTCGAAGGAGTTTGACGAAGAATCGTGCGAATGTTTCATCCTAGCATCTTGAAAGGAAACCACCTTAGGCAATCCCTTGCTGTTCACCTCAGAACTGCCGAGGACTGTTCTAGGTCTTGGGCGAGAGCTCAATCCCCCTTGGATCGACCATTGTTTAGTTCTAGACATCACCTCACGCTTGTTAACTTGAGAAAGCTGAGACGAGCACAAGGCTATATCATCTGATCACCGCACACTGTCACTAACACTCCCTCAGCTCTGTCTCTCCCCTCCGCTCCCTCTCGCTCCCTCTCGCTCGTCCTTGCCTTCCCAAGTTCTTGCGAGCATGCCAGTCGGAAGGCCATACAGTAGGTCGGCCACGGTCAACCGCCTGAGATTCTGCCCCTCATACCGTCACTTTTGGCATGTTGCACAAGTGAGATGGCCCGGTCCCATGTATTGCCCGGTCCCATGTAATTTTTCACTGAAATTTGGAATTTTCTGTAAGAGTTCTGAATTAAAGGAAATAATTGCAACTCTTTTGCAAGCCACTCTGCCGGGTAGCGTGTGGAAAGCAGGCAGGCATTTCAAACAAGCGGGGGAGCCAGCAGGGAGCCAAGGGCGGAGGAGGAGCAAACGCAGCGACAGAGAGCAACGCCACGAATCGTTGGTGAACACTCAACAGGAAACAAACATGATCTCCGATGGAAGCAAGCACTCTCTTGAAGATAAGTACACGAACATGGTGTCGATGAATGAGACTTGTTGCACTATAGGAGAAAGCAATGATCTCGCATCACCGCATTCTCAGAAAAATGATAGCATAATTGAAAAAAATCACAGAGGATCAAAAAGAGTCTCATTCTTGGAATACACGATCAACTCACGGTTTTCACTTGAAGGATTCCTTGATCCAAGAAGGGAAAGCGACAGTTGGCCAGCGAGGTTTTCTTTCGGAACTTGTTCACCAAAAAGAGTGGGCAAACTGGTCAAGACCTGGGGTCAAGGTATTTGCAAGCTTCAACCCTACGTACAGAACTTGAAGTTTGTCATGGCTGTGGCAAGATGGGTGCTCAAGTTGCTTAAAATCTTTCTGCTCTATAAGGTAGGCAGATGGATCAAAGACCGTTTGAAAGTCCTTCTTTTCTCAAAGGCATTTTATACTTCATTGAGCAAAAGCTGCGCGTCAAATCTCGGGAACAAGAAATGCCTTACAATAACGTCATAGAATCATTACCAACCGCCGCACTGGCGTGTAGCGCATGACAGGAGTATTGTTTCCTCTGGGACGGTGCTGAATATATGCTTGCAAGAGCATAGGAAGTAGGGCTTTACATTGGACCTACTTGTATCATCTTCTAGTTGAGTTACAACTTTGGCCGTTCCAGCACAATGCTTGGACTCTTTCTATTCAATCGATGATTCTAATACAATACAGAAATACAAGACCTTTCATCACACTGTGCAGCCACAGTTGTGGCAAAGGTTCATAGTGTAGGGATTGTAGAAGCCGCTGTTATCAAACTGGTCGTATCCGATTCTTCTTGAGCCCTCTCCAAGGCAAGGACAACATTCATATCGCATATTTAGCCAGTCCCTCGGGGGAAGCTGTACATCAGCCATGAAATCTTCCGCTGGCCTCGTTGGCCCACAGTTCGGCCCATCAGGGTCACAGTTAGAGGGAAAGGCAGCCAACCTTTGGATGCCACGCTGTTGGCGGAAGCCTTGAGACACTACCACATGTAAGATCGACAGCACCATGGCAAGGGATGATTACCTAGCAAAGCAAGGGGGTATTTCGAAAATGAATGAGCCCCTCCCGCTCCCATTCCACGCAGCATGGTTGCTCCAGGAGTGAGGATGCTTCTCTGTTCCACCTCAACCGGTTCAAGAGTGGAGCCCAGATCATAACCCGACATCTCATTGACGCCATAATGGCCGGCCAATGGAACGATGTTGTCACCGGCCTTACGAAATTTATCATAAGAGTTTTCTTCTGAGAAGCCCCTTCATCATACAAACGAACCGGATAAGAAAGGGTTACCTTGAGATGGCTGGGGTTGAAGAAAGACTCGTCCTTTGAAGGATCTTCTGTTCAAACTGGCAAGCGCAGCGTCACTGCTGACAAGATCCTTGCAAGCCCCTTCGTTTCCTTCTTGGCAGGCTTTGTAAAATAGGTCAACATTCTTGTCACTCCAATCGAAAGTCGGGACTCTGTTATCTTGAATCAAAACAGAACGTTGAGTACGCTCTCCTCTGAAAACGACGACCAGTCCACATATGAAGCATAGCAGCAGAGAAAACGACACAAGTTGTGCTTCCACACGCATCATGTCACTGTCCCCTGTTTGAAAAGAAAGAGTAAGATGAAAGATTAACCAGAGTATCTCTTCTCCTCTTCTCTATCTCTCTTTTGAAACGTTCCATCTCTCCTGAGTAAAATCTGTGTTTCAAGGGTCACAAGATCTTTCCTCCGTCTCTATCCTTTCTCTCTCCACTCAGTTCAACATAATACTCCTTGTCCATGTCTCTCATTCCTACTCCGTCCTCCATCCGTCTGCATGACCTCGCCTATCGCTACAGTGCAGTCATTTCAGCATGTCTCTTCGATTGAGCGTTACAATGAAGGTTACATAATACGTTACAAATCGGTTATATATACGTTACAGCAGTTACAACAACACCCTCAAACCAGCATGCAGGCGCAGATGCAAGCGATGCTACGAGCGATGGCAGCGGGAGCGAGGAGGAGGGGGGGACGAGCTCTGCTTGCCTCCTCCTCTCTTCTCGGAGGATCCCTTCTCTACACCACCTTGAAGCCTCCCGTGAGGGCTGAGGCGCAGGAGCCTCTGAGCACGCAGAGCCTGAGTGACAGGATGGTACAGACGCTGGGATTGAAGAGCTGGATCGACTGGGTGGTGGAGCCAGCGGACAGAGCAGGACTTCCTCCAGGGAAACTTCTCCCTGATCCTCCTGAAACAGGCCCCTCCTTCACACACAGGACGCTGGTTCTGAGCCTGGAAGACACGTTGGTCAACACAGAATGGGACCGGAAAAGGGGACATAGGACAAAGAAGAGACCAGGGCTCGATGCTTTCCTTGCGCACATGTCCCAGACTTACGAGATTGTTATTTTCACGAGTGCCATGAGCTCCTATGCTCAGCCGATCGTGATGAGGCTAGCGGAACAGCAGCCATACTTTGAGCATTCCCTGTACAGGGAGCACACCAAGTACGTAAACGGGAAGCACATCAAGGATCTCTCCTTCCTCAACAGAGACCTCCGCAAGGTGATCATTGTCGACACGAACTCGGTCAGCTACTCCTACCAGCCTGACAATGCTGTCGCCATCAAACCTTGGAACGGAGATTTGAACGACACGGAACTGATCGACCTCATCCCCTTCCTCGAGGCGATTGCGAAAGAAGACATCCAGGATGTCAGGGAAGTGATCCGCTCCTTCCATGGCACCAACGTGCCGGAGAAATTTCGGAAACTGAGGCAGCAAGCCCTTGAGCGGAAGAAGAAAGGTGTCATCTCCCCTACTTTGACAGCTCCTTCACTTTCGCCTCACTTCATTCTCAGGCACACTCGTCGGCAGCCTCGTGAAAGTGCCGCATGGAGTGCTACCGGTCCTCACCCCCATCCTCACTCGTACTCATGCGCATCATGCGCCGCACGTGCTGCATGCTCCCAAGGCACCTCCCAAACCAGCCGAGTGAGACTTCCTTGTGCTCTCAGTGCTGCCAGTTTGACTTGTTTGCAGGACCGAAGAGAAGCCCGCCAAGAAGAAGACTGTGATAGAACTTGCACGAGAAAGCGGAAAAATGTAGACGCGTAGAACTAACGCTATGTTTGACGAAAAGACTTTCTCTTATGGCATTCTGAACATGATCCCAGCTGCTCAAATTGGGTCAGATGAGCTTGTTTGTGGGTCTTCTAACAGATTTATTTGTCTCGAAACTCAACGTTTTCAAGTAGAACAGCAAGCATCTTCTTGTTAACAACGCCAAAACCCTCCATGATAGTACAAACGAGACGCCAACAGCAATCATCTCAACTCTTCGCATCCAAGTTCCTCCGTCGGAACCGCGAGAATTTTCTTCGATGAAGTTTCATCGTCTTCTCCATGCAACTGCTCTTCAGGTGCGTCACAAGCCATAGATTTGTCGTTCGACAAGCCTTCTTGTGTGTCCTCTCCGCTGGACTTCAACTCCTCGCCCTGATCGGAAGAAGGCTCCAGCTCGAGCTTCTGTGTATCGTGGTCTTGTACCAGTTCTTCATTCCCACCTTGGTCTTGTACCTGCCCATCACTCTCCTCTATTTCCTGGCTGCCTTGTGTGTCCTTGTCAAGTTCATCAGTACTTTGACCGTTATCCCCTCGATCATCATCTAAGACTTCTTCTCCGTCCCTCATATCACATTCAGTCCCTTGTGTTTGGGCTATTTGGCATTCTCCTTCTACCCAGGCATTCGAACTTGGGCTTTCTATCTGACAATCTGGCACTGCAGACTCGCGTCTCTGCTCAGGCTGTGTGGGCAGCTCCTCACTGGTGGGAGAGCTTTCCTCCCTTCGGATGGTTTCCCCGCCTGAGACAGGTTCACGAGCAGCTCTGTCCCCCCCTGAGACCTGGAACCCGACCAACTGAGGAGAAGGACAAGGTTCCTGACTGATAGCGTCCAGATTCGAGTTACTTGAGAGCTCTGCACTTGCTTGTTCCCCTTGAATCGCACCTTCAATCAACGTGCTGCTTTCATGAGTCGCAGAGTCTTTATCTAGAGGAGTAGATTCCTGCTGGTGAATGCCCATGCGTGCATCGTCTTCCGCTTGAAATGAGACGAATTCATCAACTGCACCTCCCCTTGATCGGTCGTGCGTCGGACCGTTGGCAAATTGACCATCAAGCTCCCGTGGAGCATGTATCATATGTGCTAAATCAGATTCCATTTGACCTTCACGCTGAATGGCGTCGGCCGGCGAGGTACCAAAGGCTGGAGGAGACACCGTTGACAAAGGCTCCAAGGCCACAGGTGACATGGAGGGATTCATCCTATCCACTGACGGACGAGGGTTTGGAGAGCCAGCCTCCTCGGATTCAGAGATGCTTCTTTCCTCATAATCCCAAGGACAATACCTCCTTAGAGTCGATTCCTCAGCAAACCATTCAAGATTCATCTCCAGAAGATTTGCAATTTCTTGCTTCGCTTCTACATCGTCCAAATCATCGCGTGTCAGTTGTTCGAACTCTATCATTCCAAGCGTCACATGATAAAATGAGGTTGCACAAGACATTGACTTAGTACCTGAGTGTATATGAGAATGTACATGTGCGCGTCCACTCGTGTGACGTTGATCGAAAGATCTATATCTCAACCTGCTTTCCAAAGCAAGATCGTCTTGACTGGATCTGAAGCCTCCCTCTGCTGCTGCCATATTGCGTTCCGAATGAAGTCGACGAGCGATGACCCGCTTGTCTAAAGTTCGATCGGAGTGATATCCGCCATTTCCCCCACCATAAGATTCATCGTCTTCGTACAAAGCAGCTCGTTGCGTCGGACCTGCCAGAAAACAACCTTCATCGTCACTAGACGATGCATCCATGCCCGCTGCTAATATGGACTGCGCATTTTCATATGTATTGCTGTCCTCATCTGAAGCATTCTCAGTACCTTGATCTTAAAAGATTGTAAGCACTCGCACAAACTACATCTGCACTGCACCTGCATAATCTCCATTTTTGATGTCGAGTAGAGACAATCTTATAGCTTCCATTACCATCAACTCTTCTATATCAGTATTCGCTCTGTCATGCTCCTCGTCATCATTCACTGAAAACAAGCATCATCAGTGAGTCTCTGAAACTCTCAACGAAAGACCAACCATCACCTTCAGAATTCGCGCTTGGACGCCATCTGCGAGAACCGCTTTCGGATTCTCTTGCAGATTGATTTACGGGATTTGAGTCATGACTCTCTGGAGGAGGTGGTGGTTGAGTTGGGCCTGCTGCCGCAGCCTCTTGCTTCTTCTGCTCTCTCTCCAAAGCAACCTCCTTCTCACGCTCTATTTGTCTTGACAACTCTGCTTTTCGCGCTCTGATCTTGGCTTCAATAACCTTTTGCTCCTCCTGTGTATTAAAAAACGTGAGTCAACAATGCCAACATGGAAGAGAACAAGGAAGGAAAGTGAAAAGACAAGGGTAAACACGAAAACATCCTCACAGCTTCCAATGCTTCACGCTCTTCTTTTGTCATTTGGCCGGTGTACTTTACAGAGTAATTCAACGAATTGCAGAATGGACATTGAATGGCTTTCTGAGCATTGGGCTTTTTGAACTGCAGAAAGCATTCTGTACGCTCCCAGTCAACATCTTGAATCTTTTGTTACGATGCGATTCCTTACCTGTACAGATCGGCTTTTTGCAGCATTTTGAGCGATTCAAACCCCCGGGATACCACTATCAAGAAAACTTTCGTCAGAACAAGGAGAAGGCTCTTCAGCCTGTTGCGGGTTTCTCACCAAGAAGCAAATAGGACACTCATCAAGATCTGGCCCTGGTTCTTCTCTACCAGGATATCGCGGAGCCACCTTCTTCTTGTTAATGAGTTTCTTGACTGTTTTCTCGTCCCAATCACACGTCGGGTACAGGCCAGTAGGTTTTGTGAACTTGCTATCAACAGACTTGCCTCTGCTCAGCTTGTTCCCCATCCTGACCCTTCAATTGAACAGACACAAACCAGAAGTGTCCAGCGTTTTTAAGGAATCTCTCGAAGCAAAATATTGTGCGTTTTCACCAGTTCAATCTGAATCTCGTTCTCATCATGCATGTGAAGCACGTGTTGTGGGCATAACTTCAGCGACTCCTGTTAAGAAAATTCTTGTGAGCGAAACAGATGATAGAGATTCGTCAACAAATCAAAAAAACTAATTCAATAAGATTCATGAAGCATGAGAGCTTATCATGCGATTGCAAGAAAGTCTTGGGCAACTTCACATCGACAATTCCTTTGAAAGTGATGTGCATGGACTTGTTCATTCTCTAGTGCCCTCCGACATTCCTCGACCTCTTACGAACCAATTATGATCACGAGGACAGCTCCTGACCTCTAAGTACTTCACTTTGTTGCTCCCTTCACTCCCTCCCACATTATTCCTCCCTCTCCGTCCCGCAATTCCTTTCTGTGTAGCTCCCATGCTACACCTACCCTGTCCCCCACCCCTTCCATATCTCTTTGTTCCCAATCTCCTGTGCCCACACCTCAGTCTTGTCGCTGCCCTCGCATCCTCACTGCCTCTGACCTTCACACCTCACTCCACACTCGGAATCTGATTCAGACTCCTCCATCTAGCTGCAACACCTAGGCTCTTGAAGCAATCACTGTTGGGTCACCACTTCTATTATCCTGTCACATCGGAAACGTTTTTCTCGTATGATCTTCTGGCATTAGCTGCACCTGCCTCGATAATCTCACGCTGCCACATCAACAGCTCTCCTGCTGTATTGAAGCACTCACAGAACTCATTCAGTCTGCTGCTACATCACAATGACATTCTCCCTCTTCCTTCCTCCTCCTCCTCCCCCCCTCCCCTTCCTCCTCCTCCTCCTCCTCCCTCGTCTTTCGCCTCCTCATCTTTGTGCCAGCAGTTCCTCATTCCCCTGCACCATTCCTGACGCCAGGTTGCAACGACAATGTGACAGTTCTGTGGAGACCGCCAGGGGTACTACTCCTGGATCCGTCAGGGTAGGTGGTCACAGGCTAAGGAGGAGGGGTGATGAAGATACCAGAAGGTAGGGGCTGCGTCGTGGTGGGTACTCTGGAAAGATAGAAAATGGTGGTATACCCCTGAATCGTACGGTATCAGCATGAGGTTAATGGGGGTAGGGGTAGGACTGAGGAATAAAGGCTGAAGCTCTACTGGGGTGGGGTGGTGAAAGCGTCGGAGATTGGGTTGCTTCCAGGGGGGTGGGAGATAAGAGGGCAAAGGAGGGGTGGACAAGGTGAGTTGCAGAACACCTACATAGAAGGGGGTAGTCAGTTTGGAAGGTAGGGGTACCTGAAATTTTGGGGTCATAAAAAGAGGAAAGGGCTTACAAGAAGGTGGGGTAGTGTGGGAGGTAGTATGCATGGGGGTGGTGTTTTAAGTAAGGGTCATGGGTAGGGTAGGGTAGGGGTAGGGGTAGGGGATAGGGTTGCTGGTGTTTTTTTTCGTTTTCGGTGATGATTTACTGAATTAAGCTCTAATAACAGATAATTAAGCTCTAATAACAGATAATTAAGCTCTAATAACAGATAATCGCCTATCTATCATGGCATGATGTCGGACAGACTAGAGGGCCCGGGGTCTCCGGAACTTCCTCGGAATCGCCCGAGAAGGACTGAGAGAGTCGTCGGAGTCACCGTCGTCGACTCGGTCGTCGGAGTCACCGTCGTCGTCGTACGGTAGAAAACTGAAGCCAAAGCTGACTCGGGCCAATCACACTGATGATTCAGAATCATCTTGCCATGCCAGCGGAATTTTAATTCGCGAGAGAGGTCAGGCTTGATGTAAAGTAGGGCGAGCTCAAAGCATCACGAGGAGTGAGTCTCAGGGAAGGATCGATATGGAACATGGGAACAAGCATGTCCCTGCGGTTCAAAGATCATGCCAAGTTGTTAACGGCCGGGGCTTACCTCAGAAGTGCATCGTCACTGAGTCGCTCGGTCCTGCACATTCTCGTCAGAAACCGCATTTTCATGTCAAATCTCATACAAGGCACGGACTCGCTCTACTTCATTCTCAGCTCTGTAATCTCTCTTCCTTCCCCGCTCTCCTCCAGAGAGCTCAGGCCATCTCAGCCTAACGATCAAGATAAGGCATAATGCGCTTGAGCCAACTCTCCAACCTCCAATGATCACGATCGAACAAATCTTCTGCTCCATGATCTGTTTCTCACATCAGACCCTCATGCGCCGAAAAGCTCCCTTCACCAGCATTGCGTGCCATAGCCACAGGAATGGGACCAGACAGTCTCTCCATCATAGCTAGGTGCCTGCAGCAAGCGAGTCAAGAAGAGGAAGCGCTACTTCCTCGCAACTACTGTGCAGTGTCGTGGGTGTCGAACGTCAACACCCCCTCTCGCCTGGGAGCAAAGCTTCAGCCGCCTCTCGTGGAGGAAGCAGCAAGAGGGGGGTCACAGCTCTAAGATGATGCAGGCAATGCTCCACATGTCACATGGGAAAGTCCAAGGCAGACCCAGCACAACTTCTGGCGCCCTGTAGTGTCTGAGGCAAGATATGGTCATACCCCCGGGGCCTGCAGCAAGATCGTCTGACGACCTGGTCTGAATGATCGTTCCATGGTCGTCTTCATCCCACGTTGCAGCTCCGAAATCGATCAACTTGACCTGTTCCAAGTTCTCAGCAGCGGAACCTCAGACGCCTCTTGACGCTGGTGTCGAGCAATACCCGTGGGTTCGGGTCATCTAAGGTCATGTCAGGATGCTGCGTAAAGAAGTCAACATGAGGAAGCAACTGCACCACTGCTCTCACAAACCTGAAGAAGAACATTCTCAGTCTTCAAGTCAGCATGTATCAATCCAGCTTCTCGACTGCAGCCGTCACGTTATCACAATCAAGACTTCCAGCGCATCCAACAGATACTTACAGGAACTGCATGCATTCACACAGCTGTTTTGAAATGATCCGAAGAGTATTGGGTCGAACTCCTTCATCCAAATTCAGACCGTCTGGAAACAGAGGAGCTTGCAACCTGGTCGAGGTCTGTGCTTTTGATTCTTCAAAGCAAGATAGAGGCTCTTTCCTAGCAGCTCTGTGACCTGTTGCACACCAGCGACTGTCATACTCTTGTAGAATGCAGACTTCCGAAGTGATATCTCTGGAATTCAGGCGAAGCACTCACAATGCAGAAGTGATGGTCATAATGGAAACATTTGTACATCTGCACACAGAATCTTCCTTCCTTGTCCATTCTTGTTTTCGTCAGTCACTCTAGCTCATAGCCGCAAATAGTCTTACCGGCAGAGTTTCTCTAAAATATTCACTTCAATGAGAGCATCTTCGACGTAACGCTTTACACGTCGAACGACCTTTGAAGAATTTTAAACAATTAACGGATACAAAGTAGGTGAGAATGAAAGAAAATGCAGTTTTGACCTTGATTGCAACAACATCTCGATGCTTACGGTCGTACGCACGAAAAACGGCTCCAAAAGTTCCTTTGTCGAGTTGCTTCTCTACTAGAAAACGATCTGTTATCCTGTCAATCCTCGATGAGATGTGTCCCTCTGAGTCGCAAGAGGAAGATCGCGATCTTGAGCGTGATCGTCCCCGACTCCTTTCCACCCAGGACTCTCGCCGTGTTGGTCGACGATCAGTAAACTCTCTCGGATCGTATCTATGTCTGTCCCTGCCGTAGCGTTCATCCCTCGAATCGTATGTATCAGGATGTCTGGCCTGCCTTCTTTTGTCATCAAATCGATTTCGCCGTCGATCATGATATTGATAATCTCGATCATCGTGATGTTGATAATCTCGTTCATAAACGTTCTCGCGCCAGTTCTCTCTCCCTCTTCCGTACCCGTCATTGAATTGTCTGCTCTGATAGTCACGCATGGCAGAACCAGCGCAAATCGATATTCCTGTACCGGAAAGTTTTGATCAGTCACAAAAGGTCAACAGCTTGAAGTCAACTCCACACTCTGATAGGCGTTTCCTGTGAGGATATTTTGGAATCGGATTCCTTGCAATGCTGCAACTCCGCTCACAGCATTGTTCATCATGCCCTTTGAAATTTGATCTCAACTGCCCTAGCTCGTTTAGGTATCGTTGGATTTCTTTCATGTTCATCTTCCCATTCTAGCTCCGTATTTGAATATTTCAATAGTTTAACTTCTCCTCGCTGCATTCAGAGCCTCTTTTGCTGAATCTGCACATCGAGCTTGTAGTCCATCTATCTCATGCTCGTCTACAACTTGAACCCTCGGCTCTCTTATGTATACTCCTCTCGTACTCCACCATCTCTACAGCTTTCACGTAGCTCCTGCATGGGAGCTTCGGGTACCCACCACCCTTCCCACCCCGCCTGTCGGATACCCCTCAGGTACCTCATATACTACCCTACCCTTTGCCCATAACAAAGTGGGTCCTTCTAGAAATCTCTGAGACCACCCCTACCCACTGCTTGTCTCGCACCACGAGAGGCCTTCGATCGATCCTACCAGGAGTACCCCCCTCTGACATAACCCCCACCCCCTTGGACATAACCCCCCACCCCCTCTCAATTCCCACCACAACTCCCGACTGCCCGGCGGGCCCGGCGGCTTGACAGGACCAGCACTGAAGAAACCCCAGGCCTCCTGCAGGGACCCAAGCAAGCAAGCCAGGCAGTCCATGCACTTCGATGAGCCGCCGGATGGAGGCTGGGGATGGGTGGTGGTGGCAGCAGGTAAGAGGCCATAGATAAGCTTGAGAGGCAGGAGGAGGGGCAGGAGGGGCAGGAGGGGCAGGAGGGGCAGGAGGGGCAGGAGGGGCAGGAGGGGTAGGAGGGGCAGGAGGGGCAGGAGGGGCAGGGAATACCAAGCTGTAGTTGAGAGTGAAACAGGTTTCCTCACGCATGTCAATGTGTTGGGGTTGCAGTACTCGTTTGGGATCTTCTTTAAGGTGATGGAGGCTGGGCATCGTCAACCGCTCAGAATCTCCTCAGGTTCTATTGGAAGATGAAAGCCTCGGCAGCAAAGGTGCCACCTCCGCTTCTGCATGGACAGGTCCAGAACCTCCATGCAAACCCATCCTAATGTACCTCAGGGTCCATTGCCTCTGCTCTGATGCTCCTCTGCTCGTATCCTGCTGGCGTGCTGGTCAGGCGCTATGGCATGCGTATCGTTCCGCTAGTGGTACGAGCGATGCTTCTCTGCCGCTTCTGGATGTTTTGAGAAACGTGCAGGGCTCGCTGCTGATCTCGTGCGGGCTCTTCCTCTCAAGGTGGCAGTATAAGAGGGCTGGAAGGAGGGAAGGAGAGGAGCAGCACTTAGCATGAGCACTTAGAGCCAGCAGTGGGGGATGATGAACAGGGAGGGAGGAGGGGAGAGGTGGTGTCGTCACGCGTCGCCTGCAGCTTGGTCTCATCGCTCTGGATGCTCTACTTCACCTACGGATTGATCGCTGGTGATGCTGAGCTGAGGAGAGTCAGGCTCACATACTCGCAGGCGTCGGGTTCGCGCTCACCTGGGCGCCAGCTGTCATTGCTGTCAACCGATATTTCACAAGCAAGCGCGCTCTCTGCTCTGGACTGAGTGTTGCCGGTGAGGCCGCGACTTGAGATGGCGAGAGCAAGAGAGGGAGACTGGCAGCTGGAGATGCTGAGACGTGGGGGCCATCGATGTGACGAGAGAGAGGAAAGGAAGCGAAGAGAATGCGGCGCAGATAGGATGGCAACGGCAGCGCTTGGCTGGCGCTAGACTGCTTGTAATCAATTGCTTGGCAGGGAGTGGTATAGGAACAATCATCTTTGCGAGCATCACAAGGTGCGGAGGGCGACGTGGAAAGCCTACCTTGCCTCACTTGCTCCTCCCCAGCGTCTTGATCGACTTGATCGGCTGGCGCTCCACGCTTCGAGCCCTCGCCATCATCACAGGCGAGAAGGAGGAGGAGCGCAGCAACGCTCATGCTGCGACGCAGGTGTTGGGAACGCGCTGTCGGCTTCAACCTACTTCCCCATCCGATTCGGGCAGAAAACGGAAACAAAGAAGCCGGGAGAGCAGATGGGTGAGCGATGAATTGAAGGAAAGTCTCAATGAAGTGACTTCCGAGAAGAAGTAGGAGGAGACGAGGAGATCGAGAGAGGAAGAAACCTCCCCCTCAGCGTGAGAGACTCTTGTGCTGAGCCAATGGAGGAAGCGGAGGAGCGAAAATTCTCGGGTGCCGCTGTTTGATGTCATTGGTTATGCCCCTGAGTCTTTTGTCCTACAAGAAATGTCTTCGCACGATATCCTGAGGTGCGTCTTCCATGGCTTCTTCTCCCTCCCCTCACCTGCCTTGAATAGCTGTCACGCTTTCCGTCTGCTGGGTCGCTGCCTTGTACTTGTTTCTCAGCTCACCCCTCTCGCAGCTCTTGTGCTGCTCGTCTATGCTGCCGTCTTGTGGATCCCTTACACGTTTCTTGTGGCTTTTGCGGAGGTGAGTTGAAGAGTAAGATGCATAACCAATCGGGAGAGGAGGACAAGGACCAGGACAAGGACAGGGACAGGGACGAAGCTGAGAGGAGGGAGGGAGCGGAAGGGGAGAAAGGCGACTGTAACTCTTTTCTGGTGATAGGGCGAAGTCGGATTGACATCTTCGCAGTCGGCAAGGTATGGAGGAGGAGGAGGAGGAGGAGGAGGAGGAGGAGGAGGAGGAGGAGGAGGAGGAGGAGGCCGAATTAGACCGAGACCGAGGAGGAGAGTGAAGCGATGTTTTGTAGGCTCGTTGCCATCATGGGCATATCGTCGACGATTGGAAGGCTGCTGATAGGTCAGTAGAGTTGATGTGCCTCCTCGTCTGACCTGCGACTTGCAGGCAGGGCGGCGTCGTTTCTCTCACAGATGAAGCTGCTACAAGTGACGAGGGTTGAGGGCAGAAGGATGCTGAGTCGCTCATGTCAGGCCAGCATGGCGATCACTGGACTCGCTGTCGCCTCCCTCGCATTCCTCCCACAGCAAGAAGCGACCCTGGTGAAGTCGCATCCTCCCCCTCCTTCACCAACCCTGAGATCTCACCTCTCAATCCTCTCTTGCTCGTCTGTTGCTGATCGCTTGCTATGCCAGGTTCTCTTCGCCATTTTCTTTGGCAGCTTTGTGAGCCTAACCTCTTCTTGCATTGGCCATCGGTAACTCGAGCAGGCAGGAAGCGTCGTAGCGCTGATAGCTCCCATCCTCGTCGAACAGATCGGTGAATTGCTTGTGGAAAAGGAAGGAGATGGAAGAGAGGATAGACAGCAGTCGAGAGCAGAGGAAGGCAAACAGGGGGGGAGAGGGTTGGAGCGGTGAGCAAGGTGAGCAGGAGCAGTCAACCTTCCCCTCGCCTTCGGTCTCGCATCTGCTGCTCAGGCTCCTGGAGTTGTTCTTGCGGCGCCGCTGGGAGGGGCTCTAAGGGACATGACCTCCTCCTACTTCCTCACTTGGGCAGCTCCAGGTGGACTCGGAGGAAGAAGCGTAAGGATCTGACGAGTGTGACCCCAGGGCTGCTCATGGTAGCCACCTCCTTCCTCATACCTGCCATTCATATGGCCAATAGCTCAGCCGTTGATGAGCGTCGCTCGAGCCACCTGTATCAGTAGTTCACCTGTACCATAATGAAGTTTTAGTGAGATCATCCCCGACTACTTCCCGAGGTCCTTTGCTCCGATTGACGGCCGCAGTACCCTCACAATGCTTACTCCCAAGAGAGTTAACTCGCCCGGTCCAAGAGAATTCAAGCTGGACATGTAGGGACAACCAAGACCTCCACGCACACAACACGCAACGACAAGAGCTGCGCAAGTACACAACTCTCTTAGATTATTTTCACCTTATGCGAGAAAGCTTTCTTCTGCGTGAGAGGCACTTTTTACCTTCTGCGAGTAAAACTAGCCACGTAGACAGCAGAGAGGGGCAAGCAACGAGCACCGTGAGACCGGCACAGCAGGGGACGTGAACGCCCTCATACACGATACCCGGAGGCAGCCGACTGACCGCTGTCAGTCGAGACGTCCGCCGCCGCCGCAAAGCTGGCGGTCGCGGACGGAGAAAGAGCAGCCGCCGACAAGGAGCCGGCGTTGCCCGGGGGTCCGCCTGGGGCAGCGGACAGAGGCAGGGGAAGATTTAAAAAGTGCCTCAAGCAAAACAAAGCAGGAACAAGCTAAACCTCCTGGCACACAGCACACAGCGAGAAGCTGCACAATCACACCCAAAACACAAGCCCGAAAAGAACCAGCACTTACATTGGCAGCTCTGCCGACCTGACCAAGTGGGGGGAGGTCAACCAAGTGGGGGAAGGTGAACCTCGACGCCCTCCATGTTGCAGCGTCTGAGAAGATTCGCAAACATCGCGCTGCATATGCCATGACTACTCCTCCTCGAGCGTTCATCCCTCTTGCCATCTCGACGGACGGTACCCTGCATCCTGGCCTCACACCCTCCGCTTCATCTGGTATCTCGCGGACATCATTGCTCAGCGCTCAATGCCTCTTGAGGATGCGGCGTTTGGTCGGCACTTCGTGCCTGATGACGGCCCTGCTGCTGAGGTCCTGGCTCGCAAACGCGCCGCCGTATATATCTCTCAGAGGTATCTCTCACCTATCTCTCACCTATCAGCGCCTCACCATGCAGTTGACGCTGGAAGCGCTCTTGTCTGGTGCGAGGCGCATGACGCCCTTGCGGGCGCAAGCACTTCTCGAGCCAGAGGTTTAGCTTGTTCCTGCTTTGTTTTGCTTGAGGCACTTTTTACCTTCTGCCAGTAAATCCATTATAGCCAGAGGACAGCTCCTCCTCGGACTTTGTCGAGTCGCCCGAGGAGTCTTCGCCGGAGGTCTCCGACTCCGATGGGGGACACCCTTCGAGTGGCCCCGACGATCGGCGCGGAGCTGGCGAGGCGTCTCCGTCCCTCACTGTGACGTCGGGTGCCTCCGGAGAGCTCGACACCACTGGGGTGCTTGCTGCTGGTCCGAGCTCGCCTGCTTCCTCCCCGGCATCGGTCGGGTCACGCCGGTCCTTGGGCATTGCCGCGGCGTCGCCGCCGTCACGGGCGGCTACCGCTGACTCGGCTACCGCTGACTCGGAGGCTAG